CTGTGAGAAGAAAGGACCTCTGAGCGTTTCTGATTTTTGAATCCTACTCTTGTTCGAGAATATAATCTTCTGACTTGAAAAGGACCTAATGTAAGGACATTGAATGAGACTCATCTACTTAATAGATGCTAATCCCTCTCGAACTATGAATCAGCGGGCCAAAAGAATCTGAAGCCTCCTCGTCTTTAAATAATTCGGACCTTACCAAATTATACAGGCTTCGACCGCGACTTCAATTAGAGTTCAAGCTTCTTAAAATTCTTGACTAACCTCTTTTTGATTGTATTTTCAATTCTTCTGTCTGAAAAAGAGGGAACAATACTAAAGAAATGAGGCTTAGATTTGCCTCCTTTTATTTTGTCTATTCCTTAAGACAGTACCAAAGGTCCGCATTGCCGTTTACCTTTTTTGAGTGAGTGCACTCTGTCAGCAAGATTCAGATAACTTATAGAGCTATTCTTGTGATCTAAATTCTACTATCTTGCTATGTAAGAGAGGCATGCATCCTAGAGCGCATTCACTTGAACTATCATGCCTTAAACAAGTCTTGACTCGTCAGCTGTAGTATTAAACAAGTCTCACGGTGCGACATCAGTCTGTGCTAACGAAAGACACAAGCAAATAGCGACATAAATTGATTTACTCCTACTCGATGTCCTGTCAAGTACCAGAGCGCTGGGCTTTTTACAGTGCCAAATGTCCTAGCCACTGAGTGAGAAAAGAAAGAATCAAAATGTGTTGTGAAGTGGTTTCATGTGGAACAGGGGCTGAGTGCTTGTGATCTCGTGAGCTATGAAGTTCACATTATGCTGAATGCACAACATCTTCTGACCTATAATTTTAAAAGCGTGAAAGCCGACGATTGAAATTAATCAAGACAATAATCAAGACAGGGAGCCTGCTAAAGATTACCTCCCTTTATAAATGCAGAAGATATGAATATTTCACGATAAATATAGGCTCAAAAATCCAGAGGCTCACGAGTCACCCACTCAAAGTGAAACAGCAAAGCCGACCTATGAATTAATATAGGAATATAAAAGGAGGCTCTAGGTTCCCTTTTTCAAGTAGATAGTATTGAACTCACAAAAGAGCTCAAACATTAGGAAAGGATCATGGAGTTCGCCCCATCCTTGATTTAAGCATCTACAGTAACGAGTCTCAGATTTGCCGCTTTCAAGCAAACCAGATGTTAGAATAATCAGAAAAGGCCAAAAATCAGAAGCAACATGAGGTCCTATTCAAGCAGAAGAATTGAATAACGACAATAAGAGCTCAAAAGATCAGTAAACGCTCAATGGGTGCTGTTATCAACGCAAAGATGAATAATCACAAAAGAGCTCACAAAATCAGAACACTACACGAGTCATCCACCCCAAGTAAATAGCTAGAACCTACTTTGATTTAATAACCATTATAAAAGGAGGCTTATGATTTGGTCGCATTGTCAAATTTTCTTCATGACTCAGAAGATGATTGAACATCACAAAGGAATCAGCAGACCCTAAGCCTAACCCTTTATATATCCATTTAAATTCATTAGAAGCTCACCAGTCACACACCCACAGGTTTGCCAGACAGCCAGTCACAAACAAAAAGAAAGAAAGCAAAATATACTGGTATTATAGGGCTGTTGCCAGCATGAGAAAGAAGGAATCAAAATCATGCAATGCTTTGTTTCATATAGCAAACAACATTCACCGAATTTTAAAAAACTTAAAGCCGACATTGCATTTCAGCATATCAAAGGTAGCCTCAGATTATCCCTTTTAAAGCAGAAGATTGATATCACAAAATAAGCTCAAAATCAGAGGCTCACGAGTCACCCACTCAAAGTAACAAGAAAGGAAGCAGATATATTGGTATAAGGGCTGTTGCCAACATGAGAAACAAGGATCAAAATTATGCAAAACTTTATTCACATACCAACAACGTCCACCGAATGTAAAACTCAAGCCGTCCTTGATTTAAGCATTTAAAATGAGGCTCAGATTCACCTTTTCCAAACAGAAGATTGATTCATATCGGAAAAGAGCTCAAAATTAGAAGCTCACAAGTCAACTGCCGAAAGCAAACTAAAGCCAGCCTTGATTTAAGCGTATAAAAGGAGGCTCAAATTCGCCTTTTTCAAGCAGAAGATTGAATATCACCACAAAAAGAGCTCAAAACAGAACCTCACGAGTACAACACCCCATGTTAAACTAAAGATACTTACTATTGTTTCTAGCATATAAAAGACGCTTAGATTTGCCTTTTTCAAGCAGAAGATTTGAACATCACAAAACAAGGCTAAAAATTAGAAGCTCACGAGTTCACCAACACCCACAGTTTTTGCCAGACAGCCACTCACACACACATGAAAGAAGCAAATATACTGGCTATAAGGGCTGTTGCCAGAATGAGAAAGAAGAATCAAAATTATGCAATGCTTTGTTCCACATAGCAACAACATCACCGAATTAAAACTAAAGCCGACATGATTTCAGCATATCAAAGGAGGCCTCAGGATTATCCCCTTTTTAAAGCAGAAAGATTGAAATATCACAAAATTAGCTCAAAATTCAGAGGCTCACGAGTCACCCACTCAAAGTAAACAGCAAAGCCGACCTTGAAGCAGCCGACCTTGATTTAAGAATATAAAGGGAGGCTTAGGTTCCCTTTTTCAAGCAGAAGATTGAAAATCACAAAAGAGCTCAAAATTAGAAGATCATGAGTCGCCCACCTTGATTTAGGCATTTAAAACGAGTCTCAGATTTGCCCTTTTCAAGCAGAGGATTGAATATCAGAAAAGGGCTCAAAATCAGAAGCCCTAGAGTCTCTTTCAAGCAGAAGATTGAATATCACAAAAGAGCTCAAAATCAGACGCTCATGGGTCTTTTTCACGCAGAAGATTGAATATCAAAAAATAGCTCAAAATCAGAACCTCACGAGCCATCCACCCCAAGTAAACTAAAGCCTACTTTGATTTTAGCATATAAAATGAGGCTTAGATTTGCCTTTTTCAAGCAGAAGATTGAACATCACAAAAGCAGAAGATTGAACATCACAAAACAGCCCAAAATTAGAAGCTCACGAGTCACACACCCACAGTTTGCCAGACAGTCACTCACACACACAAGAAAGAAAGCAAATATACTGGTATAAGGGGTGTTGCCAGCATGAGAAAGAAGAATCAAATTATGCAATGCTGTGTTCACATAGCAACAACATTCACCGAATTTAAAACTAAAGCCGACATTGATTTAAGCATATAATAGGAGCCTCTGATTATCCCTTTTAAAGCAGTAGATTGAATATCACAAAAGAGCTCAAAATCAGAACCTCACGAGTCATCCACCCCAAGTAAACTAAAGCCTACTTTGATTTTACCATATAAAAGGAGGCTTAGATTTGCCTTTTTAGGTTCCCTTTTCGAAGCAGAAGATTGAAAATCACAAAAGAGCTCAAAATTAGAAGATCATGAGTCGCCCACCTTGATTTAAGCATGTAAAACGAGTCTCAGATTTGCCTTTTTCAAGCAGATGATTGAATATCACAAAAGAGCTCAAAATCAGAAGCTCATGAGTCTTTTTCAAGCAGAAGATTGAGTATCACAAAAGAGCTCATGAGTCTTTTTCACGCAGAAGATTGAATATCACAAACAAAAGAGCTTCAAAATCAAAACCTCAATGAGTCATTGGCACTCAAAGTAAACACAAAGTAAACTAAAGCCGACCTTGATTTTAGCATATAAAAGGAGGCTCATGTTCGCCTTTTTCAAGCAGAAGATTGAACATCACAAAACAGCTCAAAATTAGAAGCTCACGAGTCAGACACCCAAAGTTCGCCAGACAGCGACTCACACACACAAGAAAGAAAACAAATATATTGGTATAAGGGCTGTTGCTAACATGAGAAACAAGGATCAAAATTATGCAAAGCTTAGTTCACGCAGCAACGACATTCACCGAATGTAAAAGTAAAGCCAAAATTGATTTAATCATGTAAAAGGAGTCTCAGATTTGTCTTTTTCAAGCAGAAGATTGAATATCACAAAAGAGCTCAAAACCAAAAGCTCACGAGTGACCCACCCAAAGTAAACTAAAGCCGACATTGATTTTAGCATATAAAAAGAGGCTCAGATTCGCCTTTCTCAAGCAAAAAATTGAATATCACAAAACAGCTCAAAATTAGAGGCTCACGAGTCACACACCCAAAGTTCGCCAGACAGCCACTCTCACACACACAAGAAAGAAAGCAAATTTATTGGTATAAGGGCTGTTGCCAGCATGAGAAACAAGGATCAAAATTATGCCAAGCTTTGTTCACATATCAAAATTATGCCAAGCTTTGTTCACATACCAACAACATTCAACGAATGTAATGCTAAAGCCGACATTGATTTAAGCATATAAAAGGAGGCTCAAATTCTCCTTTTTAAGCCAGAAGATTGAACATCACAAAACAGCTCAAAATCATCAGGTCACGAGTCACCCACTCAAAGTAAACAAAACCCGACCTTGATTTAAGCATATAAAAGGAGGCTCAGATTCCCCTTTTTCAAGCGGAAGATTGAACATCACAAAAGAGCTCAAAATCAGAAGCACACAAGTCACACACCAAAAGTTCGCTTGCCACTCACACACACGAGAAAGCAAATATATTGGTATAAGGGTTTTTGCCAGCATGATAAACAAGGAGGCAAGATCATATGTAATACTAACAACATACTTCATGGTACATTGATGATGAACAATAATAACGACGATCCTAACACTTTATTGTGCTTCATGCCAAATTATGTACACACAAGGATCATATGTAACGTATCGTGAGAAACAGCCACTAACACTTTCTTCACCATAAGTACATACCAGGATCAGCATTCCGCTTTGCTAGCCAACGTAGCTCTCCAGCAGCTGCTCTTTGTTGTTCTGGATTCCCATTTGCCAATTTCTCTAATAAGGCAACAATAGCAATTCGATCACAATCTGAAAAACTGGTTCCAATTTTTTTTAAACTGGTTCCAATTTTTTTTTTTCTATAACCTCCTTGTTGTTTAGGCAGCTCAACACCATTGCTTTCACACCACAATGCCATCAAACTCTTCAAAATATAATTAGGTGTTAGAGCAGTATGCAACCGTGTTTGCTGTGTCTTTGGACAAGTCTTGTGTCCTGCATCTAGCCATTTTTGGATGCACGATCTTTCATAGGTCTGCAGAATGAAGACAATTTATGAACAATGGCCACTAAAAATTTACAAAGCAAAAAAATTTACAAAGCAACGAATTATGACACAAGTCGTAGCCAAACCTGTCCAGTAGAGACAATCACAGGATCTTTCATTAGTTCTAGAGAAATTGGGCATCGAAAATCATCTGGGATAACGGGAGATCTGTGCTTAAATGAACTCTTTTCAGCCTCGGAATTATCAGCTTCAGGGTTTCCCATTTCAACGTAGTCCTTCAAATTCATAAGGATGGATGACATCTTTTGTAACCATTCTCCAAGATCACCATTGCTCGAGATAATCATCTCATGGAAAGCAACAGAATCTTTCTTTAGATCACTTATGGTCTTGAGTTCCAACTTTCCAATTGTTATTCAAACCTCTCGTTCTCCTGAGATAACAAACCTCTCGTTCTCCTGAGATAAGAAAAACAGAAAATGTAACCCCAATAGACAACTCAAGCAAGTTTGAAGCTTTTAGAACCTTGAACAAAATCTTAATTCACATTTTCGCATGATTTTAAGACGCGTTAGAATTCAAATACCAAACATAGCACTATCCTGTGAACCATACATAGTAAAATTCAATTTAGGAAGTCGTGATCAAAGAAATTCCATATCCATGATGCATTAGAAAAAACATAATTTACTACTCCGAAAATGATTTATGTAGTTATATATATACCGTCCTAAGAACCGAAAATACAAACAGAACAAGCGGAATAGAGAAAGAACCCTATTGAATATCTTAATGCCCCAGGATTTGAATTAAACATGGATAGCAACTTCTAGTACAAAATAAATAACTGATTGCCCTTTAAGGCTCTAAACTAAACAGAGCTAAACTAAACAGAGAAAACAAACGAAATCTAAAACAATTCTCCTCTATTGGTGTAATTCAAGCTTTCGATAGTTATTTCGATACTTTAAAATTCTCCAATACTACAAACGCACCATTTCTTGATAGCAAAGGATTGATTGAAGTTGATCGATCTGACTGTGAAAGAGTTCCTTCTGCGAATCCAAAAACTTCTGAAACGACTCGACGGAGGTCCCAGTCTCTATTTCTTCTAAATTTTCCTTCAACGCCTCCATTGTCGATGTGGAAGATTGGAGTCTTGAAGCTCGGTGTGTGAGAACAGCGCATTAAACAAAAATAGAGTTAGAATTAGGGTTAGGGTTTAGTAATTTGACGGCGGCTGATAGATAGGGGAGAGGGAGATGACGGCTGCGAATTGGGTAGAAATGAAGCGGCGAACTAAAGCCCTAGTTGGCACGTGAGACTATGAAAGAGGTGAAAAGGAAAAACAAAACTACGCGCCTAAACGAGGACATGACTCGTGAGACGGTCGGGCAGGTCGGTGGGCTCGAGTTTGCGGCTAGCTCGCTCATTGTTTAAAATCTTGTTTACGACACAAGACACGTAACAATAAGATATGTCACCGCTAATTTAAAATTTTAATATTAAAAAGAAATAATTTCTTCTTTCAAAATTGTTAGAACTCTTTTCAGAAAAAATACGATGGCATCACTCGGAGCGAATGCCCGGTTAATTATCATAAATTTTATATTTATAAATATAATTTTAAAATTATATTATGATATAGTGAAATTTAATATTTTATAATAAAATTTTTTATAATAAAATTATATATATGATACTTTATATTTATTAACCTCGTACGTAATAACTTAACTTATAGACCACGTTATGAATACTATATTGACGTTGTCATATACATGTAATTATATAATAAATCATAATAGCATCAATATAATTTGATAATGTTACCTCGAGTAGAGTTTTGTTAAAATATTTGTTATCACATAAATACAGATACATTTTTCCAGTTGAAAATCCATATATGTTCATTTTTGTCTTACTTGGCATAACTTTATTACAAATTTTTTTAACAATAATTTTTTATTTTCAGTCTATAATAATTTTAAAATATTTTAAAAAATAACAATAATAATTAATAAAATTAAATTTTAAAATATTTTAAAAAATAACAATAATAATTAATAAAATTATTGATGAAATTAATTTCATCATTGATTTATTATTTAAAATAATCGCGAAAGACAATTTATATTCATAATTAGTTAAAAAATAAGTACATAAAATATTATAGACAATAAGAAACTTTTTTTTTCTTACATTTATACTGAGTGATGTGTACATCCAAATATGTAGTAAAGGTTAAATTTAGTGTTGTGTTTATTATCTCTGAGTAAGTTACTCATTATAATTTTACAACTCATTATTTTGAGTATAAATTGATATTTTTATCCATTTTATAAAGTTTTTAATGTGAATATATATAAAGTAAAAGTCTTTTAATGTGAATCTATTACATATATAATATTTCTCAAATGAAAATAGGCAATTTGTATAAATGAAATTAGAACTAACTTATTAATTTTCTGTATCCCTAAATTTTTAATTTGATTCAATTTAGAAAAAAAAATCATAAAAATATAAACTTATATAGATATTACAATTCTTGGATTTAAATAAGATATCAAATATTATTATTTTATTGATTGGACTAATGAAAGAATAAATAAACATTGTTTGAAAATAGTATCAGTAGAGCTTTATATATGTTTATAATATTAATCTTTAATTTGCTTGAAAATTTTATTATCGACATTTAATAATTAATGTTTGATGGACAATTGTTTATTATAAATGCACATATTGATAGCACTTAATGTTTTTTGCGGTACGTACGAGCTAATATTTATAAAAGTATAAAAATAAATCAAATTAACAGAAAAAGTTAACCATTAATAACTTTAGGACGTCAATTTTAAGAAAGCAAAATTAATAAATTTGTTAATCAAAAGATAAATTATTTTTTCAAAAGTAAACGAATTAAATTAATAAATTTGTTATTGGATTTGGCATGGAAAATTATTACTTTTAAGAAAGCAACCCGATTCCTATTAAAAGTATCTAGAAAATTTTTTTATTATCATATGGATAATTATTTCTAAAAAATAAATAAATGTATTTTATTTAAATTAAGTAATTAATTTATATAAAAGCTCTTCTTTCTTTGTTGAAAAATGCAAATCACAGGTTAGTATATAAATCGCATTAGGATTATGCGTGTGTATTCTGTCATGTCGTCTCTTTAATCTGCATAGGAGTTTGCAGAGAAAAGCACATAAGACTCCAAGTTAATTTTTGTTCGAGTGTGTATCTGGTCTTCAAATTTGAACAAAGAAACTCTCTTTCCCAAGAAGGAAACCGCATACAGAGAGTGTTTAGTTCCAAGTTTCACTAAATAGGGTTTTGCAAATGGGCGATAGTGGTGGCGTGTCTCTCCCATCGACGGGCACCGACGCCAAAAAGCGCCGCGTAACCTATTTCTACGAGCCCACGATCGGCGACTACTATTATGGCCAGGGACACCCAATGAAGCCTCACCGGATTCGCATGGCACACAATTTGATCGTGCACTACTCTCTCCATCGTCGGATGGAGATCAACCGGCCTTTCCCCGCCGGTACCACCGATATCCGGAAGTTCCATTCCGACGACTATGTCAAGTTCCTTTCTTCTGTGTCTCCAGAGTCTCTGTCCGACCCTGCGCATAATAGGCATCTTAAGAGGTTTAATGTTGGGGAGGATTGTCCTGTTTTTGATGGGCTTTTTGGATTTTGTCAGGCGTCTGCTGGTGGTTCGATTGGGGCGGCCGTCAAGCTCAATCGTGGTGACGCCGATATTGCTTTGAATTGGGCTGGTGGTTTGCATCATGCTAAGAAGAGCGAGGCGTCCGGGTTTTGTTACGTTAATGATATTGTGCTTGGGATTCTCGAGTTGCTCAAGGTCCACAGGGTAATAGCTTCTTCTTCTTCCCAAGTTCTGGGTGTGGTGATGTTTTATGTGAATTGTTAAGGTAGCATTTACACTTGTTTCTTAGTTTAATGTTTGGTTTTGGAATTAGTTCTACTCTACTTTTTCTTGTGTTAGTGTCTTCCATCTCTTTGCTTCTCGCAGAGGAAAATATGTGAGAATGTAATGGTTGGTTAAATTTTCATACTCATATTGTCATATCCAAAACTTATTTACATTAAGCAACATTTGCACATTTTTAGACTATAAGTTCGATTAGTATTGTGTGTACATGCTTAAATTTTCTGTCGTTGTGTGTACATGCTTATCTGTGTTGTGGTTGAAAATGGTTGAAATTGGAGAACAGGTAGTTAGCATTAGCACGAATTTTATGGATTGAAATTAGTTCTGTTCCTATGTTGGTGTTTCTGGAGCAAGAAGCCAGTCTTACCCCCAAGATGCCTTGGCTAGCTTTCTTCCTCGATCAGTTCATCGGCTTTTTTAGAGGAATTAGTATCTTGCCTAACCTAGTCCTTGCTTTCCCAAACATTTGCTAACCAATTACTATATATATGTTAACAAAACATAGCTTAACAAATTTGCTAACCTAGTCCAACTTTTGTCTGCCTTTGTTCTTGCCTTGGCGCTTTGCTTTGCCCCTTGCTGAAAGCAGTTTAACAACTGAATGCCAATCTGTTGTTCTTACAAAGGTACTTTGAAATGCATTAGTTCATATTTCTGTTGGATTTGCTTAAATACAAAAGGCTTGTAATAGCCACACATCTTCAATTTTAGCTGAAAGAATATATTTAGGTTTTTCTGTGTTTAATTGACCTCTATATTTCTTGTGTTGTCACATCAGATTGTATGCTCACTGAAGAAAACATGTTTTGTAACGTTGTTGCAAGTTGAATTGATTCTTTATCCCTGTTCACTTTCCAAGATATGTATAGAATAAAAAATGTTGCTGATGCTTTGTTGATATATTGGCAGCGTGTCCTGTATGTTGATATTGATGTCCATCATGGTGATGGTGTTGAGGAGGCATTCTATACTACTGACAGGGTCATGACAGTCTCTTTTCATAAATTTGGAGATTTCTTTCCAGGAACAGGCCACATAAAGGACACTGGTGCTGGCCAAGGGAAGAACTATGCCCTGAATATTCCATTAAACGATGGGATGGATGATGAAAGTTTCCGCGGTCTTTTCCGGCCCATCATCCAAAAAGTCATGGAAATTTATCAGCCTGATGCGGTTGTTCTCCAATGTGGAGCAGATTCACTATCTGGTGATAGGTTGGGCTGCTTCAACCTGTCTGTGAAGGGCCATGCTGATTGCCTTCGTTTTCTTAGATCTTTTAATGTTCCTCTTATGGTCTTGGGTGGCGGGGGATATACTATAAGGAATGTTGCCCGTTGCTGGTGCTATGAGGTCTGTCATCCCCTTTCTTCTACTGTACTTCTGGTTCTCTCTCTCTCTCTCTCTCTCTCTCTCTTTATTAGTTCATTAAGTCCCTTAATTGGTAAGTGGTTTGTTACTTTGTCGCAGACAGCAATTGCAGTTGGGGTGGAACCTGATAATAAATTGCCATACAATGAGTATTATGAGTACTTTGGCCCTGACTACACGCTTCACATTGAACCATCTAACATGGAGAACCTAAACTCGCCCAAAGATATGGAGAGAATAAGGTGATTTGGCATAACACATTTCTTGCTTACAGTCAATGCTGTAGCAAGTGCCAGTAATTTACTTTATATTTGCATTTTTTGAAGATAAAACTTTGAGTTGTTGTACTTAGAATCCATAATGAACTTTTTTTTTTCTAATGGAGATGTCAATGCATTTCCAATTTGATTCCTATAGTTGTTTGTAATTATACCTTTTTCTTTGACAATTTTCTGATTCACAACTTGTTCAGGAACATATTACTGGAGCAACTTTCTAAACTGCCCAATGCACCTAGTGTACCTTTTCAGACAACACCACCCACTACTGAAGTTCCGGAAGAGGTTGGCAAGCAATGGCATACAAATCTTTTTTAGTAATTTCATGGATCTAACTTCCTGACCAGATGTCTTTCTTCCATTATTGGGATTCATTTGATGCAGCCTGAAGAGGATATGGATCGAAGACCTAAACGACGCATATGGAATGGTGAGGATTATGAGTCGGATCCTGATGAGGATGGGGAGCTTCGGCCTAGAAGATTGAACAATGATAGTCGGGCAGTGGCAAAAGATGAAATGAGGTAATCTTTTCTTGTGATATATTTTCCTTTCATAACTGAACCACAGAAGAAGATAGAGATATAATATGATTGATATGTAATTAACTTTCTTCATCCATTTGTTCAGTATATCAAATTTGTATAAAATTCTTGCATGATTATTCGAGACCATGGGGAGACACATAGTTATACATGTAGAGAATAGTCAACGCAAATCACTACATTGTACTGAAACATTTCTTGCCCTTCTAATTTGTGTTTTTTTTTTTTTATTTAGAGATCATTCACATGAAATGGAAGAAGACAAGAAAGAAGAGCATCCATGATGTTGATTTATGGAACGGTGTCTTCTTGTTTTAGTGCCTCAGAGCTTGTAGACTAGGCGATGTTCCTCCAACAAGAGAGCTTATACTTCCAAGCCAAAGGATTGTTGTTAGATAAATTAAGCATACAGTAGGAACTTACACAAAACAAGTTAACTTCTCCCCCTATCACTCTATTGTTTGAAAATGTATTGTCATAGAACCAGGCTTTGATTTGATATTCAAGTTAGAATATAGATACAATTTACTTATTTTTTCTCCTTTCCTCTTCCTACTGGTTTTTGGGGTCATCTTTTTATTTTTGTTCTCTTGTTTATACATTATGTACACTTTGTAATTATTTTATGCAAGGGTCACACAGTCATATCAACTTATAGAGTGTAGTCTTTATACTAAATTACTGAGCAGGAAAATTTGGTTTTCATTGCAATTAAGGATTGTGATTTGTGAAGCATTAGCCAACCACTATTTTTCTTGTGTCTTCAAACACCCAGGCTCCATTTGTTTTTGCAAAAATAATTTGTTTACAAAATATTTTCCCATTTTTCTGATGTTTTGAATACCTAGAAAAATCAGAACCCATTTTTTTTTTTTTTCGGTCAAAAGAAAATTGAACCATTTTAAGGTTTAAGGGAAAATCAAATCATTTTAACAATAACTTTTGAGAATATGGAGTTTTTATAATTCTAAATATTTTTAATTAATTTTTTGTATTGCAATTAAATAAAAAATTAACTAGAAAAAAAATTAAGAAAAATGTCAGAAAATATTTTTAAAAAAATTCCGAAAAGAAACAGACTGAAAATAATTTGTTAAATTTTACAATTCTACCTTCAATATGGGCTTACTTTTCAGTTTTCACGTGCCTGGATTGATTCCTGCAAGGCCCAAAGTCTCTACGAAGATTTTTATTTTCCCCCCCTGAAAACTAGTCTTATTTTCTATTTTTGCCCTGTTGATTACAGAGTTTCCGCGACCACTGTTCAGTGCTCACTGGAGAGGAATCATACGGGAAAGAAAAAGGAAGAGATGACTTCAGTACAAATCGCACCGTTTACCCCTTACCCAGTTCAATTTTCCCGCTATGACAGCCCAATAAACCTTAAATTCTCTCTTAAAACCCCTGTGCAGTTCCTCCCAAGTTTTTCAACAGCAGCCAAATATCAACATACCCACCACTCCAATCCTACTAACCCTGTACAATCCAGTCCCAAAACCAAAATCTCTATACAATCCAATCCCAAAAGTAAGACCCTCCAAACCGAAACCTCTGTACAACCCAATTCCAGAAACAAGACTCGTAGACAGGAAGATGGCATCCCAACCGAAGACATCCAAATCATTGCCAAATTCAAATCCAGATACAATTACATTCGCGTTCTCGAAGTCTCCCGAAAAGTGGACCACCCTCTTGCGGGTTCTCGACTTCTCCTTCTAGATGATCCTGGAAATATCCACAGCATTTCCTTTAGCCACAAATTACTCACTAACACCTATTTCGACGTATTCGCCACTTTGCCTCCGATTTTGCCTCCCGGACCTGTAGCCATTCTAGGTTTCGGGGCGGGTTCAGCAGCCCGGTTGATACTAGAATTATATCAAAATGGAAGGGTTCACGGATGGGAGCTTGACCCATCTGTGATTGCAGTGGGGAGAAAGTATTTTGGGCTTGAAAGACTCGAAAGAGATTTCTCAGATAGGCTTTTTATTTACATTGGAAATGCATTGTCCTTAGAATCTTATGTTAGAGACGGATTCTCCGGTATTCTTGTTGATCTCTTTAGCAAAGGTAGTGTTATACCTGAGCTTCAGGATCCGAACACTTGGGAAGAGTTCACTAGGTGTTTGAGGAAAGGTGGGAGAATAATGGTGAATGTTGGGGGTCGTTGTGTGGAGGCAGAAGATAAGAGAAGAGACGGCGCTGTGGTTATGCAGGATACTTTGAAGGCAATGCATCAGGTTTTTGGTGACAATCTTTTTGTTTTGAGTCTTGGAAGTCAAAATGATGATAGCACGATTGCCCTTACTGGTGAGTTGCCGGATCTTGATGCATGGAAATCGGTGGTTCCGCGGTCACTGAGGTTTTATATGGATATGTGGACACCATATAGCAGTTAGTCAGGTGCGTTTTTAGTTACTGGTATTTGTTTTATGGTGCTTCTGTTTGTAATTGAATTTGAAACATATTAATGCTCTTTTTGTATTTGTGTTTATTCCTCTATGAATCAACATTTTATTTTTTTTTTTGTTGCTCGTAACTTGCTAATCAAGCTGACATTTTATGCCGACATTTTTCTGTAATATTTTCTTCCCTCGTACATTGTCAATTTGGTATCAAGATGCCATATAAGGTAGGTATTCTGCAGTGCCATTTGATAGGTAAACTTATTAACATAAAGTATACAACGTCGGTTTTGGGTTCTGATGCCAATTAATGCTGATTAATATTCCACCGATGTTTTGTTATTTCTTTTCCCATAGTCTGATGGATTGCAGAAAGACTTCATTGCAAGTTTCTGAGTTTGGAAATGGCCAAATGAATATGGTTTCGGCCAGAGGTAGCTTTGGATGCAGAATTCTGGAGACTGCCGGTAATTTAAATCTGTGCCATTTCGTAGCCTAAGGTCGAGAACTCCATCTCCGCCACCACCATCAGTCCAAATCTGACAAACATCATTAGGTGCTGGCATACCTCCTCTACAGGCTGTAGTAGCTAGCTATATTTATGAGTTTGTTCCATTACTGTTGCTTTTTAAGCAAGCAGTGGATTTTTCTGCATATTAAAACTTTGTTAGTGTCTGTTGAAGCTTTGGCAGCTTAAAAGCAATGCTAAAATATTGATACATTGTCAATTTTGCTTCAGTTATTTGTTCTTTATTCAATAGGACAAACTTTCAGCCATTTCGACATGGTAATCAAACACTATATGTTTTTTTTTTTTTTGGTGTAGTCTATAAGCTAGGACTTAAGTAGTTAATCATCACAAGAAAAAATTTTGGCCAAATCTCTACATAAATTTTCTAATAATGACCTGATAGATATAAAATCAATATTGAGCTATTCAATTTGAAATTTGGTAACTATTGACCTGTAAATGTTAACTTTAGTACCTGCATGTGAAATGAACTCTCACAGCCAACGATTTGTGCTGCCAATAGAGAAATGGTTAATGATCTACCGCCTCGAGCATTCTCCAATAAACTTTGTTCTGGACCCTTCAAAGTAAGATCATTGTCAAGATTTCTGGAGATTGAAATCAATTCCCAGTAAAGATGTGTTATCCATTAGGTATGGGATCTAAAGGATTATGAAGAAGTTTAATGACTCTGTCCTGCACGTGATATTTGGCTGCATCCAGTTCATTCTGAAAAAATAAAACCCATCAATAGTGAAGTAAAAGATTACTATTTTAATTCTTAAAATAACATTACCCTTTTATCTGCTTTTGTAGGAGAAAGAAGCAAGCTTGCTTCTAATATTGTGAAGAATTTTGCAACGGTTTCGTTACTTGTCTATCTCTTCCTTTTAATTCTTTTGTTAACCAAAAAAATCCTCGAAGTTGAAGTATCCTTTATTCCTTTCCTTTTGGATTCCCAGAAAAATAAAAGAGAATGTGGCTTTTGTATTTATTTTCAAGTAATTCTTCAATGTGTTAATTTCAAACGATCGTGAGACAGAAAAAAATTAGTTCACTTAGCTTCTGCAGATTGCAGCGATCATTAAGGTAATTGGATTGCAGGCTTTAACGGCCATAACTGTATCTTCGATTTTAAAACTAGCCGAAGCAGCGATTCGTGATTATTCAACAATCGCCTAGAAATCTTCATTCATTTTCCATTTCAAGCAAACCCAGACAAACATGACAAGTTGAACTTCGAGACATTTACTAAATGTCGGTAAAGTTTTCCTCTCTTCTTCAAGAACTCACAAAGTCCCATCAAACGCGATCAAGAACCAAGCAGTTACATGCTCTAATCCTTAGATCCCACCTCTCCCATGAATCTTTTTATGCAACTAAGATTCTAAGGTTCTATGCTTTGAACGATGATCTTATCTCTGCTTACAACCTGTTCGACAAAACTCCTCAACGGAGCATTTTCCTATGGAATTCAATGATTCGAGCTTTTGCCAAAGCTCACAAATTTGATGAAGCTCTATCGTTTTATGCAAAAATGCTACGAACAGAAACAAAACCTGATAACTTCACTTATGCTTGTCTTATACGAGGGTGCCATGAAAATTTTGATCTTGATGGTTTGAGAATTTTACATGGAGGTTTAATTGTTTCTGGGTTAGGTTTGGATTCTGTTTCCTCTAGTGCATTAGTGACAGCTTACTCAAAATTCAGTCATGTTAGTGAAGCAAGCAAGGTTTTTTCTGGGATTTTTGAGCGGGATTTGGTTCTATGTAATGCCATGATTTCTGGCTATAGTTATTGTGGATTTTGGGGTAAAGGGTTACAGTTGTTTAATGGAATGAGAGAAATAGGGAAGCAACAGCCAGATGGGTTTACTTTGGTTGGGCTTATCTCAGGTTTAATGGATTTTAGTCTGCTGGGAATTGGCCAAGGAATTCATGGGCTCTGCTTGAAAAGTGGTTTTGATTGCAATGCCTATGTAGGCAGTGCACTTGTAAACATGTATTCAAGATTCAAGTGCATGAATTCAGCATATGGTGTTTTTATCGGTTTATATCAGCCTGATTTAGTTGCATGGTCCGCTTTGATAACCGGATTTTTGCAGTGTGAAGATTATAAGAAAGCTCTTTTCTTCTATAGGAATTTGTCTGTGGCAGGTAAGAAGGCAGATCCAATTCTGATTGCTAGTTTATTGGTGGCTTCTGCTCAATTAACAGATGTGCGGCTTGGTACTGAGATACATGGTTATGTTCTTCGACATGGATTGGAATCTAATATCATCGTTTCTTCTGCTCTTATAGATATGTATTTGAAGTGTGGTTTTGTGGGGTTAGGTATTCTTGTTTTTGAGAATATGCGCAACAGAAATATTGTTTCCTACAATTCAGTAATTTCTGGTCTTGGCTTGCATGGACTTGCTGCTCAGGCTTTTAAACTGTTTGAAGAGATGCTAGAGAAAGGTTTGAAACCTGATGAATCCACATTATCTGGCCTCCTTTGTGCTTGTTGTCATGCTGGCCTTGTTAAAGATGGCCAGGAAATTTTCAGAAGAATGATGGATGAATTTTGCATCCCACCTAGAACGGAACATTATATTCACATTGTAAAGCTCCTAGGAATGGCAGGGGAGTTGGAAGAGGCATACAATTTTGTTTTGTCCTTGATGCAACCAGTGGATTCTGGAATTTGGGGAGCACTTCTATCATGCTGTGATGTCCATGGGAACACTGAGTTGGCGGAAATTGTATCCCAGCAACTCTTTGATAATGAGCCGAGAAAAGGTGCTTACAAAGTTATGCTTTCTAACATTTATGCCAGTGATGGGAGATGGGATGATGTAAAGAGAACAAGAGATAATATAGTAAATGTTGGAGCAAGGAAAATGCCTGGTCTTAGTTGGATTGGAGGTGGATGCAATTAATAATGAAATGATAAAGAAATATCTCAAATCCCCTTCATATCAGATACGTACTGGAAGCTTGTCCAGAAGTAAAGCTTTTACTCTTCATAAATTCAGGATTGATCATTTTTATCCTTGGATACCTTTTCGTGTCTCTCACATCTATCTTACTTCCACTGCTCCAGTTATTATCCATTATAAAGGCCACAGGTAAACGTGATATTCTTGTATAGTAGAATCTAATGAGTGGAAACATGATATTTGACATTTGAGAAATAGGTTTAAAATAAAGATGATATGCCCTTCTCTTTTGCTGTTGGTATATTCTGTTAGATGGAAATACTTTTCAATTGATGCAATTCATATTAGAAGATAATTTCAAGATACTTATCTTCCAATTAGTTTCTTTCATGATTGAAGCGATTCTATACCTCATGCATGATCCCTTTTCTGGATAAACACCTGTAATGTGAAACTGAGTTGCATGGAAGTGGCACTTTGATAGAATCCTACAAGTAGAACTGGTTCAGGAATATGATCAAAATATTTGCTACCTATTTCAGTTCTCTATACTCAACATGAATATCAAATTATCTTTTCATAAAATTCCCAGACCAATACAAGCAGCAGTGAGACAACAACACATGAATGGTTGAATACATACACAATAACAAGTGATAAAGTACAGAAATTTAAGGGACTTCTATAGTCATTGGAATCCTATACTTATTTGTATGAATTAACACAAACATGATACTAGGCCACAACTTTATTCTTCAGATTTAACTTCGGTTTGATTGCAAGGGTGGTCATGTGCCATTGAATTCAAAACAGACATGGGCAAGAATGATATTCTTGGAATGTGCCCGATCTTGTAATTTTCCTCCCCACCATCAGGTTTTAACCTTTCAGCATGTTCATCAAGCAAAGGCAGCAAATCCAACTGCTTCAAAGTAGTGACGGACTGCAGACCTTCTGGGAGCATCCTAAGACTCAAACAGTTGTGGAAGTGGAGGTATTGTAAGCTTGGCAAAGCTCCCTCTTCAAGCTCTGTCCATTCCTCAAGAACATGAGAAGCAATGCTGAGAATCTCAAGTTTGGGAAATCCACCGGCTTTGCAGAATTCTTTTCCCAGTTGTTTTGCATCATAAGCTTGCCATAGGGTTAAAATTCTCAAGTTAGGTAGAAGCTGAAGAACTGATGTTGGGTTCTCAGATAAATGAGAAAAACCTAGCCTTAGCTTTGTAAGATTTTCCATTGAGCCAAGCCAGCTGGGTATCTTTTCTAGGAGACCCTCTAGGCGAAGTTTCCTAAGAAGAGGTGGAGGTGTGAATGACTCTGAGAGCACAAGGTGTTGCTTGTTGAAGAATGTTGCTTCTAGAGACAAGCAAAAAAGACCTTTCATCTTCATTATGGAGGCATAAAGCTCACCAGCATTCTCTTCAGCTACATCCATCACTCCTAGTCTCCTAAGCAGAGTCAACTTGTCTAATTCCCCTGCTATGCCACCCCCAGCATGCACACCGGTGAGTGTCAAGAGGTTTCTTAATCTACCCATTCCCTGTGGCAGCTCCACGCCACTAACATTTATACTCTTGAACATTTTTAAGTGCCTTAGGCTTACAAGTCTTAATATCTCAGGAGATAGTTCTGATAAATTCCCGCACCATCTTATATCTAGAGTCTGCAGTGCTCGTAGTTTACCAAGTGTTGCTGGAAGCTCATTTAAGTTGCAGTGTTTCAAGCCAAGATATGTCAGGTGAATCAGGTCTCCTACTTCATCTGGCAATCTCTTCATTTTGGTATTCTCTAGATCTAGCACCCGTAAAAACTTTGCCCATTTCAAATCCACCCAATTTCCTTCAATATTTTCTTGATTTCCAAACAAGAATAAAGACCGAGGCTGGAGATTATTCTGCCCAATTTTTGACATGTCAGAAGTTAAGACACAGCGTGCTGTACGGGGTATTTTCACATTACTTGCATCTAAATCAGCTTGAGTAATTGTAAAATTTTCTCCAAGGAAAATGCGATAAGGAGAAGAAACAATTAGTTTAATTCCATCCCCTGGATGTCTATCTATTACTTGAAGCATTCCCCGGTTGACTAGCTCATTTATATTTTCTTCTGCTACTTCTTCTAACAATTGTCCTGTTTTCTCTTGTATCAGACCTTCAGCTACCAACCACCGGATCAATCTACCCTTGTGTATCCAGTAATTCTCAGGAAATATACAACAATACATCAAACAAGATTGAAGGTAATAAGGTAAACTATTGTATTCTAATTTGAATGGAACAGTGGAAGATGCAGAAGATGCCTGACCTTCTTTCTCTCCCTTCTTTTCTTCCCTTACAGTTGAAATATTGAGTTCTGTGATTCTGCAGACGGTTTCAGCGATTTGAAATTCTATCTTCTGCAGTTCGTGTCTGAAACATTCGGTCAACGCCAGCCTATCAGCCCCAATTTTTTTAGCCATCTGAATCATGAACTCATCAATATGGTCATCCATGGCAAAAACTATATCTTTGACTTTGTTGACCCAACTACAAAGAGCAGCATCACTTTCTGCGTTGTCCTTATCTCCAAGAAACTCACCAATCTTCTTGAGTGAGTCTTTGATACTTAAAATTTGATCAGTGAGACAAGTAAAGGTCTCAGCTTCTTGAAGCAATAGAGTTTCCAATCTCTGCATAAAGAACTTAACAAGGGCCTCTGCCATTTCTGTTAATTCTAGAAATCAATTGATCTTCTCAAAGAACAGAAGATAATGGATATACTTTTATAGACGATGGTGATTGGTGATTGGCCAGAGTCTTGTGTGTTTTTGGGATCATCGAAAGAAATTTCTTGGTTTACAAGTTACACCGTTTGGAAATAACACCAAGGAGAGAATGCTTGGATTGGGTTGGCTCTATCGTTGACTTGATGGTGGAAACCTCAAAGCATAAATGGTTGAGTAGAGAAAATGAGATATGGCAGCACTGTAGCTTACTTGGGCACAACGATCTTATAGCTTCTTGCATGAATTGTGTACCATTTAACATAGTGTGTTATTTATTAATATTTTGAGCTGTTATTAAGGAATAAAAATATTTATTAAAGATTACTAAAATGCGTTTTTAAAACAACATATTAAAACATGAAAGAGTTCAAGAGGAGTACTGACTAATGGGTTTTTGTGCCTGAGTATTTAACCATTTTCACCGTAGATCAGACTTGTGTTGTTATGTTTATAAGAATTGAAGTCGTTTATCGTTCTAATTAATATTTTATTGATAATATATTATTAGAAATGGTAAAAATAATATTTTTAAATCAAGGACTAAAAAGCATAATAAATGAAATTTTAGATTCCGTTTGTTTCCGTAAATAAGTTGTAGGAAAATAACTTATTGAAAAATGTTTAGATGGAAAATATTTTCCTTGAAAAATATTTTTTAAAATTAATTATTTTTTGTTGTTTGGTTGTAATATTGAAAATTAGTTAAAATATTAAATTATTTATCTCATAAGACCATAAAAAATATTAATAATAATCAATCAAGGAACCTAAAAAGAATATAAATTGAAATTTGATTCGTTTTTTTTGTAAATAAGTTGTAGGTAACACTACCTTAAATTGAAAATGTTTACTGGAAAAATATTGTTCTATGAGTGTGATATTTTGTTTAACCAGAATTATCCTATTGTGATTTGTTGCCGCTCGGATGTAACATTATAGAAAAATTTAGATGTAAAAATAATTAAAAATTGAGTTATCTCATAAAGACCTAAAAGCAGCAATTAATAATAATAGAATTTTATTGAAATTTTAAAAATTCTTATTATTAAGAATGAAAAAGAATATAAAAAAAAATATAACTGCCTATGACACGTTCGGCGCCCGCGAACGCCCCCCCTGGTGGTGGTAGCCCCCGGTGGTAAGTGGTTTATAATTTAAAAATTTTATTATTAAATATGAAAAGAATATAAAAAAAATATAAATTATGAAAGCCGCCGGTGGTGGTAGCCGGTGGTAAGTGGTGACTGTTGGTAGTAATTTTGATGATTAATAAATTAAAAAATATGGATTTATAAGGTTTGTTAATATCCAGAAAATATTTTATTCTCTTGAAAGTAAAAAGTTATTTTCCTTTTAAAAATTACTTAATTTTCTTTTGATCAATAAAATATATTCCGTTGACTTAGTTTTCTGAATGCCCAAATAAGGGAAACAAGCGGAAACAAATAAATAGGCAGTAAATCAATTTTTCTGCAATTTATTTTACGGAAACAAGTGGATATAAAAATTAATTTCTGTTTTTTTTTTTAAAAAAACCATAAGATCTCTGTTTGGTTAATTATTTAAATTATATTTTTAATATTTTATTGCAGTAAATCAAAAAAAAAAAAAACAAAAAAGTTGATCAAAAGGAAAAAATTGTGCCATAAAATTTGGAAGAAGAAAATAAATAAATAAATAGGCAGCCCCTACTATCCCATTGTTCGGTGATAAACTCAGCAGGAACAGGGAAAGCAAAGAGTGGGAGACAAACATGGCGGGAAACCAACCGCTTCAAAACTCGAAGAGAGGAATCCTAGAACCCGTGAAAGAGCTGTGGCAGATACACTATTCTCGCTTCTTCAGCTTTCCTCGTCTCTCGTCGACTTGCGCCATCCTCAAGCCCCTTTCTTCTCGATGCATCAAGAAAAACCCTCATGGCTTGCATGGCAAATGGGTCTCTTCATCTTCGATGGCCTCTCTGCATCTCAAAAATGATTACGCTGATGCTCGTGGGTTCGTCCTCGTTGTCTCATTTCAAGGGAAAGTCTATGTGCGTATTTGTTATATGCGACCCCGTTTTTTGTTTGTTTGTTTGTTTATTTATATGCACCTTTGTTTTTGTACATGCTGATTATCTAGTAGTTTGGAAGAATTTGTGAACCATGCGTGTACTTCCATGGTGAAACATTCGAAGTCATTCTATGGTTTGCTTTTCAACAATTTTTTTTTTTCAATGTTCTTGTTAAACTGATGGAGCTGTTTTAGAAACATTTGAATAAATTTTTTTGCACTGTTCGAGATTTTCCCAGTTTAGGGTTTCTGATTGAATAAGGGCTAAGACAATGTGATATTTACCTGTTCTCCTTTGTTTGTTTATTGTATTTTTATTTTCTTGTTTGATGGTTTTTGTAGTTAATCTCAATTCCAATTATGAATGATTGAGAAACTTGTAGACTCACTGTGGTTTTTGGGAAATGTTAGGAATTCCCCTAATTTTCATTTAGATTTCGAAGTTCACATTTCCCTTTTCCATTTATGTTTATGGATTCATTTTAAACTATGACATTTGTTTTCTTCAGAAAAAAAAAAAAGAAAAAGAAAAAGAAAAAAAAAACTCCCATGATTCTCATGGTTCTCAATATATACTTTAAACAAAATCATCTGAATTAATTGGTTTCATAATCCCCTGTTAGTTACAGTATGGATACCATCTACCTTAGATAAATGGCTGGATTTGTGCTTGAAGTTAAAATGTGCAACATATCGCTTTCTATTACGGTAATGCTAGGCTACAAATTTGTTGAAGTTGGCTTAAAATGATTGTCTTCTAATTTGTTTAAATTTCATATCAAATGTTTTCCTCGGTTAAGTGCTGCCTCTTTGTCACCTCGCCATAAAGCCATTTGATCAGCAGTCACTCGCTTTGGAAGGCACAATAATCCTCCCTACGTTTCTTGATCCATGAATGATCTTTTTTTTTTTTTTTTTTTTTTTTTTTTTTTTTTTTTTTTTTTACAAATTTGTTGAATTTGGCTTAAAATGATATGTCTTCTAATTTGTTTTAAATTGTTCATATCAAATGTTTTCCTCGGTTAAAGTGCTGCCTCTGGTCACCTCGCCATAAAAGCCATGTTGATCAGCAGTCACTCGCTTTGGGGAAGGCACAAGATAATCCATTCCCTACGTTTTTTGATCCATGAACTGATCTTTCATTTTCTTTATTTATTTTCTCTTTGTTTTTTTTGTTTTTTTTATTTTTTTCCAGTGCTTCTTACTGGCTTGTCCACGTGGATGCGTTTGTAGGAAACCGTAGCTTGCCAAAAGAGAAATGGTCCATAGAAGTATTTCAAAAAGTGATGCGATGACCAGGTTATAAATTGTACGAAGGGAGATGCTCCACTTCCATGAGACCATATTAGGTTCTTAGGTTCCAACCGCGCGGATCCGTACGACTAAAGGAAATCAACTTACATTCCTTAGATGATATAATGGCTACCTTTCTGGCGTTTGAAGCGTCATGTTTTCTAAATTCTTTGATTGCAATGCGAGAATTGTTGCGTTACACATATACTGATCTCAGCAAGGGCCTTCTTGAATTGGTCTAACAGGAAAGAAACACCACATCTGCGCGAACGACTGGAATTTCTCTTGGGCCTCAGGTGTCAGTGTCCTGGGGATGAATAGCCCTATTATACAACACGCACAAGGCCCGGAGCCCGAGCGAGGGTAGCAGCAGTATTGTAGTTTGGCAAGTCTACAGAGGACAGTCCTGGTGAGGCCAGGCAAGTTTCTTGCCATGCAATCCAGATTGGTACGTTACGGAGCGTACGTATATCACGAAATCAAAATGGATTCATTGGGATGTTTGCCTTTTTTTTTTTTTTTTTTTTTTTTTTTTTTTTTTTTTTTTTTTCCATTTTTATGGCTTTCACTAATGCTTGAGAAAGCTTGCAAAAGAGAATGGCCATAGAAGTATTCAAAAGTGATCGATGAGCCAGTTATAAATTGTGAGAATGCTCCTTTCCATGAGATTTTTAGTTTCTAGGTTCCAAGGGAGTCCTTCGATAAAGGAAACAATTACATTCCTTAGATTATAATGGCTACCTCTGGTTTGAAGCGTCATTTTTTAAATCTTGATTGCAATGGAGAAATTGTCGTAAATATACTGATTCAGCAGGGCTTTTGAATTTCTAACAGGAAGAACACCACATTGCGAAGCTGAATTTCTCTTGGCCTCAGGTGTCATGTCTGGATGAATGCCCTATTCGAGGTAGCAGAGTTGTATTTGCAAGTTACAGAGACAGTTTAGGCCAGGCAAGTTTCTTGCCTGCAATCCAGATTACTTACGGAAGCTAGTTTGACGAATCAATGGATTCATGGATTTGCCACAGAATTTATACTTCTCCTTATGTTTACAAATAATAACTCTATATTTGTACCAGTTTTCATATTTATAACTTCATCTTCAAAGAACAATAAATAGATGATGCTCTGCTCTCTAGTTTCTACCATATTGTCCTGAAAAGTCAATGGCTATAATTGAACCCATGAACCTCGTCATCCATTTCTAGAAACTGGATAAGGAAAGATACTTGTTCAACTTAAGTAAATAGTGGTCTTCCTTGTCTTTTCAATTCCAGTTGGGTGGAAAAAGATTCCCTATTTGTAATTGCTCTAATTTTCAATGCTAAAAAATTACTTGGCCAAGTAAGGAAATTCGAGTTGCTGCTATTAATTCTCACCTCATATTACCTCATTTTCTTGAAGTTATTCTATATTGTTGTCTTTGTTGAGCATGTAATGTGATTTTGCAGGTCCAAAAGTTTGCCATGCGCTTTTCATCATCTTCTGACTCGCAAACATTTGTGAACTCATTAAAGGTGTGACTAACTTTTCCCAGTGTGATAACTATGTTGCATAGGTGTCCCAATACATTTGATGTAGCTGAATTCAACCCCATCACTATGTTTCATCATCTTGGAAGTAGATATTGTTATGGAACGGAGTTATATGAGGAGTGGCTTGCTTTTCAGTAGCCAATAGTAATGATTGAACAAGTAATTACTTTTAGTTTAATGGAAATCAACTGATCTAAAGCCTAAGCCTATTTATGAATGGAGCCTTTAGATCAAGAAATAGGAGCATCATTGAGTATGAGGGAAGTATTTTGAATATAATCCTTGTCTCCGAGTCCATATAAATATAACATAGTGTAATTTTCTGGAATACTATTGTGAAGTCATGCAATTTGAGTCAGAAGATATACATGCACAAAATTTATGTTTCTTTCATAACATCATTTATATGTTTCTATCTCAGGAAAGCTTGAAGGATGTGAGAAATATAAGACTTACAAACAGGACGTTTGGATTAAAAAAGACCTCTTCATCTAAGCATATCTCTACAAAGGCCATTCATGAGAGGTGATGCATTTTTTCATATCCTTTGTGCACGATAGTTTCATGTCTACAGGACAATCTAAAATCAGAAAGATAGCAAATTTGAAGATTTGTAACTGATGCTTGAAAAGAATGAATGACACAGACATGTTGAGGAATTGAGCAACGTGAATCCTGTTGGGAATTATGGTCCTGTAATACAACCCATGTCAAATAATGAAAGCATATATCCTGGGAATCCAGTACTTGCTGATGGCTCACAAACTGCCTGTGCTCCCTTGCCTTCCAGCTTCACTGCTTTCCTCCTTGACTCTTGCACCGTGGCTGAAGAAGAAGGTACCATGATAACATGATCACATGGTTGGAACATGACAATTCTCTCTTCACCATGCAAGGCATATGCTACTTTTAGATTATCAATTCACTATTGGCAATCTGTTTTTCTTACTGAATCTGTAAACTCTAAATGCTGCAGAACTGCCAAAAGCATCCAATGAGGCATTTTATCTCAATACCCAAGTGAAGGTATTTTCTTCTCATCAATAGGGTTGCTCAACTTGTTTGTGTATTCATTTAATACTGTCATTTGGAAATCTCTCTTGACCGGTATACTTCATATCAAGGTAACTGTGGCAGCCTTGCTTAAACCATTATCATTATTCTTTAGAATCTTTATCTGATAAACTCATATTTGTTTTCTTCCAAGTGTTGGTTGTTTTTTCACTGTATCTTTTATGTTTTTTTCTCTTGCAGAGTATGACAGATTATTCTTTCCATAGTAAGTGAATTTCTTTTGGTTTCTGTTTTGGTTGGCCACGCTTGAGCAGATATTTATTTGGTTATATATTTATAGTTTTTGCTTAATTTCTATTTAGTTCTCTGAGTGCAAGTTTGAAACCTGTTTGTAGTTCTGAAATTTAGTATGCAACATGCTGTGCTTATGAGTCAATTCCTGCTACCCTTCTGGGAATTAATGGTCTTTGGTTATCTCGTTTTTCACTTGTGCTGGGTGCGTTGATGATTTTAGGTTCTGTAAGTCATTGCCCACTATAAGTGAACTAGATACCCAGAAATGCCCCCCTAATTTTTCTGACATTTTTTGGTGAAAATTACTCATTTACTCGTGCAAAACAACCCAAAAATTCATAAATACTAACCGCTGAGTTATTGCAAGATTGCTATAACTTGTAATTTGCAATTCTGATTCTTGTTATTTGTTCCCTCATTTCTCGTCATCATCAGGTATGTTGATGAAATTAGAGATGGTTATTGATGAACTAGGAGGAGACTTGGCACTGTGATTGCCAATGGTTTTGCAGCAACCACCAAAGTTTTGCTCTCAACCTCGAGTCTGCAACTTGTAATTACCTGAACCAGATTCACTACAAAGACCATCACTTTTTTCGGCATTGGCATTGTATATTGCTTAACGCTACTAGTACACTGAACAATTATGGTGCTGCAACTCATCATACTGAAATTTCTCATTTCTATTCAGTTATACAATGCAAATTTACTCAAAAATCAGTGTCAAAAAAATTATCAATTTCATGGTCTACTATATCAGAACTCTGCATTTAAACTGTACAGCTTTCAGGGTTGAGTTGTAATGGCTGGTGCCCTTTTTTCATAGTTGAATATGATGATTCAGTTTGGGGCTAGCTTATCTGTTACTCTTCTATTTTAGTCAAAACTCTGAAAAAGGCCTACCCTGCCATTGCTAATATAGCGTTAGTGTAGTACGTGATGTTCTTTTTCTCATTAAGAATCAGAATCTTATTAATAGAAATAAGAATCAGAATCTGGTTTACCGAATATGAAGAAGTGAAAGTTTGTACCATGTCAGCCTATTAAAAGCCTCGGGTATCAGTTCCTATAGGCTCTTTAGCCTTTCAATCGAGTGACTAAATGTAAGTTTGAATGAATAGCCCAAAGATATTAACCAAAAATGGTCTTAATCAAATCTCATTTTTATTAATTCCGGTTTATCCAAAACTTGGGGCCAACTAAATTAAGCAGCAGATTACTAATATAACATACGTCAATTTAAATTTGTTCATATTTTTCCTTTTTTTTTTTTTTTTTTCCTTTATTCTGCTTTCTTCATGATGAACGATTTGGGGATATTCAGTGTGCATAATATAATCTATGAAGAGACAAATGCTGATCATATAATTATTTCATTATATTATCGTACATGTATGTCACTTGTTGGAAGATTTATTAAATGATTGAGGAAAAATTAAAGGAGGGAATTGTTAAAGAAAAAGTTGCAATATGGTCAAATATTGAGAAAGAAAATTTTGAAGACTTAACATGTGTATTATTAGATCTAAATCTAATCATTAAGCTTCGATTGTCTTCTTTTTCTATATGATCATTAACATTAATTATCTTGTCATCTTTGGTTTCATATCTGGAAACTGACCCACATGGAACAATTGTAGAAAGCAGGCCGGCGGGCGAAAATGGCAGTCTCTAAACAAAAGAAAAGAAACTGAATAACAGTAAAGTACACTTTAGAAAAGAAAAAGCATAAAAAAGGGTTGAAGTGATGAATTAAGCAGATGCTTATTGTGAGATTAAGAACTGGGTTTTGAAAAGAAATTACGAGAGACTGTTATGAACTCTAAAATAGGATTAATTTAATGCTAAAAAAGTATGAAGATACTTGCTAGAAAAATTAAAAGGAAAAAAGAAAATTAACACATCAGAAAATATTAATTTTATGGTTTAATCCTAAACTAGGATAAGACAATATTATAATGGAAACGAAGGGCATGTTTGCTGTTAATAAGTTGACATGTCTTCTTGTATTGCAATAAGATTTCTAAATCATAATCCCACCAGAAAATAACCTAGTTAGTTGAAACTAACTGACAGTTGCAGGACAAATATTAACCACTACAATGTGGCTCTGGTATGGGAGGTATTAGCCATTTTCCATTTCTGATACTGCTCATATGTACTGGTCTTTGTACATGCAAGTGGCGAAAGGTACATCCTTTTCAATTTCTTTTTTCTTTTTAAATACTGAAAAAGGGATTATATTGTCAGATTATAAATATATTTATGACTAGACTATATATTAATTTGCTCCCGAATTCTTACAAGGAGTAAATAATTTTTTTTCACATTTTTGGCAGGTGAGTATATGCAAATTTCACCTCAACAATCATTATTTCGTGATCAAAGGAAGAATTGAATAAAAAATTATTTCCAAAATTTTTGCAAACTCATTACAAAATAATAGGAAAAAGGGGGAAAAGGAAAAGTCAGATAGTGTACTAGATATTGCTAATCAATTTTCATCATTATCAATGGCCATGATTAATGTTGTAAAATTATTCAAGCTACTTTAAAGTTGTATGAGTACAACTTGATTAAAATTTGATCAAAACCTATTCATCAACTAAAACAAGTTAAATTTAAATATAAGTTGAAATTCAATTATTTTTCACCAATAAGCTTGATTATCCGTTAGCTTGATATCTAAAACTTTGTGAATAGTTCGAAGAAAAATAATTAAAATATTAATATTATCAAAATAATAATACTATATTTTATAAAAGTTCATAAGAAATAAAAGTCAATATAATATAGATATACATTTTTAATATAAAAAGTAGCTGTTAATATACAATATGGAGTCAAAATATTATTATTAAATAGAAAAATCTATTAAAATTTACAATTTTGATTAGTTAAACTTCTATGCCAGCCTCTTTGCCTTTAAAGGCTAGCAGAATTAATAAGGTTTATGGACCGTCATCGACATGAATTTGGATACTTCGTGCAAGTATATATATAAAAAAAAAAGGTTTGTGAGTGAATTTGAATTTTGCTCAAAATTGAATAAATTAAACATGTAAAAAAATTTGGTTATAATGTTAAAACCTAAGTTCGAATCACATATTAAACTAATCTCAAACATTGTGATACTCGATTTAGATTGACATATTTAATATTTTTATAATAATCTTATTTAGTAGGAAAATTAACACATTTAATTTTGAAATATTGTATTATGAGGGAGAAACAAATGGACGAGAGTTGCATACAAATGTTTCCCATTCTCATGATTGGCCTACACATAAACACGCACACATGTGATTGAAAATTGAAACACTGGTCGAGAGGAAAGGAGAGGTGGGGGATAGAGCAGAGCAGGGGACACTGATACTGATCATCAGGACAATGGACCGCCCAAACAATGGTCGGGGTTTTGAAAGGGACCAACATCACCAACACCATACATCTATTCTTCTCAATGCCCCACCTTACTAGGACTCTTACTACCTTTACTGTTCTTCTTCATCTTTATATATAGCTACTCTTTCTTAACTTCTTACTAAATCTACCATTAGCAGTACGATTTCTTTCTTCTTTTTCAAAAACGAAATACTAATAGTTGATTAGCTTAATTAATTGAAAATTTAATTTTTGAATGTGCAATTGGTAAGAAGGGTTTTATTTGATTAATTATATATAAAATAAGATAAAAAACATAAGTAAATGTAGTGTTTACTCATGATCATCTACTTATTATGAAACAATCTTTCACGAATAAGCGATTTGATCAACGGATTATATTATATTTTTGAGCGGACTTTATTTATAAAGTTCAGCAAAATCATAAATTTATAATAATAATAAAAAAAAGAGGCAATACAATGGATAATTAACAATTTCTTTTGGCGTCATAATTGAAAGAGAATCTATGTTGCGTAATAGAATTTATTCATAAACTTGGTAAGATTCCTACTCATGCATATTTCCATGTTTAGGCACAAATAAATGGCCGTCTAAGTCAGCAAGCATTAATATTTCTTGTTATGGCCACCGCAATATTAAGCTCCAACTTCAAAAGCAAAAACCAAACGCTACTTTTTCCATTTATTTATATTACTTCCGCGCGTTTACGATTCTACTTAATGCGACTGCAGGGCTATTTTATTACTTATAGACTTATAATTAAACTTCATCAGTGGGTTAGGCATTGAATAAATAATAAAATAAAGTAAATTTCTTCCACGACTATTCTTATATCATTTTTAAATAAGAGACTTATCTCATCTTTAAATTAATTTTTTTCGTAAATATTTTTTTGCTGATCAAATTTTCAACCTCATAAAAATCCTTCATTAAATAATGAAATCTCCATAAGATATCACAGAGGAAAAAGAAAGAAAAAAATCTAATCGATTAAAGAATTTAATAGGTATTGATTAGTGGTTTGACATTTTTCTCCAGGTCGAGAAATTTAATACTCGTAGAGATAAAAAAAATAAAATATTTAAATTTTATTCAGCCTGTTTTCTATGTAATAAATCAATCTTAGTTATACTATATAATTTTTCGAAAACAGAATTACTTAATTCTTAGACAAAACATTTGTATTATTTACTGTCGTGCTACTTTACCAATTACCATTATACTAAAAAAGAATGATAACCTAGTCGAGAGAGGGAGGGGGACCTTACAACCTTTGATTTTGAATATCTATACAAAAATTCATCGGCATCATCCATGCATGTCACTATCATATCATGGTGTCATGTCTATGCCCATCATCTTAATATCGCCCCCGGCATCATCCCTGATAGGAACCCTACGACGCTTTATAGGGTCACTGTGTTATTTTACCCTCTTCACCTAATTCAGTATTATTAGTTAGATGATACACATTTCCTATTCATCAACCACAGTATGCATATGCATAGGTCTTTTTCCCAATGCATTCTTCCTCGAGGGACCTCCTTATATGTAGGATAATGCCTGAAATGATTGCCCTCTATATTTTTCCACATATCAAAAATTATTTACTGTACAATTAAAGAATTTTTTACTATCTATCTAGGTATAATTTTTATTTTCAAAATTATACGATGAAACAATTCAAGAGTTATGTTTCCCATTAGCTTTTTCCAATTCAATTTGTAGTTCTATTTATTAACTGCATCTTCAGATTATTTATATCATTTCATGCAAAATTTATAAAATTAGAATGCTTGCTTGGGTGATTGCAAAAGTCAAAGAACTATAAATAAAGAAGATGTTGAGATGTTTCACTTCAAGAAGCAAGAAACTGAAAGGTGCTAGAGCAAAAAAAAATGTAGGTTAAGAAAGATAATAATATAATGATGTAGAAAGGGGACAAGGTGAAGAAATAGGTACTCACAATATAATATTCCATAAAAACAAAACCAATAATTAGCTTTTTGTTAACATAATATTGAACAATTAATTTTACTTAATTACTATCTATATCTATATATGTGTTATTATATGATCATCTCTATGAATAATATTAGTGTAGGGGCTATAATAAAAGTATTAATTGATAATAAATGAGTTAAAGACTGCTCAGCAATGAGTTTATAGCTACCAAAACTTTTCTTCAAACATAGTAGACGGTGCTTGAAATGATCTCCGTTTGGTTATATTATAATTTTGAACGTACTCTAATATACTTTTTTTTTTTTTTTTTTTTCTAAATATACTTTTTTTTTTTTTTATTTTTTATCCTAGTGGCTTTCTTCAAGAAACGTTAAAGCACCATTAATATAACACCTTTTTTTTTTTTTTTTTTATCCAGTGTTTCTCAAGAATTAAGCACCATATTCACCAAATACAGATCTCAAAAACCTGCAGGTCAGTCTATGCATATATAGCCCTACAACCATGACATTTTTCTTTAAGAACATTTGCAGAAAAGATCAGCAGAGTAATTATAACTGTACATTCAATACTATTTTCTGTAACTATGGTTAACTGCAAAAGACAATGTCAGCTATGCTAATCAATAATCTGGTACTAAATTTTAAATGAAGTAGGAGAATGGTGATTTTTTCTTTTTTTGGAGAGTAATTGGAGAATGTGATCAATAGAGCTAATTATTGGAAAAAGAAAATTAATTATACAATTTGGTTGTCAATAATAGAATTCTATTACCAAATTTTATATCATTTCTGAATTATCATATGCATTAAGAAGGAAACTTTAGTAAACAGCCAAAGAGTTTTAGCCAGTGTGAATAGGAATTAGGGTTATCCAAATCTGTATATACACAGTAGCATTCATTGGTGATGGATGTGATATGGGGGTGCAATAGAACACAAGATTCTTTTGCTTCAAGGTTAAAATGTAAAGTCAGCTTTTTTATGATTATACTTTAGATGATCTGTTCAACTATATATATAGTACAATTTTATTATTTTTATATTTTCCTTTTCCTCACATTACAGTATGATCTTAATTATATATATGATATTCAACAAAAACATGCATTTTCCTAATGAACAATACTTAGCATGACAAGTCATATTTTCACCTGATCAAAATCAAGGAATTCATTAGAAATTGAGGAATAATTTTTTTTTTTTGGTTAATTATTAGCAATATATTTATAACTAGACATAATTTCTTAGAGGGAAGTAATTTCTAGTGATATTTTCCTTAAGATGAAATTTTCAGTAAGCTAAATTACAAGCCAATTGACTAAATCATCAAAATTATCATAATTCATAAGCTATGATGAAGGAATCCAAATTTGTGATTTGTTTTCTTCATGTTTGAAGAAATGTTAAGTATTGCCATGAGATAGTAAATGAGAGAAATAGATAGATAGATATAATAGAATGAAAATGGGAGACATCCCCACATCCCTGATATTATTATTAGATGCATGGTCATAGTCATTCCTTTATAGTGTACCTCCCATTTATTGCCTTTGTCTTTTGCCTCCATTCCCTTCTCCATCCACTAAATGCTCTTTGCCTTCCTCTTCCCCTACTACCTTTTGTTTACTGAATTTTGCAAGTACCTTTCTCATTCTCTCTCTTCTCCAATTAGGGTTACCTCTTTGAGGGTTTCCCCTGTCATAAATCTCTGGAAGTTCTCCCTTTTATTGTCCAAGGCTACGTTATCTTGGGAAGGAACAAACAACTTCTAGCTCTTGAAACAGCTCTTCGAAAAAAAAAAAAAAAAAAAAAAAAAAAACCATTATACTACAAATATACATATCTACACATATACAATACCAATATAGATAACCTCTTCGACGAGTTATCATAACCCTGTTCATAAATCTCATGAAGTTCTCCCTTTATTAGTCACAAAGCGCCTACTATTATCTATGGAAGGAAGCAACAACTATCTAGAATAACTTGAAAAACAGACTACTTCGAAAAAAAAAAATAAAAAAAAAAAAAAAAAACGAAAAAAAAGAGTACTTCCTTTATTATATTCATCTGATTCAAAGAAAACACAGATCACAAACAGGTAAAACATATGTGCTGCCTTTATTCCTTTACTTATTGCTAATAATTCTTTTCTGTTTTTGGTTGTTATGGGTAAGCTAAAGGTCTAAATGGACACTAGAGTCCTACTGGGGTTAAAAGCCTCTATGATTTTAGGGCTTTGCTGTGTTCATGTTACAGCACCAAAAAAAAAAAAAAAAGATATAAACTGAGTATAAATATGAATATAATATTATTGAACAGATTAAATTATGGTGAAATGCAGTATTTCGGATCCTCATGTTCTGCTAATCAAAGGATTAATATGTTAATGAGTTTAAATGTTCTCATGGCAGCTCTGAATTATTTTTCTTAGTTTTAATCTGCTGTCCATATTTGGGTAGAAGATAAAAAAAAAAAAAAAAAGAAGTAAACTATTTATGTATAGAAAATGGATCTAAAATGATTATATGTCAGAAAAGACAATTGTGAAACCAAATTTCCAGAGTGTACAGTAATTAATTTTCATTTCAGAACTTACTCAAAAAGCCCAGAAAGACCCGAAGAGAAAAAAGGGAAAGAAAAAAAAGATGGAGGGAAAACAACCTACAAGAAGTAGAAAAGAAAGAAGTGGAAAACTATAGGAGTATAACTACCGGCAAGTTGACAGAAAAAAACAAGAAATGCATAAACTCCATTTCAGATGCAAATATTTATATATATGCATTTTGAAAAAAAAAAAAAAAAAAGAAGTAAATATTTATGTATAGAAAATGGATCAAAATGGATTATATGTAGAAAAGACAAATTGTGAAACCAAATTCAAGTGTGAGAATTAATTTTCTTTCAGAACTTAAATAGAGAGGGGGAAAAGGGAAAGAAAAAAAAAAAAAAAAGAGAGAAGTAGAAAGTAAGAGAAGAAAGATCTATTTAGGGGAGTTAACTAGCAGTTGCAGAAAAAACAAGAAAATGTCAATTAATACCCAGATTTCAGTGGCAATATATATTTATATATGCATGTGTGTTAATTAAAGATTTGTAATTACTAAGTGTATCTCAGTGTGTGTGTGTGTGTGTGTGTGTGAAAGAGAAATTAAGGGTGCTTCTACTTGTGGAGAGAATTAAAGATTGTAGAGTTCTTCTCAAATTAGTGGAAAGCCGAAGAAAAAAGCTTGTAGAAATCTTGGATGCTTAATTCTGCTTAATTTTCATTACTAAGTAAGCAGAACCACATTCAAGAAATCTTATATATCAAGTACTTGCATGAGATAGTAAATATGAGGGGAAAGAAACTGAAAATATATTCTGAATGGTATACACACACACACACACACACACACACACACACACAAAGCATATAATTATTTCTAATATGAAAAAATGAAGGGGAAAAAGATCAACTAGTAATCTAAATTAAAGAAGTAGTTTAATTAATTCGAAGAAAGCTGAGAAATTATTGATGGGGTTAACTATACTGCAATTAATGTTTGTTCAGAGAGGAAAGAAAATATGGCATCATCAAGCTCTTACAATTCACCCTGTGCTGCCTGCAAGTTCTTAAGGAGAAAATGCATGCCTGGTTGCATATTTGCACCGTATTTCCCACCAGAGGAGCCTCAGAAATTTGCCAATGTGCACAAAATATTTGGAGCAAGTAATGTGACAAAGCTCTTGAATGAGCTTCTCCCACACCAAAGAGAAGATGCAGTGAACTCCCTTGCCTATGAAGCGGAGGCGCGAGTAAGAGACCCAGTTTATGGATGTGTTGGTGCTATCTCATTTCTCCAGAGACAAGTTCAAAGGCTGCAAAAGGAACTTGATGCTGCTAATGCTGATCTCATTCGTTTCGCCTGCAATGACATTCCAACAACATTGCCGGGGGCTACTTCAATTCACCATCACCAGCCTGTTCACCGCCAAAGGCCTACTGCTGCTGGTACTCATGATCAGTTTAATAGAGGTTTTTATCAAACACCTGGTGTTCCTCTTCTTTCTTATAATTTCCCTTGGAACGATAACCCATCAGGCGATATGAATGAAGGAGGAGGAGGAGAAGGCAACATGTGAATCTAAGAGAGAAATCCCATTGTAGGGTTTCTAGCTGCTGATGGTATGGTATTATAAGGTTTTCTAGCTAGCTATAGCCTCACATGGGACTTCTTTAGCTAGAAAAATCCTTAAAATTAAGTTGGTAATTTATTATTAATTTGGTCGGTTTGGTAATTATAAATAATATATAATGATAATTATATATATACTGGAAAAAAAAGCTAATAAATAAGGGTGTAGAGCTTGATTAATTAGTTTTTGTTGTGTGTGTGGCTGCTTAAACTTTTAATTTGTTGAGTCATTAGAGCAACTCTAGCTAGGCATGTGCATGTGGAGTTGCCAATTCTGTGTCATTGTTTATTTTATGCTAAGAATAAATGGTATGCCATTAATTTAAGTTTTAAAGAGGATTCTTTTAGCCTAAGTCTACATATCTTAGTCTTTCTTTATAGTACTATAATTCTTATATAAATATTTATGATTCTTTCCAATTCCTTTCTGCTATTGTTCATGATGAGGACCACAGAGTTTGCATTCTCAACAAGATTTCAGTATTAAACATGTCCAGATGAAACTCCAACTTGCACCTAACTGACCAAATTATTTTTTTCTTATAGTTAATTTTCATTTAATTTTTATTATAAATATTAAGAATTTCAAAGACTTTAATAGCCAAAGTCAAGTTTTTCTTTTGTTTTTTCCAATTAATTAATCTCATAGAAAAGAAGAAAAAAAGGGTACGTGCAGTGTGGATCTGTTGGCTTCAATTCGTATATGGTTTTTTATAAAATATAAAGAAGGTGAAAAACCAATCTCACCTCTCATTTCTATGGTTGCAACTATCCAGAACAGTAAGTCACAGTTTTATGCCCCTTTCATTGGATCCGATTCTTGAAAAGTAGCTCTTCTGTTCTTCCATGTAAGGGTTTTCAGCTTTTGTTTCACCAACCAGCTGCAGCTCCTCCTCGACTCTTATCATCCACAATATTTGCTAGACAAAATCGTATAGCGTCTATCAAAAGTCATAACAGTTCCTTCTCTCTCTCAATCCCATACTTTTGTACTTGAGCTTTAACCTTATGTACAGTCTATAATACAAGTATATAACCCTTTTCCTTAGATCACTTAATCCTTGCATTAATGTGCGTGTTAATTAATAGATCTTTAAAGAATGTGGGTAATGCAAATGAAAAAAAAAAATGTCCATAAAATCATAACATTGCTATAATTTTCTTTAAAGAAGAAAAATTAGGGTTAGGGTTTTCAAATTGCACTTAAAAAAGTTTCTATCTCCAAGAAAAAAAGGACTTTTGTTGAAGCTAAGCAAAAACAATGTTGATAAACAGCGAGAAGTGGACTGAGTGTGAGTGAGAGATGACTTTCGAATTTCCTTATTTTCTTCGACTGACTAATTCTTTTCATTCTTTCTTTCTTTCAAACACTTACATATATACACACACACATATATATATATATACATATATATACACACTCAATCATGTTCATGTGTCGTTTTAATGTAGCAGTACAAAAGCTCTTATCACATAACACGACCACGTCTTCTGTTTAAACTTCACTTTTTGTCAGTCTCACACTCTTTCTTTCTTTCACTTGCAAGACCCACACCACACACATTTATATATAATAGAATAAACTGATTGATGCACTGTGTATGCATATCTTGTTTTCCTGTGGCACAGATACTGATATAAATAAATAAAAGAAAGAAAGAAAAGAAAAGAAAAGAAAAGGTTAAACTGTCCTTGTTTAGTTTCTCTCTCTCTCACTTAATCGTCTCTCTGGATTTGGGGCTAACATAGCAGAAATTACAGTGACGGAAAAGGCAGTCACGTCTGTTGTCCTCCAATTCATCGCCTCCTTATTGCATCTCGAGATCGCCAAAGCTTCACCTTTATCTTTCTTGGAATTTTTAGAGCACCAAATCTAACCTCTGAATTTCTGATTTCTTTATCATATAAAATTCATAATAAGTGATGTGTGTACTGTTGGATATCTGAGACAGAATTTATTTTTTTTTTCCAAAATAAAATTCCTTTTCAAGAATCGAGTCAGAGAAGAAATTAATTGGTGAAGTGAAAAATGAAATGAGTGCTGGGCTTTTTAAGTGTAAAGAATGCAACAGTTAGAGGATTCAGAATCCATCAAAGCTAGCAATCTTTCTCTCTGCAAAGACGTGAGAAAGAAGCAAAGAGTAGGTGAATTTTGGCAGCATTTTTACACACGACAAGCTATCCTAACATGCGGGTCCTCTTTACTCTCTAACTTTCCTTGTATATATGCATTTGTGGTTTGCCCTGTCCATAACTCAACGTTCACCCCAATAAAAATTTATAATGTTTCAATCCATAAATAAGTTGTAAGGCATAGCACACGATCTTCGCAATTCATGTTGAAAAATTATCTTTGTTTGTGCAGTTTTATTATCGGAAAAATGCAACATAGGAAACAGAAGTTATATTTGGGAATATAATTTTTAAAAATTATAAATTGGGGATGAAATTTCTAAGATCGTAACATTTATATGAAATTGGTTTTTTTTTTTTTTCAATTTTAATGATTATTTTTTTGAGATATGATTTTTCTGAATTTGTATTAACATATTTATATATGAATCAAAATAATTTATCTATTATCGGATTTACAGATCTACCTGTACACTAAAATAATAAATATACTATTTCAATTTAAGTAAGGATATTTCTAACTATACACTGGTGTTGCGCTCTTTCAACATTTATAATGTTTACTCGAATCCAAATGGACTTTACCTCGATAGTTTTGTTATTTTTAATTTCAAAACTCCAATAAATAAGTTTCATCTTGATAGTGATTTGTGTTTATATTTGCAACATAAAAAATAAACTCTCCAATCTCAATTACTAATTTTTAAAGTGTAATACTCCCAAATCCACGTCAAATCTCTGTAAGTGCCCAATCCTTCATACCTTTTTCTTTTGCTCGAGATAATGAAACAGAATAACAAGTAACTGTACATGAACCAAATAATTAAAAAGAAAAGGAAAAAAAAATGTAGTATTAATCAAATGCTCGGCTAATCATGTTACCCATCTTTGGATACAACATATATAATAGAGCTTTAGCACCTCAAAATGCATGATGACCCAAATCCAATGGTAGATATGATTTTGAGCTTTATCTGAAATTATCTAATTAAATATATAGTAATCTATCTAGCTACATGCAATACAAGTTCAATGCTCATTTATACACACAAGCTTGTACTGCAGAGAAGGGTTTGGACATACCACATGCACGAGTTCTAGAACTGGAAGTAAAAAAGGTTAATTAGCTAATTAATACAATAATAACAAAATATTTTTTTAATAATTCCTTTATAGAAAGTGTAAATTTTGTCAGACCCACCAATGATGATGGCCATCATAGCTTCCATAAGCGTGAGTATAAATTAATACAAGATTATGGGTTAAAGAATTCAACTTTCTTCATACATATATTCTTGTATCTTTAAGCATATATAGGATTTGCCAAATATCTCTGTATGTGTGAAGATAAAGTAGCAGCACAAAATCTTAATTAGATGTATATATATATATATATATATATTGTAAATTTTGTCAGACCCAACCAAATGATGATGGCCATCATAACATTCCATTAAGCGTGATGAGTATAAATAATACCAGATTTATGGCGTTAAAAGAAATTCAAACTTTCTTACATAACATATATTCTTGTTATCTTTAAGCATATAATAGGATTTTGCCATAATATCTCTGTTATGTTGTGAAGATTAAAAGTGCAGCAACAAAATCTTAATTAGTATGTAGTATATATATATATATATATATATATATATAGAGACGAGGACGATGAGAGATGAGAGAGAATGAAGCAGAGAGAGACGAGAGAATAGAGAGAGAGAGAGAGAGAGAATAAGAATATATAAGAAGAAGAAGAAGAAGAAGAAGAAGAAGGAATAAACCTTCTCTAATCATCTGCGCAGAAAGTGTTCATCTGAGTTTGGAATATTATGGCCATGGTTTGACTTAATTGGAAAAGAATATATATAATGAGTTAGCATCATCTTTTCATAAAATATTTGTGATTAAATTCTACAAAAATCATTTGTTAATACATTACATTTTCTCCTTTAATCAAAGTTTCATTCCCTGTTAAGTCTCCTAATTTTTCTATTTTTGATTTTTATTAGTTTATGTATATTTGATGAGATAAACCTAATTTCGCTAATCAGGCTTTAGCTTTAATATGGACTAAACAAATGCGCTAAAGCAGGCCAGTCTTGCCATATGCAATAGGCCCAGCTCAGCTGTACCAACCTAACAATAGGCCTTGAGGGTAGGTGATTAGGGCATGGCCGAAACTCAAAAGCACTCACTTGCCAATTTTGCATGTACCGCCTCACAATTTGACGCATTGCTGTTAAAAAATATTTATATCGTTGGATCGCTAAATTTAAATCTTAGCCGTTGATACCAAAAGCCGTGCAGAACTGAAGAAAGCTGCCAACTCTTTTGACCTTGGACCCATCCAACCGATAACGCTTAATATACCGTATAATGTCAGACTTGTAATACTATATATTATCCTGAAATAAAAAAAAAATACTTTTTTTTTCTCTAAGATAAATAAAAAAATTACATTATGTATGTATTTTTGAATCTATGTTTTGTATATACCAATTTAATTAAATATTTAGTAAAATTTAGTGTTGCAAACAATTGATTTCAAAGTTAAGGATAATTAGTTTTATCTACCTTAATCTTAATTGATGTTTAATTATCTGTCTCAATGGAGTAGTAAGCTAAACACAGGTTACCGTACAAAAGTTTACTGAATCACTCACTCACTTTTCTCTCTTTTATTAACAAAAAAACACCTGAAAAAACTGAAGATAACTGAATAATCACTGGCTGTTCACGTATTCATAACTGGAAAAACTGACAATTGAAGAGGGAGGTTCTTTTTCTTGAGAAAAATAATTATGTCTTACACCATCAGATATGTAATAATGTTTCAATACGTACATTTGAAGCTTTTCCCCTACGGAAGATTCACATAACCCATAATTACAATTGAAGTGTCCAAATACCTACATTGAGAGAGTTGCATTTAGATAAGTGGAACTCACCTGCCTAGTCAGACAAATTTTATCCCTAAGGTAATATTAAAATAACTAATATTAAAATATTAGATTTGTTTAGACGAGTCAATTCTAATAGTATGAAAAAGAGTTTTACTTAAATATAAATTATTGTAAAAAGAATGAGTAAAAATATATATATATATATATATTTATCTTAATTATAAAAAATTGATTGATAGAATTAGAAATAGAACGAGAAATGAACAATCTAGACAAACATCAGTAGCTGTTTTCACTTTCTTGAGGGAAAGAAAGAGATAAACTCCATTACAGGACACAATACCAAAATCCTCAAACACGTATATATAGTGACACATTCCTCATGCAACTCTCTACCATCTTATATATACAACACGTGCCACTTCCTTCCACGTGTCCATCTCTCCATTTCCTTAAATTCACTCTCCTTTCCTTTCTCTTCTCCATCTCTTTCTGCAAAAATCTACTCTTTTTCTCCCTTCCAAGAAAAAGCTTATTACGATATCTATTTTAAGCTTCCATGGCCGAGTATGAGCGACGACCAGGCGGAGAAGGGCACAAAGGAGCCCTAAAGGAGAAGGGCGGCTTCTCGACCTCACAGATTTTAGCGGTTGTCACTCTTTTGCCGGTGAGTGGGACGCTTCTTTTCCTTGCTGGAATAACGCTTACTGGAACACTCATTGCGCTAGCTGTTGCGACTCCGCTGTTCGTGATTTGTAGTCCGGTGCTGGTACCAGCGGCGTTGGTCATTGGGTTGTCGGTGTTAGGGTTTTTGACGTCCGGTGCTTTTGGAATCACTGCGCTTTCTTCACTGTCGTGGATGGTTAATTATATTCGCAGGATGAGAGGATCTTGGACGATGCAGATGGAAATGGCAAAGCGGCGCGCGCAAGAAACGACGGGTCAATTGGGCCAGAAGGCTAGGGAGGTGGGCCAGAAGGCCCAGGAAGTTGCAAAGACATGATCAGGTTGTCTAGCAGTAGTTGTTGTTTGGTAAATAATATAAGCTAATATAGTTTGAGTTTGATGATGGATTTCATAAATATGTAATAAGACTTGTTTGTTTGCCCATAGCTTTGGTTGGCTGTATGTTTCTGTTTACTGAAATAAATTTTATTTCTTGATCCTAATTGTCCAGTTTTTCATTTTTTAGTGAATATTTATCACCCGTCCAGATGAGGGCTATGCAGATGCACTAAATCCAATCATAGGATTATTGTTACCAAAATAATAATAATAATAATAATAATAATAATATTGAAAAATTGAAAGCGGAAGTGATCCATAAATCTTATGAATACATCACATTGTACTTGGGATCAGGTGAATATTAGGACGGAGAAAGGAAGGGGGAGAAAGTCGGACAAGGAGGTTAATTTTCTCAAATCAGAAAGATATCTGAACAGAAAAAGAGATGGAAAATAATCATTTGGGCCTCACAGCAATCCAATCAGCCAAAACCGAGAGCAATTAATCACTTCAAAATGCCATGAAAATGGGAGAAAAAAAAAAATTTGGAATTCTACTTTTTACCCCCCTTAAATAAAATTTGAACTTTGGGAAGTTCTAAAGATTTAATTGTAATATACGTATAGTTATCAAAGCTAAAACTAGACTTCAAGTGTTTAAGGAGCAAAAATAAATAAATAAAAATTAAAAAGAAGGAAATTATGGAGCTACTATTGATATTTTTTAACAATAAATCTATTGTATGTACATTCTGAAGAGAGAAAAAATTTAAATTTTGAAATGTTTTGGACAGTTAATAGTAATTAATATTAGATATTTGAAAAATAAAAACTTGATAAGATAGACAAGACTTAGCACGCTCTATAAAAAGCTAGATAAGAGGAGGAGGATTGCTTAAATTTTATATTTTGACTGAACACTTTATCCTGAGGAGAGGACTCTATGAACGCTTATATCCTTATTCCAAACCAATAGAGTAAATTATAAGCTTGGAAGCCATGTTAATAAGAACTAGATCAAAGGGAAAACAACATCTTATTCTAAACCAAGGTGGGCCAAACCAATATGGGATAACATATATACATATACAAACTTCAAAGGGGAACAATTTAATTTGAAATTGATTGGCAGAAGGCCAAAACACCCCTGCCCAGCCCTGCGTTTGATGTACCCAAAACAATAAAAGGAAATTGATGCTCCAACATAGTTGCAGTCAATTATATTATGTCATTTCATTTTCTTAAAAAAGTTAGGCTCGTACGATTGGTTGCAGTGCAAATAGTGTTGGTTTGTTAAATATTAGCAGTGCCTGAGCTCTTAACTTGGGAACCTGAACTAACAAGTAAGTTCACTGGTCTGACATTTTTCTGATAACGATAAATGTCAGTTCAGAATGGCTATGGATATATATATGCAAAAGACGAATATCAAAATGGCTATGCATATATACGCAAAAGATGAATACCAATCTATTATTCGTTCTGCAAAGAAAAAAATAGTGCACGAAAAGGAAAAGAGATTAAACTAAACTGTTCACTGGATGGGGATATGTCATGCTTTCAGTGGGACCATTTTCATAACTGACCAAACCAAATGATCAGCCTGAGAAAACTGCCATTGTTGTTGAAAGCTATAAACTTTCAAGCTTAATCCCTACAAAACAAGTAACAATGCTTGTCTGTTTGGCATTTAGCAGGAATTTGTAATTCTTCCATTTCCCTACAAATTGATCCTACAAAAATGCTTATACTGCAAAGAACAGAACAGGCGGTTGAAAACAAAGATCAATAAAATAAAATAAAAAAGAAGGAACTCATGAATACTTTATCAATTATGGAAAAGAAGGATCAGTTATACATACAGTCCATTAAGGAAGTTCCATGTACATTGAGACACTGCTCTGCATACAGAGGGTAAAGACAAGCAGATAAAATGGACTTTGCAATTTCTGCTCATATAATAGGAGAAAAGAACAAAATAATGACGTAGGTTAAGAGTGTGCTTTTTAAGCAAGAATGGCATCTCTGTTTGTAATGTAATGTTCAAATTTGATCCTTTTGTTTATCAAAATCATGACATTTAAGATCCTGCAGCCAACTCTCAGGCTCGGCCTCAAATTGGCATCTTCCAAAGATACTAAAATATTAGACAACGGAATAGATTAAAATCAGCTAAATTATACGAGTTAAGAATTCATATTCATATGTTTCTTTTCCAGACATTAGAAGACATTTGACTCTTTCTTAGCATGAAGCATTAGAAGCATTAGGAAGAAAATAAGGTCAACATGATACCTTATTAACGAAGGCTTAGAGTTTGTAAGTAAAGCACCAAAAAGTTAGGGACAAAAAACAAGCAACAATTCAAAATTTTCCATCTGGAAAGATTCTTGAGTGGGATAGTATTAAAAATATGTGCAAAAATCAAAATTAATCAGCATATTTGACTGAAAAAGGAAAGACAAATTAATATCCATAATTTTTTGCTTATTGGATGTCCTAACAAGTATGCTCCCAATAGTCAAAAAAGGCAATAAATTTGTATTCATCATATAATCTCTTACTGATTTTCTGCCATGAATATGGCTTCACAAAATCATCACTTTCTCTTCCTTCCTCTCTTTGCTACCCTATTTACTAATGTTCTCTCTCAAAATGTTGTAAACAAGGCAAGCCTAATGTACCCTTTTAGTTGCTCTGAACACATTCAGACATGTAATTCCTACCTATATCACATCTCTGAAGGACTGACTATAGATCAAATCGCCTCTTTCTACTCGGTGAACATATCCAACATTAAACCTATCACTCATGGCCTTAAACAGGACTATCTTATATATGTTCCTTGCACATGCAAATATGTAAATGGCACCAAAGGTTACTTTTATGATGTCTCTTATAAAGTACAATCAGGCGATACGTTCATGAAGGTAACAAGTCTGCTCTATAGTGGGCAAGCTTGGGAAGTTCCAAATGTAGAGGAGCTATTCATCGCTGAAGATATGATCAGTATAAACCTTTTATGTGGGTGCATAAAAGTACAGTCTCAAGAAATAGTAACATATACAGTTCAAGAGAATGATTCTTTGACAGGGATTGGAGAAATTCTATCTGCAAAACTAAGTGGAATTGAAGATTTAAATGAACGATTGATTAAAAATCCAAGTTACATAGAAATAGGGTGGGTGTTATTTGTTCCAATGGAAAAGAAAGGAAGACAAGGACAAAAGCAAGGTTAGCCATTTTCTTGGTTAGAGAACGTAGCTTGACTTAGCTAAAAGATAGAATTATCTTCAATTGATTATTAATCTCATAAAATCCTAGGGATGCCACATTCTATATATAGTGCCAAATAAGTTATTTCTCCTCTTATATAATTTAAATAGAATGTAGATACTTATTACTTCCAGGCATTTTTCTTCAACTATATCAAGGGTGCAATGTCTTTTCATTTTGAAATGGAAAAAGAAATGCTTCAAACCATGTGTCTAGCTTAGCATGGTTCATCTCTGCTTTTGCTAATGGTACCATTTCCTATCCAGTACTGTGTTTTGTATCATTCATTGGTGTGCCTGCTTAAGCTTTACATGTATTTATTTGTCTTGAATCTTGAGAGATAAATAAACTATCTGAACGAGATTATGAGAAATTATCAAAATATTATTTTGCAGGCAGCATTTATGTTATATTTATTTACCTTATAGCAAATGAGTTTCTACGGCTTAAGCAAACTAACCACTTTTTGTCCTTGCTCAAGCCAGGAAAAAGACATCATTTGACAATTATCCTTGTGGTATTGTCAGCTGCCACTTTATGTTCAGTATGCACACTGATCCTATTCCTTATCAAGAGGATCAGAAACTACAAAAACAGAGAAAAACTTCCACAGCTGGTCAACAAACGCCAAAGTCCCTCAAGAATTTCCTTACAGAGCCAGTTTCACAAAACTGACACTGAAGGTATTTTAACCATGGTCAAAATTGAGTTAAGTTTCAAATTTAAATCTAACCGAATGCTGTGACGATCTTGAAAAATTTTGCCATCCTGAAAAAACTGTGATAACAAAAATACTTGTGGCATGTGAGACACATCAAAATAACTTCACTTATTAAATTTTTGTTACTTTCATAAACGACATATCTCACATGAAACAAAATTGCTTGGTGTAGATGCCACCTTTGAATCTGAAAGACCAGTTCTTTTCAGTGTGGACGAGATTGATAAGGCCACAAGTAACTTCAATGTAAACATGAAAATTGGAGAGGGTGGATATGGGAGTGTGTACATTGGTTTATTAAAAGAACGGGTATGATATCACATCTTTTCAACAGTATATGTTTATTATTTAGCCGAACTGCCTATATTCATTCAAAAGCAATTACAAAACCTTGATGCCACATCTGGAAACAGGAAGTTGCAATAAAGAAAATGAAATCTAGCAGATCAAAGGAATTCTATGCAGAGCTCAAAGTTTTGTGCAAGATACATCACATTAACGTGGTAAGAAATAATAATCGGATGGACATAAATGAAAATCTATAACAATTTCTAATGGTCAGAAACTCATGGCTTAGGTGGAGCTGTTGGGATATGCAAGTGGGGATAACCACCTTTATCTAGTATATGAGTATATTCAGAATGGATCCCTCAGTGATCATCTTCATGACCCTATGCTAAAAGGTAATGTAGGGACAGATGCTTCTTCCACTTTGTTTTCAAGAATGTGCTAAGACAAAAGTCCTCAACAAGGAACTCTTTTATAAGCAGTATAAATGAGGCTTGAATTTGCTATATCTTAAAAATAGTTTCGCATGATTAGCATGGAAGTGCAGACATTCACAATCTAGAGAGGTAAAATCTATGTACAATTATAGACAGAAGGTTACCAGGAAATCAGTTTGAAACAACATATAAACTACTTGAAGTGACAGTAGGCTGTTTGGAAAAAGAATTACATCACACACAATAGGATCTTGTTAAAAAGTATAAATAAGTTGCATAGTCTATTGGTTCTACAAGGTTCTAACATTCACAATTGTCAGGTCACACACCCCTTACATGGACTGCAAGAGCTCAAATAGCACTTGATGCCGCAAGAGGAATTGAATATATTCATGATCACACAAAGGCACAGTATGTGCACCGTGATATAAAAACAAGTAACATTCTACTTGATCAGGGACTCAGGGCAAAGGTATTTGACTATTTGTAACTGTTATATGTTTGGACTATGTATGTCTATGTGCTTTTCGTCCTTTGTTCAGTTATAGTTATATTGCTTGTTATTTTGCATATTTTTTTACTGCTGACTAAACTATTCCTAGCATCATGCACCAGTTCAATGCTGTTTCTACAGGTATCAGATTTTGGGCTGGCAAAGTTAGTAGAACGGTCAAATGAAGAAGATTTCATAGCAACTCGCTTGGTGGGAACACCAGGTTATATTGCTCCCGAGTGAGTCTTTAGCTCATATTTCAAGAAAATTAAAATTTAGTAACTTACTTTTGAAAAAGATGCATTTTTCTATATCTACAATCTTTTAATTGTTTCAGTTGTAGAGTTAAAATCTGCTAATGTGTTGCTAGATCTGTGCGTGAACTGCAAATGACCACTAAATCTGATATATTTGCATTCGGAGTGGTTCTGGCAGAGCTAATAACAGGTCAGCGTGCTCTCATGCGTGATAACCGAGAACCAAATAAGATGAAGGCACTGATCACAGTTGTAAGTCAATAACTGAGTTGCTACTCTCCAATCGACCACGTTTATGTTAGATGAGAAAACCTTTGCCTAATAATGAATTTGCAATTCTAGGGAAAGAACTCATCCAGTATTTCCAGCCTTCTTTCTTCAGATTCTCAATTTATTAAGCAAATATCCTCTCTCACCTATCATTTAGCATTTCACTACTGCATGGATTTATTTACTTATATTTTTTGGTCGAAATGTGATCAGATACTGACAATATTCAAAAATCAAGACATAGAGACTGCTTTGGAAGCTAATATAGATGTTAACCTTAAACGAAGCTATCCCATGGAAGAAGTGTGTGAGGTCGGTACTATTGCTACTACATCAATCAACCTAAGAATCTTTATTTACAACAAAGCAATGAGACTTGAATAATAAGCTTAAGTAAAAGCTAGACAAAGTTAGTAAGCAAACAAAGGAACTCTTCCTCCAGTCTTCCAGAGAATTAAGCCTATAACACAAACATGCACATATACATGCATAAATGTGCATATTAATTCTTATGCAACAAGCATGCCACCTTCCACATTGACTATTACAATATTGCAGATGGCAGAAATATCCAGGCAGTGTTTGTGTGAAGATCCATTAAATCGACCAGAGATGAGAGAAATTGTCCAGGCACTCTCTAATATCTTGACCTCCTCGATAGAGTGGGAAGCATCACTTGGGGCAAGCAGCCAAGACTTTGCCGGAATATTTGTTGGAAGATGATTTAGTTTGTTTGTACTAAAGGTTAGCTGCACTATCTAGTATAAGGTTCATCTAATTAACCTCAACCACTATAGTTATGGTCAAATATGTAAGAACTTGTCCATGTACTTTCAAAATGAAGATGATGCCAAAGGTTTTTGCATTTGCTATTTCAATATATAATTAAAACAAAAGGAAATAAACAACTCAACTAAATATAGGCTAAGGATAGACAAAAAAATAGCTTAACTAAGTGATCTAAAACTCCCAAAAGCAAATGCAAATTCAGAAATATCCAAAAAATGAGATGAGACTATCATCAAATATTGATTATCTGATCATCACATAGATTAATGATAGATGCATTGATGCATGATAAATCACAGAGTAAGGAGTAAATGAAATAGACAAAATACTAATACCAGAAATTATGCTGATAGCTTCTTCATCTTCAATGGACACTGGTCTTAATCTGCTTTTGGTGACTTTTAAGCAATTGGCTATTTGGAGATTCTGAATTTCGTATGCCAAAGCGATTCATTCTGCAGATTGGTATTTCCTCATCTTCTTCTACGATGAGTTTCAGATCTTATATTCTAATTTTAATTGTCAAATTCAACTAAAATTCCACCAGAGAAGAGAGCATAGCCGTGCTCTGGTTGCAGAGGACGGTCACCGCCGATAAACTATTTCATGAATTTTTGTTGTCGTTCCAATACTCTGTGGCCCAATTTCTCGTCGCTCCAATACTTTATGGGCCCAACATATCTGGGGCCCATCCAATATGTACCCTAATCATAGAGGACGGACTCAAAAGGCCCGGACCAGATGGGATGGATTCAAGTCGGCCTGGTGGAGCTTAACTCGTGCAGAAATTAAAATTGGAAATGCAAGCGCGTTACATGGCACTCCACTTTCGTCTCCCAGGCCCCAGCTCAGACTGACTATGGTAGACCACCGTATTCTCACACAAGAAATTTTTTCTTTCGACTTCATCAACAGCAAAAATTATTCTAAAATCTTATAATTTATTCATTTTTTATAATTTCCTTCACAACGAAACGGATCTATTTACCAGCTTAAATCAATAAATTGAATCGTTACATTGATCATTCATTCTCGTATTCTATTCATTCTCTTTCGATACCAATCACAGTTGCAGATTCACATCTGCAACTTCGATCTGCTCCATCAATGGCAGGCGCCGCCTCGGCGCTTTTTCTTTTAGATATCAAAGGCCGTATCTTGATTTGGCGTGATTACCGCGGGGACGTTTCCTCCGTTCAGGCCGAGCGCTTCTTCACCAAGCTTATCGAGAAAGAGGTCCGTTCTCCACCTCTCTATCTCTTCACATATGTGACGATATGCATATTTCCTTTTGATCGGCTATTCCGTTATATCTTATTATACTATTAGATTCGGCTTCAATTAGATAGACGGAGACTAGCGTTTTATGTGCGAGCTTTAATTTATGAATGGCTGAAATACAAAGGCTATCTATTCAATTTTGGTTTGATATGGTTTCAGGGTGATCCGCAGTCTCAGAATCCAGTGGTCTATGACAATGGAGTAACTTACTTGTTTATACAGCACAATAATATATACTTGATGACTGCAACTAGGCAGAATTGCAATGCTGCCAGCCTGCTTCTCTTTCTGCACCGTGTGGTTGATGTAATCGCTTCGATGATTTTGTTTTTCACTCTCGAATTTTGTCATAATAGTATAATTACGAAAGTGTTCATGGTTTTCTTTCAACTTCATACAGGTATTCAGGCATTATTTTGAAGAGTTAGAAGAGGAATCTTTGAGGGATAACTTTGTGGTTGTGGTGAGTAACAAACAAGTGTTTTGTGTGCTTGTAAAGGAAACATATGAAAATGTTAGTTAGAGGCTTGATGGGGTTATAAAGATGTCTTATGCATTTGACAGTACGAGTTGCTTGATGAAATCATGGACTTTGGTTTCCCTCAATATACTGAAGCGAAGATTCTTAGTGAGTTTATCAAGACTGATGCTTATAGGATGGAAGTTGCTGCCCGACCTCCAATGGCGGTAACAAATGCTGTATCCTGGCGCAGTGAGGGGATACGGTACAAGAAAAATGAAGTAGGTTGGCTTTTTTGTTCATGTTACTGATTTATAATTGAGCTCATTTCTGGCATTTTATGGAGGCATTTCTGTTTTTTATCAGGTATTTTTAGATGTGGTGGAGAGTGTCAATATACTTGTCAACAGCAATGGGCAAATAATACGTTCAGATGTTGTTGGGGCACTAAAGATGAGAACATATTTGAGGTGCATGGCTTTTCTGCCAAGTAAATTGTTTGAAGTAAATATGTCTTTTAGGATGAATTATGAATTTATGAAAGGGTTGCCTGTTGTCTATAGAATTATGTTGTCTCCAGCTGGTGTTTGGCTGTATGCCATATTATAGATTTGCAGATATGAATATTAATTTTGGAACTTTCAATTCACAGAGTCTGGTTGATTATTGTTTAGTTAATCTGTTATTCCATTATATTTGCATTTGTATAACATAGCTATTGTCAGAAATTCTCAAGTGGTTGCCTTGGAAATCACACTGCAATTAAAAAACCAGAAAATTTTAGAAGAATGGACCTGTGAGGAGGCTAATCTTTGAGCTGCTACAGTAACGACTTTCAGAATTCTGAAATCACATCTTTGTTTGGTAACATATGAAACTTGTGTAGTAATTGCTCTGGAAAATTATAGGGTTTAAATATGGCCACAAAATTAAAATAGTAGAAAAAAGAACAATTTCAAATTAAAGGAAAAGATGAACATAGGTTGTTGATGAGGGCTGCAATGTTGCATAGAGGGTGGGCAGGATGGAGAAAGTGGATAGAACCTGAGTGTCATGGGAGCATCCTTAGGCATATATGAAAGATCCCATATCCATATACATAAATGAGAATGCATTGAGATCCAAGCAGTATGCATCACTAGAAGCTAATATTATGGCTTCATTTTTCTCTTTCCAATATGTGTGATGAGTCATCCATATAGAATGTTTCTAGTTAAGAGAGAGACAAAATTGTAGACCTAGGAAATTTTGTGAAAGAAAGCTTGAAAGACATGTGAAAGCCTTATTTAACTACAATGCATTTGTTTATCTGTTTATTTGAAAATAATCAGTTTCTAATCTATTGTTTCAATGTATCAACACAATTACCATATAACATCTCTGTGGTCCTTAATTCTCCAAATTCCCAAGTGAAAGCTACTTCAAAAATTAGACCTGCTCTAAAGCATTTTCACTCTAAATGTATTTTCAAGTAAGACTGCAAGAAATTGCCATTCTCTTCCACAATATGTTTTTGATAGTAATGTTATTGAACATCTTGAACTTTCTGTCTTGAAGTGGAGGAATTTTTAAGATCCCTCAGCATAAGGTACTTGTGTATGAAATTGGTTGAAATTGACCGTGCATCATTGTTTCAGCGGCATGCCTGAATGCAAGCTTGGCCTGAATGATAGAGTACTTTTGGAGGCTCAAGGTCGAGCAACAAAAGGAAAAGCTATTGATTTAGATGATATCAAGTTTCATCAGTAGGTCTTCTAAACTTTTTTCTCTAAATTTTTTGGTCTTGAACGTTAGTTAATGATGTGTGTGCATATGCACACATAAGCATATAGTATATACACCTTCATGTGTGATGCTCACATGCATAAGATTACATGTCTCTTTGGAGATGCCTTCATGTTAATATATTTTAATTGAATCTGGGATTATGATATTTTTACTGCTACTTCATTTGCTGACATTTAGCTTCCTGTTCTATATTGCTTTTCCTCTCCTCCTTCTGTTAGATGTGTACGTTTGGCTAGATTTGAAAATGACCGGACAATATCCTTCATACCACCAGATGGATCTTTTGATCTGATGACCTACAGACTGAGTACTCAGGTTTGTCCTATGTTCTTGTATGATCTGCCCCTGCTTTCTTTTTGCTATGTTCTATTGCTTTACTTTTGATGGGTAGGGCAGATAATGATGTATGGCGTGAGATGCTTGATTGCTTGCAATCTAGTAGTTGATCGACATCGGCCCCATACATCAATATACGAACCTTTTTCGCTTATTGAACAAATTTAGAGCATCTGACCTCTACTTTTTACGGTTTCAGGTTAAACCTCTCATTTGGGTGGAAGCTCAAGTTGAAAAGCATTCTAGAAGTCGAATTGAGATAATGGTAAAAGCTCGGAGTCAGTTTAAGGAGCGCAGGTACGTTTATGTTGTGAAGAAAAAATGACGATAAATTTGGTTGCAGAAATGAATCAGTCTGCTGCTAATTGTAGGAAATGGCCCCAATTTAAATTTAAAAACTTGATTTTTGGCTGTTATCAACAGTTAATTTTCCTCAATAAATTAAAGTTGTCCAATCTCTTGAAATGACCACAATATTAGCCATCCATTAACATTTGCCTCCTGTCCGGGTGAAGACAGGGGAGGGAGGAGGGTAGGAGGCATGTTGCTACTTCCATTTTTCTTGTGCATGCTTTACAAATGTTGTACCTGTGGTACAAGTTGAGTACAAGTGTATGTCTAGAGACACTAATGACTAAACTATTCCTTTCTGAAACACACCTGGTTTCTTATTCCCTTCACTTCATTTGTCAGAACCATTAGCATTTCATATTTTATTTATTTCTTTCTATTTTGAACAATATCATTTGTGAATTTACTCTGTTGTTTTTTGGCACAGCACTGCAACTAATGTTGAAATTGAACTGCCTGTGCCATCTGATTCCACAAATCCTAATATCCGTACATCGATGGGCTCTGCTACATATGCCCCAGAAAATGATGCTTTGGTCTGGAAAATTAAATCTTTTCCTGGTAATAAGGTAGGATTTTGTGCATAGCCCCATGAATGCTGTTTTCAACTGCTACTGGGAAAGAGCAAAATTTCATGTTTTTAATCTCATTTGTAAAATATTGTTTTAGGAGTATATGTTGAGGGCAGAATTTAGTTTTCCTAGCATAACTGCCGAAGAAGCAACTCCTCAGAGAAGAGCTCCCATCAGCGTTAAGTTTGAGATTCCATATTTTACTGTCTCTGGGATTCAGGTACATCCTTCAATATCTTTTTAAGGGATCGTGCATATATTTTGCCTCACCTTGGTGGTTCTATGGAAAAGCATATTTAAAATCATTTTAATGGCTGATTCAATAACTACTGCAACGGGGCTGCTCGTGCATTGCTGCCTTTTTAACATCAGCACATCATATGTCAGTTTCATATGTGCAGTGCATCCATGCATTTGTTTTATTAACCGATCCATGTACACGGTCTTGTTTGAGTTCTTATTGGATATGTGAGCCAGTCTTCTCAAATTCAATAATATACCGACTTTGGGATTTTGTAGGTTCGCTACCTGAAGATTATTGAAAAAAGCGGATATCAGGCTCTACCATGGGTCAGGTACATAACGATGGCTGGCGAGTATGAATTAAGACTAATGTAGGAATCTATTGATTATACATCTTCCAGTCACGTAAATATGCATAGCTGTGGAACCTGTAGAGTAATAATGGTGATTCCCAAGTGGTCTCTCTTCCAAATTTTGGTGTCGTAAGAGTTCCTTGTCAAGTTGTTTTTCTCTACCTTTTTTATGTAGTGTTAATGTTGTTTTGATGTCTTGTACATGACAAACATTTAAAAATACACAATTTTTTTTTTTTTTAAATTTCAATCTTGTTTGGCAGTTAAAATATACGAATTTTATGTTGGTTCAATTAGCTTTTACTCAATTTTTCAATCAAACTAATTGACCGAATTTCTCACCAAACTGAATGAATAGGATTGTTCACCTGAAAGATCAACTGAATTGAATTGCTAACAGCTATCAAAAAATTGAAAACTCAAAATTCATATGAAATTCATCTTCTTAGATCCTTGAAAGCAAATAGATCGGAAGCTCATTGGTTTCCTTAGAGTAAGATCGAGGCTTTTTCAAAGGAAAAAAAAAAAAAAAAACTAAAGGCTGAGTATAAAAATCTTATTTCAAGCAACCAGAGATCGGATCTAAATTGGTAAACTTCTCTTTGCTGGTGAGGACAACGATCAAAAGCATATATTGAGAGTCAACCTCTTCAATCAATGATGCTAGAAATGCAATATGGAGAATTGATGGACTTGTAGCGCTCTGTGGCTTGTGTTTTGCGATGCGAGTGAGGAAGAGAAGTTAAGAGTTTTTTTTTTTTTTTTTTTTTTAACTTGTAGCGCTCTGTGGCTTGGTGGGTTTTGCGATGCTGAGTGGGAAGAAGAAGTAAGAGTTTTTTTTTTTTTTTTTTTTTTTTTTTTTTTTTTTTTTTTTAATTTATATATTATAGATTTCCTTTTTCTTTCTCCGATAGAAAAAAATGGAAAGAAACAAAATTGTTCGGCGCTGAGAATGAGAGAAAAAGGAGAAGATAATGTATGAAATTGTAATATATGAAAATCGCAACTTATCTAACTTTTATCACTCCATGAATTCAAAATATGAAAGCTTTTTTTTTATTATAAATATATAACTATTTTTACTCTTATATTTTATTTATGAAAATTCAATGAATTTTTGTAATGTTAGTTTGAAATAGTTCTAATATATTTTTTCTTTCAAATAGAAAACATCACTTAAAAGTGTTCTTATCTATCTCGTACACATATAAAAGTTCACATGAATATTTTCTATATTGTTCCGTAAAAATTAAATATTTTTGTTTAAATATGAAACATTTCATTAAACATAAATGCTTTTATCGTTTTGAATTCTCTTTATGACAGTTCATGTGAATGTCATCTATCCCATTCTATAATCTTTTAATATTTATTTGTCTCATAAACAGATAATTCCTTTAGATATGTATGTTACAATTCCTTTTAATTTATATGTTGTATTTATGAAAATTTACCTAAATTAATTTCTATCATATTTTTAAAATAAATAATTATTGTCATCCAAATCTAAAATATCAATTAAAAGTGTTCTTATATTTCTTACCACATATAAATATTTTAATTTTTGTGGTTGCACTTACGAAAGTTCACATGAATAACTTTTCAGTGTTCTAACAATTAAATATATTGATTCAAATTTGAGACATTTCTCAAAACATGTTATGAGTTGCCTATACGACAATTTATGTGAGTGTTTTATCCAAATCTAGGACATTCAACTAAACATATATATACCTTCAAATATATATATATATATATGTTTTTACTGTTTGATATTGTTAAAATTTTTAATTTATGTTTATAAAAATTCACAGTGAATATGTTTTTGTCATATTTAAAATGATTCAATATTTTTGTTAAGATCTGAGATGCTTTCACTTCAAAATATCCTTATCTTTATTATAAATAAATTAAAAATTTTCTCATTTCAAATATGAAAATATTTTATCATTTTTTCATCATTAATACCTATAAAATTTTTTACTTATTTTTATTTTTATTGTTATACTTTGTTTTATGCCATAAATTGAAAATTAAATTTGTTAATATATACTAATAATAAGTTAAGTGTCAATGGATAAAAGTAAGTTTGGCTTAAAAGTATTTTTGTTTAACTCACACATGACTTTTAAATTTTAGAATTTACGTTTATGAAAATTCACGTGAACGTGTTTCTTCGTATTTAAAATAATCTAATCTTTTTGTTATCCATTTTAGAATTTACGTTTATAAAAATTCACGTGAATATGTTTTGTCTCATTTAAAATAATTTAATATTTTTATTAAGATTTCACGTGAAAAAAATCAACGTTACAAATAGAGTTAGAAATCTACTTATTTTAAATATGAAAATATCTTATCATTTTTTCATCAACAAAATCTGTAACATTTATTACTAAATTTTATTGTCATACAAATTGATGTGTTTTATATCACATATTGAAATTTAAATACGTTAATTAATGTGCACTATTCGTAATTCAAAGTTGTTTCATTTTAAATATGAAAATACTTTATCATAATCATTAATAATTGTAAAATGTATTATTTCTCTCGTATACGCATGTAATTGTGTTTTTATCGAATTTAAAAATAGTGTAATATTTTTGTTAAGGTCTAAATTATTTTTGTTCGTGAAAGTATTATTATTTACGTTATAGAGAGACATAAGTTTTCTGATTTTAATTATGAAAATACATTTTAAATTGGTCTGAAATATGAAAATAGGCAATTTAAAATATTTTGTCAATTGCAACTACATAATTTAATTTTATTTAAAATTTATTTGTTAGTTTTAGAAATAGACAAATCTTTCACCTTTCTCACGTGAAAGTTTTTTGATTGTACCTTAAATCATTTCATTTCATTTTTAAAAATATATCCGTTTTATTTTTTGCCTTGATAATATCGCATGAAATTTTTCCTATAAATACCTCCAATCCCTTCTCCGTAGCATCATGTAAAACAACTAACAGGTCAGTTCTCTCTCTGTCTCTTTTAAGTTCTTCGTCCCCACCCTCAGACTTCTTCTCTTTTCTTTCTTCTCGAACTGTTTTGGTGCTTTAACTTGCTATCAATATATCCTTCATTTCGAGGTTCTCTTTGCGAAATGAAGGTTAAATTGATAGCAAGTGAAAGCACCGGCAAATATAATAATTAAGAGCTCGAGTAGGTGTGAGCAATGAAGGTTTCAGAGGGACAAAAGGGTGGTGGAGGGAGCGGTTACTAATTCTGAAATTCTTGGCTTAAAAGTGGTAACTTTGTTTAAAAATTGATGCAGGGAGGGGACCCAAAATGCAGAAAGACATAAGGGTAACAACTTCAAAATTGTACAATGGAAGAGATCATTGATGGTCCCGAAAGTTAAAGTTTGGCAGGTACATAATCATAATGTGGTCTTGCAAAATAGATTCTAACAACACTGCGATTAGATACTAACTCTTCAAAATTTTGCAGCTTGGAGTTGTCCCATGTGTGTACCACAAAAATTATCTTCAAAGAGGGTGGTCCATCAGAAAAAGGTAATTTACTCGTATCAATTGCTTGATTTTGGTTTTATGTTTTAAGCTTCGTTTAATGCATTAATTTGATCATACAAGGAAAAAAAATATTTCCTCCGTTTTTTTTTTTTTTTGCATGATTTGACAAAATACGCATATTAAAAATTCAGTCAATAAAAATTATTTTGCCATTTTTTATCTTTAATAACTCATTTCATTTAATAAACAATTATAAAGATTATTATAAGTAAAATAATTATTTACATATTTAAATTTAGAAAATAGGACAGGATATCGAACCGTTTGATAACCAAATCGCAGTTAATTGCATCAACCAAATTTAAATGGGTTTTTTTATTTATTTTTTATTTATTTATAATTGCTAAAAAAAAAAGTACAGTCATAAATAATTTTATAGTAAAGAAAGTAATAACGTAATTATAAATGGAAATTTATTTTTCAGGACATCCATCATTCAATACCAATTTATAACTATTAATTTTTAAGTAATCCATCATCATCACACGTAATAATAAAAATATTTAAACATAAGTTATTATAATTTTCAAAGCATTCATACATTAAAAACATTTGCCTGTTATAGTATATTTTGTTATTTATAACTTGTAGTACTTTGTTTAAGTCAATAATAAGTATTAATTATAGGGTAATTATTTTCTAAAATTGAGCACACCATATTAAAGTAAAATTTTCAAGAAAGATTTAAACTGTGTATTTATAGATTTTAGATTTATATTTTATTTATTAAAAGCATACTTGTTACATTAATAAGTTAATAATTAATTAATTTCCTCAAATTGACAACTATACGAATTAAAGTAATATTCATAATTGATTCTGAAGCATTTCCAATTCCCCAATAAGAAATATAAACAGAGAGAAAAAGAAAAAAAGTCTAGAAATTTGGGAGAAACGGATAAATTTTCACTTGATAATTTTTTTTTTTCCTTTAATTAAAATGATAAATATAAGAATAGTCCTGCTCATCTCTCCTTCAGATGTTGGTAGACATCGTCAATAGTAATATTAGACAATCTGTTTATAAACAAAAGAATATTGTCATCTCGATCCAACAAGCTAATTCTAACATACTGAACACCAACTCCGAAGTATTTCCCACTTCTGGTCAGTATCTTATTAAACCGAAGAAAGCTTTCGCAATCCTCTATAGGTTCTTCACATTTTAACCATGCAAAAGCTGCGCAAGAACACAGTACCAAAACGTTAATTTACTATCTTTACCTCCTAATGCCAAAGAATGAAAATGGAAACAGCAGCTGAAATTACCAGGTTGGCTTTCGAAAAACCTTCCGCGAAAACTACAAAAGCCGGGAGAGAATTCAGGCAAACTAAATAAACCGCTGACTTTCACTGCCGCCCTTAAGAGTTGCCACCTCTCTGCCATGACGTGATAAGCAAACTCGAAGAGAGACTTATTATTGGCAGAAGATTCACAGTTATCAGACACCACGTCTAAAATTTTACTTGCCCGTAACTGAGAATCCTTTGACACGCCTATGCTGTTGAGCTCTATATACTTAACCATTCGTTTTGCAACTTCTTTGTTCTTCACAAGAGCCCATCTGGTAAATGTTCCAATGACAAGCAGTAGAATAAGCATATAGAAAAAGTCTGTGGCATTAACGTAGAAATAGTCTTTATAGGTGTAAATAAATAACTTACCCTATGCGCATACCGGCGTGTCCAGTTGTCTTGGAGACGGTGAACAACATGATTTCATGGTCAGCCGGAGAAGAAATGGGAGTATATTGGGGCCAATAGTAGGCAAGATCGTGAACCAATATACCCTCGGTTCGGTTTAAGACAGAACGCCTGACAAATCCATCTGGGTTATTAGGGGATGTCACTAGCTCAATGTATGGCCCTTCTTTTCTGAAATGTGTGGCATCCCCTTCCCATCTGTACAGCCCGGATTTCAGGCAATCTGTGATTGCCGGATAAGACTGCATAAAATTTCCCAAATTATATTACATACACCATATAAGATAACCAGCAATGAAAGATACTCACGGAGTAGAATGGGGCTGCAGATACAACACTAATAGGTTGCTCTGCATCTTGCGGAGCAAGAGCATATAACACAGCTTGAAAAAGTTGTGTAGAACCTGTGCCGACCACAATCTGTCGGTTCTCAGTTACTGCATTTCCAACAATTTTATGGAGCCTAACTATTTGTTTGGCAAATTCAGGCTCCAAGAACCAGCAAGGATTCGTTATATCAGAAAAATAGCTCATAGATTGCCACCCTGGAATTATAATCGTTGCTTCGTCACCCATTTCTTGCCAGAATCTCTCGTACATGGTAGGATCGCCACTTCATTAACCAACCATACAAAATAAATAAATAATAGAACCTCAATAAATAAATTTATAAATGTAAAGATAGTTTTATTTTATTTAAGAAATTAAGTAAATAATTGGATTAACATATTATCAGTGTAATTTTTATGTTGCTTCTTACTGACCCACTAAGCAAAGATGCGCTTACAGGACCCACAAAGTGGTAGGTCCATATAGACATAAGCCCACTTCCCATTTAACCAAGAGGTCATTAAGCTACCAAAGAAATAGATAGTCCCACATCTTTTTTTTCTTTTTTTTTTTTAATTATAATTCTTTAGATCTTTTGAAAGGCCAACTACCAAAACCAATAGAAGGGTTGAAATATTAAGGAAAAAACATAGAACAGAGATGGGACCCCCAGACATGCATATACTAGTTTTAACCATAAGTGCAAAAATGGGCTCCTCCAATTTGCTATTAACTTGTATAAAATTATACAAAAAAAAAACTGTTACAAAGCTTATGTGGAGTTTCAAGGTCCACAAAGCACCACAACTAAGCTACGAAATGATGGTGCTGGTCAAAACGCCACCACTAAGCACCACTGATGGTGCAAAATCTTGTCCAAGAAACAAAATATTTTACTCACCCTTCAACTTGGGAACAGAGAGAGGACAAAAAACAGTAATCAAATCAAGTACTTAAAAAAGGCTCAGGTTTTAAACCAAATGTATGAAAAATCTAAAATACTAACAAAAGAACCTGTTTTGAATCTATGAACTGTCTTTGTCTACTCTCTGCCCAAGCACCATAAGCTTACAAAGCATGGGTTGGTAGTCCCCTGAGGTAAGCATGCCGCTTAACGCACGTTATGGAATCCAAGTACAGATTCAGTATTAAATAAATTAGAGCAAGAAACTAATAATTACTCCAAATTGCCCTTGATAATGATTATGAATATGATATTTCAGTTTTGCCCTTCTCTTCAAATTTATAACCAAGGACAAAGAAAATGTTAATTTTACAGAAACTACACCAACTCATGCAACAGATAATGTCAATCTTGATTTTTTTTTTTTTTTCTTTTTCAAGATTCAAGAATAAAAGAAAGAAAGAAAATGTTTATATGCACTTACTGGTCAAGATTGATGACTCTCTCGTCGTCCCCGTCAACAGAAGGAGCTGAAGAAGAAAAGGAATAGGAGGTGGATGAAGAAACAGAGAGATGTGTCCCCTGCAGAGACAGTTCATCTTTAAGCGCACCATCACCAGCAATCAATGGCTGGTTGTCCACAGATAGCTTCAAAATGAAGCTTAAATTGATAGCAATTGACACTAAAAGCAAGTTCCAAACGGTGAAAATATCAAGGAACCTTGCCATTTCTCTCAGAATTTAGAGCAAATGAGCTTGAAAAAACAGGGGATTTGGCAAAAAAAACAGTGTGTTTAGCAGAAAACAGAGGAGAAACACAGGACAGAGCTAATAGGTAAGAGTAATGGAGAAACCGAAAGAAGGGTTGTAGCAAAATCAAGAAGATAAGGTAAAAAGGGCTCGAGTGCCAAATGGGTGCTGGAGAAAAGAGCGGTTGTAACTATGGATTCTGTGATTGAATTACAGCAATGAGCAGTTTGGAAGGACTCTAAAAACTGCCGGAAACCGATAGAAACAAGTGGGATTCTTGGGTTTCTAGAGCCTTTTAGCGCATGAGAAGTGTCAGGTTTTGGAACAAAACAAACAAAATTTGTTGCTCAACTTTTCAGAGAATAAGCGGAAAGAAACGTTCAAGTCAGTTGGATTAATACGTTCCTCAAAGTGAAGAATCAAAACCAATAGCAAGAAAACAGCGGCAGTATTGGCCGTCTTATTGAGAGTTTTAAATTGAAACGACTGAGAAACCAATCAAAATCAAAATATGGCATTCTTGATTTTGGACAAAAAAAAAAAAAAAGAAAATACAGAAAGAAACAGAGAGGGAAAAACTCAAGAAATGATATTGATGGCTATGGGCGCTAATACCCGCTGGAAATTTTATTGCCTTGTCCTTGAAAACACCTCCGACAGGGAAATTTTCCCAAGAATCAAGAAATCCTACTTTCTATTTTCCTGGAAAATTTGCAGTTTTCCCTATGCTAGATCTCGATAAAATACAAGGCACTACCATTAAAAGTGTAGAATTGTAGATTCACTGTTCCTTTCCTTTCTTTTTTCTTTTTGGATATAAATAATAAATGTATAATATTGTATGGAAATAAATTATTATAGTAATACTAAATATAAGCACGAGCAGAAAGGGAAGATTAAAAAGCTGCTAAAAAACCCATGCTTTCATTTTCTTAGCTAATTTTATTTTTTTTTATATTTTCTTTTCTTTAATTTACCTTTTAATTTTAATTTTTTTTAAACTTTTATTGATATTTGCTTTTCAAATCAAAGGTGTCATTTCATTATCGATGTAAACAAATGGAGTCTTTGCGATAGATTCAGAATTGACAGAGTTTTGCTTTGGGAGATTCATGCATGAACTAATTTTGTTTTATTTTATTTTTTAACATTCTGTGATAGGAAGATAAATAATTGTGATTAGTGATTTTTAATAAATGTTTATGCTTTATTCTAATTTAATTTAAAACAAACATGAAACACATTTTCTAAATTAGACTGTAAATATCCCATTTCAATTCAAAATTGTATTGTATTATTTATAAACTAAAATAAATCCTTAGCTTATAAGCTCAAAACAGAGGGACACATTTCACCTACATATTAGTGGAGCTATGTCATCAATGCTATCAGTTGTTTGTGCACCAGAGGATCATTAATTAATTTATTATTATTTACAAGAAATTAGCTATAGCAGTGAAGTAAAACTTTTATTTTTTTATATCTAGTAGGCAAGAGTGGTAAACGAGTCAAGCACGTTAAATTCAATTCTAAGCTCAATCGAATGAAAATATAATTGAGTATGAACTTGAAATATTAAGCTCGAATTCAACTTTTTCTTTATAATCCATAATTAGAAAAATTTAACTATTCAGATTTAAATTTGAATTTGACTCATTTATTAAACAACATATACATATACTTTACTAAAAAAAAAAAGTTAAATTAAACATTTATTGAAGGTTATGCTTTTTCTCTATTATTTTTTGGTTGAATCTAATGTTTTAAAAATATAAATCAATGTCTTTATTAGTTGTCATGCAGAATACAGATGGAATTGATTCTCTAAGAACCCATGACTTCAATTAAACAATAATAGTGTGTAGTGTTTTGTACAAGCAATAGTAATAAGTCAACAAAAGAAATATCTTTATATTCATAAATCCATATATTTATGTATTATTAGGGTTTTTGTTTCTATTCTTGATATTACTCATATGGATTGTAATTTTATATATATATATATATATTTGTAATTACTTAAAAGAAAGTTTTGATATATTCGTAATCTTGATAGTTTCCACTTTTAGTATTTTTAATTTATCATTATAATTATTTTATTTAACCAAGACTCAAAGACAAATGATTCCACCCCATCTCATGGTAGATATATGAGCATCAAAATAAATTATTCTAGAAAGAGAATCCATTGGTTTTTACAATAAATTTTTTTTCATATTTTTTTCAATATTTAGAATTCAATCCAAACAAAATACTCATAAGTAGGGGTGTTAAAATGAATCATGGTACAAAAATACCATTTCCTAACACGGAAATTAAACGAGTTAGGATTGAGTCTAAATGCATTGGTGCTATAAACGGGTGACTCACATATGATATGAATTTAAATGGGTCATATTATGGATTGACTTGTCTAACCCTTTTATTTAATGGTAAAAATATAATTTCATATATGATATATATATATTAAGAGCGGGTTATATGTGTTATGTTTTTATCCGTATAAAATCCATTTAATTATTAAGCGGATTATACGTGTTGTGTTCTTGTCACTAATTTAATTTTTATGTTGTGTTTCTGTCACTCGTTTAATTTTCGTGTTGTATTCATATTGACTCTAACAATTTCGCGTGTTAAGCGGTTTCACGTCGAAACCAACGCTCTAACCCATGAGTGGCAGTAAAAGCTCCATCTCTGTCCAGTTTCTTGCTTAAAAATCTAGCAGAATGAAATTAAAGATGAAAGCGAAAAAACACCTAAATTCTTAATGTACAAATTGGCTGAACCTCTTGTTTTTTAAGGGTCCACAAAATCAGCAATCTTGAAAAGGATTCAAGAAATTGGGACCAAGAATTTTAACTTCTTGAGAGCTCAGTCACAGCAATCCTTTCCACAATATTGGTAACATAACGAACACAGCCTAGGATTTTTTTTTTTTTTTTTTTTCTCAGTCACAGCAATCCTTTCCACAATATTTGGTAACATAACGAAACAGCCCTAGGGGGAATTTTTTTTTTTTTTTTTTTTTTTTTTTTTTTTTGGTTTAAAGATGGTCCTCCATCTAGCAACTCTAGTCTTTGTTTCATCTTGAGGCTTCTGCAACCTATTCATAAGGAGATGGTCCTTCTCATTCATAGGTTGCAAACTTAGCCAATCATTCATCGTGTATTATTGAAATGAGGCACTACTTTTGTAAACTTGGAATTGACTATAGGATCTTATTTCTTTTGCTGCCAATAATTTTGAATTTATAAGCTCATGTTTGTTTTCTATGGAAGATTCATGGAGGCATGGCCAAAAAACAGTAGCTTGGACCGACAAGATTTCTTTTTTTTTTAACCTGCCAATGTGAATATTAGTGTCTAGTATAAATCGCAAGCATTTATCAATGACCTTTTGTATCAAATCAAGAACAAGTAATGCTAAAATCCAATTTATGTACATTTTCTGCTCCAACTAAATTCGAACTGATAACCCTACAACATCTTAAAGAGGACTTTCAATAAAATTGCTTCCGATAAAAAACAAAGGAATGAAGATGGAGGGATGTTCTTGTCAATTGGAAATAAATAAGCCAAGATTCCTCGAATACTAGTGCCAGTCTATTTGGCAATAATTGGATATGGGTTTTCTGATCATATGAGCAAATGGACAGTTAAAGGGAAATATTCCATAACAAAGCAGAATTGTAACCTTTCCAACTATAATCATTTCCACCCATTAGCACCTTTTGTTTCCATTTTCTTTCCTCACCTTCATCATTGCATCCTTTTCCATAAGGAACCAATCCTCGGGTGGACATAACATGACGAGTCACCTTTAGAACACTCCATAACTTGATCATTGTTAATTGAACATATACTCCAAAAAAAGATAATATTAACATTAAAATGAAAAGGTGAATCTAAAGCAATTTTGTACCAAAACTTGGCTAATGCCATACAAAAGATAAAGCTCTGTAAATCTGCTCGTAGCAAAGAGGATCAAAAAAAAAAAAAAAAAAAAAAAAAAAAAAAAAAAAAAAAAAAAAAAGGAATCTCCATAGGTATGCAAAATCAGTATTTACATTCACAAATAACATAACCAGTTACCACACATAAGGGCCAGTACAATATGTAGTTTTACAATGTATATCATAAATTGCCACTTCAATCTTGTATGCACAAAAAAAAAAAAAAAAAAAAAAAAAAAAAGGAATTTGAAAGAGTACATCAAAAAAAAAAAAAAAAAAAAAAAAAAAAGAATTTGAAGAGTAACATCGCATGACCCAAGATTCTGATGTTATCCATTGTGCATCAACTTATCCAGCACAATATTAAGGTCCACTGACTGGCCATTCTCTGTCAGTTTTTTCACTGTTGCTCTCACCAAGTCTCTTCGAAATCCCATACCAACAACCTTGTCAACAACATCATCAACTGGTATCGTGTTTCCACTCCCGCCAGAGCTTGATTCACTGTCCACACTAGAGGCAGTTGGAATAGCATGTTGTAATACACGGGCAGTTGGCAACTGAGAGTAACTAATTTCACCACTGTTGGCAACAGGGGCTGGTGAGGGTTGCAAAGGTTTTGCAATTGACTTGCTATTATGTGTAGGAGCAGTATAACCATAGAAGTCCACGATATTTGTGTATCCTTGTGGATGCCGTTGAACTTGTGAATTTCCAGCAAAATCCGAATAACGCAAGTTTGAGGGTTGATCAGCAGAAACGGTATTAAATAACTGGGAGGAGAGAGGAGGCACATCACGTGGCTGAGAAGGTGCATGGATGCTTTGAGATGATGGCGCATAAGGAACTTCTTCAAGACGATAGACTTGAGGATTCACTCTTGTGAAAGGTGGATGCACTTGGGGCAACTGAGGTAAGTGTGAGTCTAAAGGAAGATTATATGGTGGTTGATAAGGCTGATGACTGTGAGTTGATGGCTGTGGCTGCTGAATTGAAGGAACATATTGTTGATGACTGGTTCCTGGGGTCGAAACTGGCAGTGGATAATAAGCTCCTTGATGTGGAACTGGAGGTACAATGCTCTGGGGTAGCTGGGAAGGAAGTTGTGGTTCAGTTGCAGCAACAGTGGGAAGGTAAGATGCTGAATGCGCAGGAACCTGTGGTGCTGTAACTCCAAGTGGAGCCGGAGAATGATGTTGAAGAGGTAAGTTTGTGATATTAGAAGAGAAAGCAAGAACTGGCTGTGCACGAAATACTGGAACTGGATGTGGTTGGTTGGATTGCTGAGAGACTGATGACAATGCTTCTATACCCGAACTTGATTCAACAGTATTGTTTAGTTTTTCTGGTTCTCGGTCATCCTTCAACACACAAAGCTTTGTCAGCCGCAGTTGAGCCTCTGATATCTCTTGTTTATCACTCAGATCTTTGATCCCACTTTGAACCTGCAAGAATTTGCAAATAGCAATAATGGATCACTATGTTAAGAAGCACGAACTGGCATCCAACACTGGTCTGAATAACCAATTGCTCTCCAACAAAATATCTGCAAGGTATCACTCAGAAAGGAGAAATTTTGAAAGAACACACATGCTACAACTCCCTGAGCATTTCTCACTTAGACAAGGATATTACTAATTTGTATTTGACCCTTCAGATATCTTGAAAATCCAACCCTGTAAGATTTTACGATTCAACTTGGCACTTGGCCTCGCCATCTCACGATGAGGCCTACATTTAATGCATTCAACTATATCAAGACTAAGAGTTTGAAAGATTGCCTCCCTGACCCATTGGATTCATTCAACCTAAAAATTCTAGACCCTCCCTTTCACTAATTCTAAACTGTAAATCCTCAGTTTTGCCAAGCCCTAGCTCGCCACAAAAAGATATGGAATCTACCCGATATGAATCCGGTGTTCTTTATGCACCCTTACACAATCCAGCCACAATTTGAGGATGAAGACAAAAATAAACTAAGGAACGCAATAAGCTAAAATACCTCTATTAGAATAGTCTCTAGCTCCATTAGCTTTCTGTCAGTACTTCCATGACTAAATTCAACTGATTCCTTTAAATCATCAAAAGTATTTTCTGCTTGGCGTGTTCTACTTTCCATCTGAGATAGTCGTGCACTGAGACACTCCACAGCGTGCAGCAAAACATCAACATGTTCCTTCAACTTTTGATCAATACTTGAAATCAATTCTACATCACTAAAAATCCCAGCTTTCTCACCAGAGAATTTCGTAGAATCAATATGGTCCTTTGAACTCCAACCCTGTAAGTTATGACCAAAACCAACACTTCAAACATTATGCAATGCAAGTATTCAAGCAGCACCTAGATTCTAGAACACATGTAAGCGGATGTCATTTGAACATATACAGCGAATCATTATTTTGCAAGCTAACTCCCAGTGCAATCTGTTTTTGAAACATTATACTAAATTAAAAAAAAAAAAAAAAAAAAAAAACATTATTACTTAAATTAAAAAAAAAAAAAAAAAACAAGGAAAAAAAAAAAAAAAAAAAAAAGGAGGCTTGGACAAAATAAATCAAGAACAGGGCAAATTGGGTGAAATTCAGCTAAATTAATAACAATAGTAATAATAATGAAGAAGAAAGCACTAGAGAATGATGCCCCAAACCTCGAATTTGAACTAGATTAAAAAATAAATAATTAAACTATCTATTAACATGAAAATTAAATCAACTTACCCACCCTTCTAACCAAAAATACCATAAAGTTTGGATCTATCCAAAAATCCAGCAAGAGAAATTCAACTAATAAAAGGATGTTTCTCTATGTGCATTTTACTCGTAAAAAAATTTCAGCATCCGGTCTTAGCTCCTTGCAATTTCCGAGGCAACAGAACACCATATGTAAAAACAACAAAATAGAACCAAAGCTAAAGAACAAGAGCAGGTGAGACAACTGAGGAGAGAATGATACTCTGAAGTGGGTTCCTTCGAAAGATTTTGTATGCGACTGAATTGTGTGGAAGTCGAAGCCGCGATCTTGATCGTCTTCTTCCTCTTCATCATCGCCTAAGAAACGTCTCCGGTATTTGGAAAGTTCAGTGATTTGCTTATCCATGTACTTGGATGAATTCATCGTTGAGTAAAACTTTGCATTCTTAACTTGGCGAATTAGAGCAACCGAATTCTCTTGATTTTCGTTGAACACAAAAGTATCATCGAGACATTCCGTCTTTATCCACGGTTTTGCTTTGCAGCCCCACAATCCTTTTTCCGACTCGTGTTTTATTTACGCTATTTCCCCTTTTCCTGTTATTTTACCTGCCGTCTTAAAGCCAAACGGTAACGTTTTTGTACTAAAATTTACTACAGGCACGCTGCTTGTCATTTCTTGGAATATTTGTCGTTCACAAATCACAATCCATAGAAGAGCAAAATGCACGAAGCTGAACAGAATGGCTTTCACTTTTTCTCCCATCCGGATAACTGATGGCTCAACATTGCCATTAATAATATACCTGCAACAAATAAGCTAGCCCGGGGTTTACAATTCATTGACAGTTCTGCACTACAAAATCAATACTACACTCGCATCATGGCTCTCAGGACCCATATATTAGGACGAATCCACTTTCGAGTTTAAGTTTAACTCAAAAGAAGTAGTCAACCATTGAAATTCCAGGAGAACGAAGCCAAGGGACTTGAATTTTAACCATACAATCATCATAACAGAACTCCATACACATTCCATCAATCTTGCACTCATTTGGCTCTTGCGATGCAAAGATCCTCCATTCCCCACTTCCCTTCACTCCGATCCTCACGCTATTTCCATTCTCATCAACCTCAACAGACTGAATTGCACCTCCAGAATTGAGCATGTTCACTAATCCAATTGGAGCAAATTGGATCAATTTCCTTGACAAGGCCTGCACTGGAGAAACTATAAGCAGCTCGTAAGTAAATGGCTCTAGTGAAAACTCCAATTTCTCTGTTGGCTTCATAAGCTTAAGCTTCTGTTCCTGGAACAAATACACAGCAAACCGGCTCACTCCTTCGGTGTTAATGGCAACTGGGTTCTTTCCATTTTCCCACTCAATATCTTTAGGACCTGCCAAACAATCCATCCTGTTTTTAAACTTGGGTGCTCCCATGTTCCTCCTAGTTATGCAACACCATCCTCCTCCTTGACAATTAAATAGTCCAAGAACTCCTATATACTGAAACAAAATCAAATGGAAAATATTAAATCTGATGGCTATACGAACTACTAGAAAGTATTAATGAATTAACAGTCAGGTATTATCTGATTAGTATGGTATCAGCTTCTGATCTTAGAAATGACTTAATTTGAACTTTTTTTTTTTAAAAAAAAGAGCAACTTTATAGCATCTTAACTTTATTAAGGTTCCAGAGCTTGAGCATGGTTTTGCCATCATGCAAAGGGTCGTCAAAGAGGCAATCTCTCGTAGGAAGAGCATGAGATTGGCAACGAAGAACGGAGCCATCGGGCAAGACTGAGGTCTTAAGCAAGTTGAAGTTGTGTTGTTGAATTTGGCCGCTCACGTAAATGGGTCCTCCAGAAATGGCCCTGGAGGCACCATGGAATCCGGCTAATTAATGGGTGAGTAGTTTGGAACATGTCCCAATCTGGGTGCATAAAATTGCATATCCACAAGCTATTATAGACACAGTGCACAATGTGGCATCCTTGTAGACAAAATGACCCACTTGGATCTCCTGCAGGGTCGGAGCTCCAAAAGTCATCTCCGACAACAAAATTTACACATTGCCCCTCATTTTTCATACATTATTTTTAAATAGACTTAAAAAAAGAAGCATGCTCAGAGAGAGATTATAAATTCTCTCAGTCAAAATCACATACCAACACATCCTAGTGAAATAGCCTCTGTTCCAAGGAACACGAAGTCATTGCCTTCCTCCACACTAGCAATAACACCGTTTCCATTAAAATGTTTTCTTATAGAAGCACTAAGAGCCTTGTAATAAGCTTTAGCGACTTCCACTTACTCACCATATTCCTCTGATACCATCTCTAGCAACTGGCAAGTGGCAACCACACCAAATTAATAGTTTCTATTTCAATAATATAATTAAAAAGCTTAACCTAGTAAAACATTTATCAAAAACAAATTTAATTTCACAATTAAAACCTTAAAACCTTACATGAATCACATCAATCTTGAGACCATTAGTACCGTCCGATGCAAGACTAGAATGAAGCCCATCGAACAATTCATAGGAGAAACGACCTTACACTGAGGCATGCCATGAACGTTGGGCCTAATCCTACCCCAATAACCAAGCAATGCATGCCAAACATATACATAATCTAATGCCCTAAATTCCTTTTTAAGGTCTTTACTGAAGACACCCATACCCTTACTAAAGGGTACCCTAGAACTCTCATAGTTCCTAAATTTATAATTTACTTGGATACTTTTTAGCCTTGGACTTTCATTGGGCTTTATAGTCCCAGCAACCATACGGTCCACACCTTCTACATCATCACTAGGGGTTTTGATCATCATGACAAATGGATTGCCAACCACCATCAATAAGGACCCAATTTGGAGAGCACCCACCCTCTTGTAGGCCACTGACCCCATCTTTAACTGATTTAGGATCCACCCCCGGTAAACAGAATCCCAAGTGCACCACCCAAATCTGTCCACAATACTTGGTGGAGTCTTCTCCCCTGAAAGCTTAAAAGTGCCTAAATGGGACCTAACGACTTTCACAGCATCCTTTATAACCCTATACGGGTCAAAAAACACATGCATGTATAAACGACTTCTAAAACTGAACTCAGTAACCAAACTGGACCCACTGTCAACGCAGATATCCACGTCATCGTCTTCAATACTGGCTTGAAGTGAAGATCTGAAAGATCCTTCAATTAATGGAAGTAGAAGATCGTAAGGTCGATTGGAGTCCGTACTTCTGAGTTCTGTCCAAAAGGATTATTTGGGTTTCTACTTCCACGTCTTTTCCGCTATTGCCAATCCAATGAGTGTTCCACCACAACTTGAATCTGAATATGCTCATAAACCTTATGCCTCTTAGCTTGCCAATCGGTGTTGCGTGCCAGCTTCTTGGCTCATCAAGACGAAACCTACGAAGCAGTCCGCCGCCGATGGTGTAATAACAATGTTGGTAGGGACTTGTTTGAGAATTGGATGGCCGTTGGCGAGAAAGTTTGACTCTTCTAATGTGATTGATAACGGTAATTCGCTATCGATTGCATGCTCAGTTAAGCATCTTTGCTTACAGTTGGAGCCATGGAGGAAGTCAGCTTCTGTAATGGAACGTAGAAAGAGAGAGAGAGAGAGAGAGAGGGAAGGGGGATTTGCTTTGTGCGTTACGTTGGTTTGTAAGGTGGCGAGATGATATGATACGGTGTTGAGAAGGCGGTGGAGGGTTGCATGCAACTGGCCAGCGGTGGCCTTAGCGGTGGAAATTGGAAAAAAAATTTTCGGGAAAAGGGAATCGTGCTACTGCTTTTCCAAGCCAGGCAACTGTTTTTACTTTACTTCTAATTGTTTATTGCATCAACCAGTAAAATGAATAAATTAACTTAATTAGGAATACTATGGTAATTAGGATTCAATTGTAAATATTAGTTTCTAATTACATAATGTAACTATTGGCATACGGGTCATTCTATAAATTAATAAATATCTTTTAGTTTATGTCTGTCTCTTATTATGATTCTGTTATTTTTCCTTTTCTTTCCTTCTCCTCCTTCAAATTTCTTCCTGTTTCTCGACTAACAAACAAATAATTTGTGTTGGATCTCTGCAAGTCCCAACATATTAAAATTGTATGAAATTACAAGATTTTAAACTCGAATTCATGTGAAATTATTCCAAGGAGAAAAAAGATATTAGAAAAAGAGGAATGAGGGGAGGAAATGGACATTTAAATGCGAATATGTGATGGTTACAAGCAGAAATACTAATGAAATTGAGACACGGCAAAATGGAAAAAGTTCAAAAAAAAAAAAAACTTTCATGTTTGTTGGTTTTTTTTTTTTTCTAATAAAACTTTATTTTTCTATACTTAGAATACGTACTCAATCGCAGACAATCTTGAGGAATTAGGCCATGGGACTTGAATTACCACCACCTGATCATCATAGCTAAACTGAACATCTACACCGTCTAATTTGCAAGCCACCGGCTTTTCTGATGCAAAAACCTTCATTTCTCCTCTTCCCTTAACCCCAATTCTAACCAAATTCTTATCATCATCAATATCTAGTGACTGAATTGCACCCCCGGAATTAAGCATGTTCACCAGTCCAATAGGAGCAAACTGGATTAATTTTCCGAACAATATTGTCACAGGAGAAACTGTAAGCAGTTCATATTTAAATGGCTCAAGTGAAATTTCCAAGTTATCTGATGACTTAAGGAGCTTCAATTTCTTTCCCGGGAACATATAAACAGCAAATACGTTCACACCTTTGATAGATATTGGATTCTTTCCGCTCTTCCATTCAATATCTTTAGGACTTGCCAAGCAGGTCACTGAGAGTGAATGTTGGTTTGCACATTTGTTTCTCCTGGACAGAGGGCACCAACCTCCTCCTTGACAATTGAAGAGTCCCACCACTCCAGTATACTGTTACAAATCCCCATAAAAAAAACAAAATCACAAGTCAGTGAAATTTAAGGGCACTAGTGCAATATCACATAATAAAAGACAGACATTACATTATAGCTTACTTTGTTAAGGTTCCAAATCTTGAGCATGGTTTTACCATCATGCAATGGATCTTGAAAAAGGCAATCTCTGGTAGGAAGTGCATAATACTGGCAGCGCAAAATAGAGCCATCAGGCAACACTAGCCTACTGAGCAATTTGAGGTTGTGGTTGCCAACAGAATCGCTCACATACATTGGTCCTCCAGAAATGGCCCTCGAAGCAGCATGAAATTCAGCACAAGGGTGGGTTGATTGGAACATGTCCCAATCTGGGTGTATGAAATTGCCCATCCACAAGCTATTATAGGCACAATGTACCATGTGACACCCTTGTAGCCAATATGTCCCATTTGGATCTCCAGATGGGTCAGTGCACCAAAAATCATCCCCTGCAAAAGGGTCAAATTTAATGAATATATAAATTTATCTCAAGTTTCTTTTCTTCTAGAACAAGAAATACTAAAGGCATTACCAACTCGCCCAAGTGCTATGGCCTCTGTTCCGAGGAACATGAAGTCATTACAATGCTCCATACTTGCAATCACACCATTTCCTCTGAAATGTTTCCTTGTGGAAGCAGTTAATGCTTTGTAATAAGCTTTAGCAAGCTCTACTCTACCACCAAATTCCTCTGATAGCATTTCCAACAACTGAAAGGAACCTATTTCGTTAGAATTTGAAATAAATGCAAGTAAAATTCAGCTAAATATTCATTTAATTAATCTTATTGAATTTTCCTCCATTTAAGGAAAAGAATTTTGGAAATCTGAAACGAAAGACTACAAAATACAAATTGACAATAAAGACATTAGTGAGGACAAAATAGCTAAAAATTTGGTAAACCTCCAAATACTCACCGATCGATACTACAGGCAAAGGCATATGCACCCAGAACTCTAGGTTGATTGGAGTATTTAAGTGGTAAAGAATCCTGCATTTGCATTTATTACCAAAACGCTTGCATTGCACTTTCTCAATTGTAATATAGTTAATTAATAATAATAATTAGTACTATATGGTATATGCAGTCCATTAACTAATCTTCTTTCATTAATTTAATTTAATTTATTATCCATTGATCCTGACGTGGACAATTAGGACGAGTTTTCGAGAACTTACATGAATGACATCAACCTTGACGCCATCGATGCCTACCGATTCAAGATGAGAGTGTAGTCCCTCGTACATTTTGTGGGCCAGTTCTGGTGGGACCAGTCCTACTCCGTTGTTGACGATCTTATCCACGGCTAGATCTTCCATTGTCATTTGTAAGCCTTTAGACAATCTTGGGGTAATTACCCTAGATTCAGGCATACCTGGGACGTTAGGCCTAATCCCACCCCAATACCCACATAGAGCATGCCAAACATATACATGTTCGACACTCTCAAACTCTTCTTTAAGATCTTTGATAAAGGCACCCATCCCCTTATCAGAGGGTACCCTAGGACTCTCATAATCTCTAAATTTGTAATTTTCTTCAAATTTTACTAATCTACATGGCATTTGTTCTCCAGCTGCTGTTCTATTTATACCTTCTTGGTCAGTGATAGGGTCATCGTCATGGCATATGGACTGCCAACCATCATCAATGAGGACTAAACCTGGAGGGCATCCACCCTCCACTAGGCCCTTTACCCCTTCCCATACACCTTGAGGGTGTACATTAAGATAAAATGCATCCCAAGTACACCACCCAAATTTATCTACGATATCCGGTACGGTTTTCTCTTCCAGAAGCTTAAACGTACCTAAATGTACCCTTATAACTTTCATGGCTTCCTTAACAAGGGTATAAGGGTCATCGCCGACATGCATGTATAGACAGCTTCTAAAACTGGACCCACAAACTTTTGTGGACCCACTTTCTACACACATGTCCACGTATTCATCTACCCCAGGTTGAAGAGAAGCTCCGAAAGATCCTTCGAGGAGTGGAAGAAGTAAAACGTTAGGGCGTCCCAAGTCATTTTTGTCCAAAATCATGATTTGGGTTTCATATTCCACGTCTTTCCCACTATTGCCAATCCAGTGGGTTGTCCACCAGACTTTGAATCTGAATATGCTCATGAATCTTATCCCACTGAGCTTCCCGATGGGAACCACATGGTGGCTTTTGGGCTCATCGGCATCGAACCCGACGAAACAACTCACAATGTTCTTGGTCTTGGTCTTGTTAGCAGACAGAAATGGAAATGGAAACGGTGATGGTGATGGTGTAGAAATAATGTTTGGAGGGACTTCAGTAAGAATTGGATGGCCATTAGCAAGAAAAGTCGGTCCTTCTAGTGTTATTGACAATGGGTTTTGATGATCATCTGTAAGGCCGACGGCGTCTAATAAGTTCTTGCTTAGGCTCGGAGCCATGGGAGTGGTTTTATGCGGAAATGGTTAAAGAAGAGGAAAGAAAGGGAGGGAAGTTGGGCTCTGGTTTGTGTTCTACTTCTGTGTTCAAGACTTGAAGAGAGGACCGTTTATATAGAAATCTTTTGAGAGGGTATTATTTTTAGGCCAATAAAAAGTTGGTTGCTGTTGGCTTATAATCAACCACAAATTAATTACAAGTTGAGTTGAAATTTTTGCTTTCGAGTGTCATTTTAGACACACAAGTGCAACATTTTTATGTCACTGAAAATAAGGTTGATAAGTGTTGCGGTCTAAAAAATACTCATGGAACTTATGAAAGTCCCTTAATATAGAAAAGGTGGCGCGCGGAGAGCATGGATTTGTGTGCCGGCCTTGTCTTTGCACTGGATTCTTCTAGTTCTAGTGGTTGTATTGTTGTATATTAAAATTAAAAACAATTTTATAGATTTAATGATTTATTACTCCTTTTAATTTCTGTGCTGGCCTTGTCTTTGCACTGTATGATGGGAATCTTATCTTTGGTCCATTTGACTTATACTATACCAGATATTTCTGCCTTTCGCTTTGTGATCTAGATGTTTCTTCAGCTTTCTTTTACTAGTATTACATTATTACGGCCCTCGATTCCCGCTAAGCTTATGGCCCTACAATTTTTGTCTCCTCTTGTTTAATTTTCATTTAATATTTTATTACTTCTTTTAATTTTTTCAACATACAATTAATTTTTCTCTGTTATTGCAAGAAAAAATTTATTTTTTTTTTGGTGTTTAAGTGTATTAATCCGACTCAATAAATGATAAAGCGTTTTCTTTCGAAATTTTAAAAAAATTTCATATTTAGAATTGAATTTAAAATTTCTGATTAAAAGAGAATATTCTCTCACATTTTATCTCATCAGTTGAAAAGAAGAAAAAAAATTTTATTATCTATGAGCAATTTTTAGATAAATATCTGTGATGTATAATAATTATTTATAAAATAAAATTAAATATATATGTAGGAAATCAATATTTCTTTAATTATAAGTAAATTTGTCTAAAACTTGAATTTTCAAATTCTCCATCACCTCTTTTTTTAACTCGATAAAAACAAATTATGTGTGTATGTAATTTCACAATTAGTTAACGTTTCAGTTCACATTTTAAAGGTTAATAATTCTTTAAAATTAATTAATTTTCAAAATATTAAATTAATGATTTTTTTTTTTTTGGCCTTTTTCTTTTTGCCCCATATTTGCACATTTTTCCTAATACAAATAACTGTCACCAGAAAGTTCCAAAGAGTTCTCAACAAGACGATAAATAAAATTCCTGCACCTAACATTGAAAACAACCAGCGTGGGCTCCACCGCAGAGCCCACGCAGGTCTTCGTCACCGCGGCAGTGCTTCGGTGGTGGTGCATGTATTTCCGAAAGAGGACGAAACTATTTTTCAGTTTTTACTTGAAAAAAAAAAAAAAAAAAAAAAAATTCGTCACCGCGGCAGTGCTTCGGTGGTGGTGCATGTAATTGTTCCGAATAGAGGAGACGAAACTAATTTTTTCAAGTTTTTTTACTTGAAAAAAAAAAAAAAAAAAAAAAAAATCGTAGCCCCAAGTCTTTTACAGTCTTTTTGTCCGGTAACAATCTTCACGAAACTTAAAAAAAAAAAAAAAAAAAAAAAAAAAAATCGTAGCCCCAAGTCTTTACAGTCTTTTTGTCGGTACAATCTTCACGAAACTTAAAAAGGAAATTACGAAGCTAATGAATCACAAGATTCACAACGATTTCACCATCAGCATGCAATAAGAGAGAACCACGTTAACAGAAGAAGAGGCGAAACGAATGTCAAAAAAAAAAACGAAGAAGAGGTGAAACGTGGTCGTGTCGTGGCAGTGCGCATGGCTATAAGAGAAAGCCACGTCCAAAATTAGGGACTTAAGCTTTCTCATTTCTGCTGCTTAACACGTATCAACATTGCGATCATTGCAGTTCCTGTTTGTTTGTACGAAAATAGCTATGATTACATCAGATTCTTATAATTCAATTTTCCTGTGGAAAATGACTAAAATGGTCTAAGCAAGTAATAGGTGAATAATCATTTTAAGAAAAATTCAATAAAATAAAAATATTTTGTTGAATAATTACAATGCCATTGTTGTCAAGTCAACCAACACCAACAAATTATTATTTAACAGTATTTTTATAGTGTTTTAAATTATAAAATTTTAATATCTTATAATTTTTAATACTGTAATCAAATAAAAGCGTCTTTTTAAATGTATTTTGCAAGCTATAGTATGTTAAGTAATACTTTGCAACGACACGGCGTACTGATCATGGGCCAGTCAAATATCCAATGAGGCTGACATTGAGCCCAAATTCAGCTAAATTTCCTGGCCCAAGTTACCACAATCATTTTTTTTGGCATGCGGAAAATGCGATGGCGATGGAGAGAAGCACAGAGATGGAGGGAGGGAAAGAAACCGAAACCGAAACCGAAGAGGTAGAAGAAGACGATTGTTCATTTATCTGGGACGAAACCAGTCAGCTCTACTTCCACTCCAGGTTTTTATTCTAGACTTCGCTAATACCTTTGTTTAATCCTAAAACAGTGATCATACTTCTCTCCTAGCTCTTTTAATTATAGCCAACTGCGAATTTGACTGCGTAATTACCATTGCAGTAGCAATTAAACGAAATCTTTTATTTCATTTTTTATATATATATTTTGTTAATTCTTGGAGTTGCTGAGTGCTGACAATTGCGGAATTCTGATTCTTAATCTTCCATTTGTTATCAGGAAAGATTCAACATTTGATGGAGTATTATTCATTGATTTTGATGATTTTTTGTTCTAAATAGTTGTTTTATGTTTTTTCCGTTTTCTTGTTCTTTTTTTTTCTCTCTTTTCTTTCAATTTTCTGCAGAAGTGGCATTTACCATGACCCTAATGGTGGCTGGTACTATAGTAGTAGAGATGGGCTTTATTACAAGTTTGAGAATGGAAGTTATGTGCTTTTAGAATCTGACAAGGTAACACTTAACGATTTAGATTGATTTTTTTTTTTTTTTTTTGCCTTGGAAATCATCTAAAGTGATGTGACTTGGTGTTCCCTTTCTCATAATGCCTTGATGTTGCTTTTTTGTCCTAGGCTCATGGTTTAGAATCAAATAGTTCCTCAAGAAATGTTCCTAATAACCCCATTCAAAATGAGTCATCAAGACAGGTTTATTTCAATAGTGAGGAGAATATTTCTTCATTGCCAGCTGATCAATCTGATGCTTACCAATGTAGTGGAGGCGATGCTCCTGATGGAAATACCCTTGGTGAGCCACTTGGTTATGTGTAAGAAAAGCTGATAGGTTAAAAAGATTATAACGAGTATTGCCAACAATAGATTTGTTTTACTCAAATTGAACCCTAGATTGCAGTTATTTGCTGGTTCAAATAACAATGCTATCAGTCTAAAGACATCTATAGGAATCAAACGTTTCATTTGACATAGGGTTGACATCTGTTCAATTTATATAGGGTTTAAAAGTTTCATTTGCCATGTTTCTCCCATCTGGCAGTGATGGATGTGTCCGATTATCACCTGAGCAAGGTGGTTGATAACTCTGTCTCAAGGGTTCTTCCCTCTAAACTTGGTTGTTTATTTCACCTGTATGAAAATACTTTATGGCAATGCTTTTCTCTCAGTGCACGCGTGAACTCTTTTCCATTTTCTTTTTCTATTTCTTTTACAGGACAGAAAGACTGTAACTCCAACCAAGCATCCGAAAATCCACCTCCGCCATCAGAGTGGTATGCTACATCTATCATTATGAATCCATATTTCTTTGTATTAGATGCTACTAATGCATCTTCTAATTTTGTATATGCTTAATTCAGGCTAGAAGAAACACTTATCAACCTTTATCTTTCTGGCTATAACCAAGCAGTGAATAGTTCTAATGTTTCAACAATGTCGTTTGAAGGAAATGATGGGGATCATTTCAACTGTTCAACCGATGGTTTGTATCACCTTTATAAATAGAATACTATACAATTTGGTTGAAAGTTTCTCCATGTCTTTTACCATAACCTAAATGGTTTTATATTGTCGAGGCACATCTCATGATGATAATCAGATGTCAGAAGGTGATTGGGTCTCAAAGCAGCATTGTAGCTTAACTGATCAGCATGAAAGTATTATAGATGAAGGTATTGCCTTTTGGTGGAATGATAAATGTTATGTTTATTCTTCCCTCTGACTAATTGCTTCTTTATGTTGGATTTGGACTTGTTTAGAAACTTTTAGGAATTACTTATAGATATATTTATTGGGAGCCAATTTTACCAATGCAAAACACTTTACTATCCTCTTTAGAAACTAGTTAACAAATTATACTTTCTGGGTTGATGTGGACTAAGAGTTTTGAGCTTTTTGCTCGCAGATGCTTTCAGGGATGAAGAAAACTGGAAAGCTCAGTATGGTCAAGTAGTTCATTCTGGAGAACAGCCAGTGCTGGATTTTCATGTTGTGGAGTTGTGGGACTGGGCAGTGGTCACGGGTTTTGGAAAGGATAGAAAAGGTCAGACATCTAGGCTGGTTGGACGGCTGGTGAAACAGTCTGCTAAGCTTCATCCTTCTATGCCTTCCAGTGGTGGTCGTTTTAAAAGTGCTCCAATTTGTGAAGCACATCTTGACCTGGTACGGGTTAGAACAGGTTCGAATTTGCTTCATTTAGTAGATGCTAGAATTGTCTTTGCAAGTCCTGCGCCAGATGGTATTAGCTAGCCTACATAATGTTTAGGGTCTGTTCCAGAGCAAGTGGAAAAAAAATGTATTTGAAATTTTTAAATACTCTCCATATATTGTCCATATGTACCACTAATGAGTAAAAAATCATGAGGCTGCTAAAATATCTTCTCGTTTCAGGGCAAGTTTATAAGTTGCGTACTCCTAGTGCAAGATATCTGTCTTCCTTGGCAAGTTATGATTCTTCCAACCCAACAAAAGATTGGGGTTTCCCTGAGTTATCTATCAATATTGGAGATATTTCCTTGACAAAATCCCTTGGGAAAAGTGAAGCAAAATTAGCAGATGAAGACATTGATTTCAAGGAGATGTTTATGCCATCCAATCAACTCTCCACAGCCAAGAAGGTAAACTGTGTAGCATAAGAGCTTGGATTTAAATTGCTATCCTTGTTGAACTTATCTCATTATTGTCAGAAAAGTACTAAAATTCTATAAAAGGATCACATAGAAAATAATTTGAAGTCATTTTGCTGGTATAAGAGGAAGAGATTGCAGTCACAGAGAATTCTGTGTATATCATAATGCGGATTATGCTTCTTTTCTCCTTTATTCTGTTACAATTTTAACATACCCTTTGAACCATTGCCAGCAAAGAATCCATGAGTACAGGGATAGAGCTGCTGAGAGAAGAACCTTGCATGGTGGTTTCGGTGTGGGCCCTGGGCAAAAGAGTTCATTAGCTGATGACGTTGGTGGTTCACCATCTCCTTCCACTTCTACAGAGGAAGCTGCAGCTGAAGCCTTGAACATGTCATTTGGAGCTGGTAGTTATGCCAGGAAACTACTTGAAAATATGGGCTGGAATGAGGTAAAACTAACAGCATTTGTTTAGGTTATCCATGAAACAATAACAAAAAGAAAAAAAAAATTTGAAAATGACCTTTAGGCTCTAAAACAAAGATGTGTTCTTGCATTTATTTAGACATTTTAATAGTATAACAGAAGCCTCTTTTAACTGTAGTGATTCTTATTTTGGTTTTGTTTACAATTGCACAGGGTGAGGCTTTAGGCAACAGCAGAAAGGGTTTAATCACACCTATAGAAGCAGTTGGAAATATGGGCAGTGCTGGACTGGGGTGGCCTCAGCGCTGAACTACTGAACTGAATAACAAAACACTGACGTTTTCCTCCTTTCTTCCTGCTACATTTGACCAATCCTATCTTTGTACATAAATGATGCTTTTTTTTTTTTTTTTTTTTTTTTTTTTTTTTTTTTTGACCTGCGTCATCACGACTCATGTAAAGCTATCTCTAAAATGGTGGTCTTCACCCATTCGTGGCTCTCTCACATCTCTCTCTCTAGCGAAGAGTGTAAGGTGTCTTTTGCAACGCTTGAATGTCACACCGAGCGAAGTGAGATTTTGCCATTACACTAGCATATCCTTCAGGTAGTCGGGTGGAGTACTGATTTTAAGTCGGCACCCACAGGACACCCTACCTACAATCTTGTTTGGATAGATTATTAGACACTTGTTAGAACACCAGTGAACACGAGACATGTAGTTCTAGTGTTACCGTAAACGCGAACCAATAACAGCGCAACATGAAATACTACTAAATCTGAAATATTCCGCACCTGTCTGAGGATACTCTGCAAATCTACAGACTCGCTGGTATCTTCTCCTCCCGCATTATTTTATTCGATCATCTATATAACTAGTCCCAATCAACCCCCGCCGCCGGCACGCCCCACAGGATAGCCTCTTTGTTCAGTGGGTAGTGATTCTTATCTTCTATCGGTTTCTGTGTTTTACCAAATCTGCACAGGTCGCAGCCTTTTAGCATAGGCCAATGCCAGACCGCCCACCGACCACAGCGCCTGTGCTCCTCGTAAATCACACACTCCAACCTAGAGGCACTCATGTTAGCGACAACGAATACATGCCGAGACAGCTGACGAATTGGGCGGTGGCGCTCCCGGCCCACCACGCGATGGACCACGCCCTAACGCCTCGAACTGCTAATCACCCTACACACACAATGAAGCCTTCTGTTACATACCTTCTCACTTCCTGGTCACACATTGTGTACCCAACTACCTCCACCTCTATACCATGATTAAGTACTTTACTACAAGACTCTAGCATTTGCTCTGTCTTTTCTTTTTTTTTTCTTTATTTTTTATATTTTTTTGATATATAACTTACTTTGGATTCTTGCAAATGTGCAACTTAAGCATTGTTTAGAGTGTATGCCATTTGCGACACAGTTTTTTTCTTTCACTACCCGTACCGATCAAATAGTAGCAGGGAGTCTGACTATAAGCTAAGAGACATGCTCACACCTTGCTCTATTTCAGGGTACGTAAACTATACACCCTAGAAAAGTAAATTGGTTTTTGATTAATTTAAATATTTTGAATATTAAGAAGCTTAGGCATTAGTCGTATTTATAAATATAAAATGGATCGAAGGATGTATGAAAGTAACAAAAACCATTGGCCTAAAATGTTCGTTTTATATTCAGAATTTTTTGAGGTCTAATTGATATTGTGTTTTAACAATAAAATTGAGGACTACTCATCTTAATGTATAAAATGAGTTTATTCTATATTCAAGTTTACTACTCTCCATACTTTTATACGCGTCTACTCCTGGGTTCCTTTTGCATTCCACACACCTCAACCTTTACTTTCAAAGTTTGAGTGCCCTTACTTTAGCACCGACCCAGTTGGGAACCGGCCTATAGACCGTATCACAGATACTAACAAATAGAGCTTTTGAATAAATTAAGAGACCACTCAGAACCACAAGTGCAATAGTACCAGGTTTTGTAAGAATCGGTACCATAAAAACTATAATACTAAGGGATAGAAAAAAATGGTAGTTCATATAGACCTGAGCAAAAGGTTGTTTTTAAAATTAGCTCTCAACTAAATACATGGTGTGGCGCGTTTTGTTGTATACACGCGATCATTATCACCCTCCGCCTTTAGGAGGTGAATACTATATCTTTGTAATTTTATCAATAGCATGGAGCGTAGAATTGCCGCGTCGTTGCACCAATATAAAAACATTTAGGTCTATTTGGGTAAAGAAACTGGAGAGAACTTCACCAAAATGTATAGTATTCTATTATAAGCACAGGTGTGGATACAGAAGTCAATTTCCGGTGTCTTGAAGAGCAGGTCTCGCTTTGCAACTGTGTTACACATTCATTCGATTCCTTTCTCCTTCTATTTGCCTTACCTTCTGTATAGAGGTAATTGTTGGGAACACTGCACCATCTACAGGCACATTTGGCCCATTTATGGAGGTGTCATCATTCACTGGTCCTGATATCGACACAAATGGGGAATTGGAGTGATGTAGTTAAACTTTCGAATACAATTACACCCAAATCTTCTCAAATTAACTCTGAAACCATTATTCCACCAATGATGTAATAGAAGAGTCTCATTTATTAGCATCGTAATACAAAGAATTAATGGTAATATTTGTTCAAGTACATATAAATAGAATGGGTTGACTGCTAGTATGTAACGCTGCTCTGTTGTGACTATTATGGCAATTAGGTTGCTGAAGGTGGAGTCTAATTTTCGAAATGACTTTGTTGGGAGATGAGTTAACCCCATAGGGATACCATGGAATGTACGCTTTGAGATCGTGGCGAATATAGATAGGGGAATGAAAAAGAAACTTGTGACAATAGAGTTTTCTTAAATCTCAGTGGTAGCATCATCGAGAGAGGACAAAAGGGCCAAAATTTCTCAGCCCAGTATTAAATAAGTATTCTCAATGCTACACACCAGGTATCAACGCCAAATTTATAGGTATTATTTTTTTTTTTTTTTTTTTTTTTTTTTTTTTTTTTGAGAATCAATTAAAGCATGTTTAATTTCATTGGATAAGACATCAATAGAGGTCGATATAAAGCTAAACCGCTTATTCACAAGTATAATTGGTTTTTGATTAATTAAGAATTGATTATTAGAAGTTCAAAGCGATTAAATTTTCAAGTGTTGAACAAAACATGGCAAATTCTTTTAAATTAAAAAATTGTTCATAAATTAATATATGGCAGGGTTATATTCCCACCTCATACTTATACGCGTCCTCCTGGGCCTGGCATTCACTAAGCCTTTACTTTCAAAATAACGTTTGAGCTGTGCCCTACCTTGGAACCGCCATTAGCAGTTCCACAGGATTACTAAAATGTTGAAAAATAATAACATGAACGTTTAATGTACAGCGTACAAACAACATGATCAGGGATAAAAAAAACAATGGCATTCTACAAAATTGTTTTAAATTAGTCGATATCAGTTTCCTGTTTTGTTATCGCGATTTCATCGTTAACTGTATTATTAGGAGCTGAATCGGTGTTCCCCTCCACAGGGCTTTTCTGCTGGATCTCAAGCTTCAACTTGTTAAGCTCACGATCCTTCTCTTCTAGCTTCTCTTGTAAGATAAGTACCTGCCACAAAAGGAATAGATAATTGCATCTTCACTGTTTGTTCACAACAATGAAAGGAATGAAACTGAAAACACAAATTCTCAAGCCTGCCATTCCACATGAGATATTCATAATTGTTCAAGTTACATATAACAAGGGTTCTCTTATGTGATGCTTGGTGATTATGCAATTATTCTAACGGTCAAAAGATTAGTGATAGACTGAAAGGAAGAGCAAGGGCAGTGGGCTCATTTTATCTCATGATCACAGGCAGGATTCTCCAACAGTTATCTGCTCAAGCAATTTTATGTAAATCTAGAAATTAAACTCTTGAATAGCAAATGAGAAGGGAACATAGAAAATAACCATTTCATTTGATTTCTCCACGTCATTTGTCAGGCCCTCCATATGTTTGTAAAGTCCTGCATAAGGAGCACTTCAGAATCAAAAAGCTCTGAACCCAATCTGATGTGAATTCATGATATGAAACATAAGACAAAGATCATGTGCAAAGCAACAGCAACTAAAATTCAGATGGATTCTGCAGCCTGACCAAAATGGTATTCTTCCATAGAACCAAAAGCATATAAAAAGCTACCATGAATACAAGTTATTGATGTCAGAGAAAATAAGAGGTATCTGTGGACTTGTGACCATCAAATGCACTTTCAAGCCCTATGATTGCAAGGAGCTAATGAGATACTGATGCTAGTGAGCAATAGAAGAGAAAAAGGTGAACGCAACCTCAATATATTTGCCCTACGGAAGCAAGAAGCAAACTTGTAGACTAATTCAATAGCATTCAAGCACAAGATTTAACCATATTAGTGTCATTGTGTGAACTGTAAAAAATCAATTTCTTAACTCCCTCACCAAAAAAGAATAGATTCACTTGTTAGTTGTCATTTATATGTTCTTCAAGCTTCAATAAAGGCATAATCTTTTTAATTCTGTAATCTACTTGGTAATGGTTGTGCACAAGTACCATGCAGAAGAATTAGTAAATAAAAAGAGAACAAGTAAAAGATGCGAAGGCACCCCTCAATTTCTTCCAGGGTTAGCTAGCCAACATTCATGTCTCATATTTAGCAGTTCACAGAAAGACTTACATCAACAGGGAGACAAAGTTTAATGATTAAGAGAGAGAGAGATAAATTAAAATTACAGTAACATCTGACCATGAAAACAAACACCAATAATTCAGATACGTTATCCAAAAAAAGTCATAATAGGGATCATCGGATCTAGTAACATAACTTTTAACAATACAATCTCCAGATTAGCATGCATTAGTACACAACTAACCTTCAAATTGGCTCCTGAGTTCTGTGTTTTGAGATTTCTGCAAAGCAAGTTTCATCGCTAATTCATGCATCTGCATATCAATTAACACGATTATGAAGATGCTTTTAACATGAAATCCAGAAAGAAACACATTCCAAAAAGGTGAAAATGTATTGGAGCAAAAGTATCTATTTGCCATCATACTGTAGGTGAAATTAAAAAGCTCTCATTTAAGAACAATATCAATTTATCAGTCATAATCAGATGATGTTGCTCAAATATTTCACCATGTATCCGAACCCCCTCCAGCCCCAAAAGCCCCAGAGTAACACGCAAAGATGCAAAATAAAGAATAGTATATCATTTTCCCTATAAGAACAACAAGAAATACCAGGAAGAACGTTTACAGAAGATACAAAAGGCATAATACACAAACAAGATAAAACAGCCATTCAATAGTACCTTTCCTTCAGCTGCTTGATTTCCAATCTCCTCATTTTCCTCTTGCAAGGTTCTACATTTTGCCATCAGCATCTTTCCCATCTTGCTCTGCGGAGTAAAATTGACGGCAGCAATATTATCCTGCAGTTCCTTCACCTTTTTGTCTTTCTCCTCAACCAAATTCTGTTACAGCACCGAAAGATTTATTAAATAGATATCCATAAAGGAATGAAGTCTGTGACTAACTATCAGAAGATCTGATCATCAAGTGTAACATCCATATAACACACACAACCACTTCAACAATTGCAAATCCTTTCATTTCTCTAAAACCCAAGAACAAAATAATGAAGAAAGACATATCATGCAACAGCGAGAAACTAAGTGAAAAATTGCATCTACATAAAAGTTCAGAACAAATTCGTTCCCAAAAAAAAAAAACCACTAGTATATATTTGGATTGCAGAAACTATAACACTGTTTCAATTTGTGGAAAACAAGGGAGGAAAGGAAACAAAAAGGGAAAATAACACTTCCTTCTTGTGTTTGGAAGGATGAAGAAGTGAGAGGAAGAAAAATTTTGATGAAAAATAAATTATGAGTCCAAGAATTATTTTCTTTTAAAATTTAAAGGAAAGTGAGAGGGAACTATTTAAAATTACAATTTAAAGTATTTACTGAATCCAAGCAAAATAAGGTGTCCATGTATACATGTAATGCATAAACTTAGCAAAATTTAACTTGCAATCAGGAGGTTTAAGAACAAGCCTTTAAACGTGTAAATTCCTCGTGAATTGCTGGATCCAACAGTAATCTCCTTGCCTGTCCAGATAACCAAAAGTCAACTTAGAAGAAAACAGTAGCAGGAAAAGGAAGTTGGAATTGCAGTGGACATTTAGAACGCAGCAAGTTAGTTCTAGAATAATAGCTATTTCACAAATTTAGACCAGAGCATAAGCACTCAACTCCAAAAAGGACTATGGGAAAGGTAAAAACTAGTCAACAATACTGGAAAAGAAGTGCATATCAAACATATTAAGATATCGATAACGTGGTCAACTGAAACAATGAAAACTGTGCAAAATTTGACTTGTTCTACTAACACACATGGACTATGAAAGCAGCCGACCAGAATTGAGAAGACAAAACTATTGGTAAAGTAGATTCATCTACCACAACATTCACAACAATGAAGTTCACAAGTGACCATGCAAGGAGTTCTGCATAAGAAACAAGCAAGTCTGACATGCGCAGTTATAGAGCACAAGAAAAGGAGACTGAGGACAACCGATGGCAGCAGTAGTTTACTTCAGTTTATTTTCTATGCAATAATATATTTCAACATTAACTTATCTCAACAAACATCAAAATAAACTAGTTGAAATCAGTAATATGAATCATTTCCTTTTTGAGGACAGAGATAGAATTTTGTCATCGGTTGGTACCTGCATTGATGGTGGCTTGAGCTGTGCTTTCAAATCCCGAACTGCAGACTGGGAATCCAGAAGCAGTTTAGTGTTAGATGGGTGCACAACCAGAATAATATAAGAAAAAATAGCCAATAAATAAGCTCTGTAAAATATCCTCTTTAGACAAGAACTGCATCTTTCCTCTAAACCATAATCCTCATTCCTTGTTTTTCCTTTTGACCAGGTTATATCACAAGCACTTTATTTTCATTGAAGGAAAGCACAAGCTTAGAATCAAGAATCTAGAAGGAAAATGTGGGTTAACTTCCACAAAAACTCCACAGCCGCTGCCTGCCATACAGGTTTAATCTCCTCAATAAGGTTCCAACACAAATGTGAAAATGTCAAGGCCAAATGCAGATAACCATTTACCATTGACCAACAAGCAAGTTTTGGTTTTATCACATGTAAACTCTCATTGCAGTCTTTTTGAGGTGACCTTGTCCAAAAAAGAAAATCACTCCTCCAACACTTATAATAGATTTACCTCCTGAAATAATAATGCTAAAATGTACAGGAAGTCTCACCTTTAACTCTGCTATCTCTTGCTCCCTTTTAGCAAATGTTACAATGAAGGCAGCTTCTTTTTTCTTTGCTTTTTCTAGCTGATAATAAGAAGAAAACATAGATTAAATCCTGCATGATCAACAAAAGAATTCTTATGTAGATAAAGAAGGCCAATCACTAAACCTGTTCTCGCAAGGACTCCTCAGAAGATTTCAGGGTCTGAAGATAATTGATAACGAATTTAGGTTCTACAAAGACCAATACAAATCAATGTTCATGAAAAGAAATAATACATCTAGAATCATCATAAATGGGATAAGTTCTGTGAATATTCCAAGTTATGCCAGAATACATAATTTGCAGCACTTAAACTAACCAGGAGATGCCCCAGCAGGTATGAAGGACTCATTCTCAAATGCTGAACGCCACTTCTGAATTTCAGATTTTGCAGCTTCAAGCTCCGTCTAAAACCCATATTACCATAATTAAATATTGCAAAAATGTCAGTGGATCCCATTAAAAACCATAAACTTAAGGGGCAATGTTCATGTACATAATGCCATAACATTTGAATTTCGGACCATGGCAAGAAAACAATAAAATTACAGTTCACAGCAACTCAACCGGTGATACTTGTTGGAAAATCCCCAAAATTGAAAAACAAAATAAACTTTAGTAAAAAACCTGAAAGAAAAAAGGGAAGGCTTGGATACAATTATATGTAAGTTACCCAAGTAGTGGCATTCAAAATTACTCAAAACACATTATATTCACAACTTTATAGATTATAATATGGAAAAATAAGCATGCAGCCAAATCTATCTGTTGGCAATCACTAATGCTAATCTATAATGCTAGCAACATAAACTTAATGAATTATCATAATCAGTGGTCCATCTAAGTTCAAAAGTCAATTGGATGGAGTAAGAAGAAAATACCATCAAAAAAGAATTATGGTCCAACCTTCAAGATGAAGGCAGCCAAAGAAAGGTAAATAATTTCCAAATGACACAAAAGGAGGTGAATTTTTTCAGTCACTTGAAGTAAGGGTTCTCAGGGCAAAATCAGATTACTGCCTTGCTACAATTCTATTTTGTCCTTCACAAATCTAAGATTTTTGAATAAACCATAAATGTTGTTAAATACTTGGACTATGAAAGTGTACACTGTGAATTGTGAAATATATATAGTCCTTTAAAAATATAGCAAACTACGGTAGCTTTTGCATGAAAGGATCTATTTAAAGCACCATAATAATAATGCTTGAAATATGGCAGAAACTGATAATTGTTTAAAAAAGGATTATTCCTAAAAGAGTATCACCTTCAACCAGATCATTAAAATGGTGTAACTAACATCATGAGGGCCAAAATACTGTTCTCTTATTTATATTATCATAAACAAATCATGCAGAATATGTTCTTGAGCAGGAAAAAAAAAAAAAAAAAAAAAAAAAAAAAAAAGTTATCACCTTCAACCAGATCATTAAAATCGGTTGTAACTAACATCAATGAGGGCCAAATATGTTCTCTTATTTATATTTAATGCATAAACAAATCATGGCAAAAGTGTCTCTTGAAGCAGGAAAAAAAAAAAAAAAAAAAAAAACCCTTTATTCCTCACATGAAACATTGCAGTTATTACTCTAATAATTTTAGTACTATTACTGAAGAATTGATTGAATCCCACACTTTTAATAGGAAGCTCAATGAACAAAAAAAAAAAAAAAAAAAAAAAAAAAAAAAACCCTTATTCCTCACATGACATTGCAGTTATTACTCTATAATTTAGTACTATTACTGAAAGAATTGATTGAATCCACACTTTTAATAGGAAGCTCAATGAACAAAAAAGAATCTCTATGTGGTACAAAGAAGCGAGGACCAAAAAGAAGCAGAGAGATGGAATGATACATACTTGGCACGTCGAGAGAGCATTTTTACAGTTGTCGAGACTGCAAAAGCAAAAGACATATGTAACACATAAGACTATGAAAAAAATTGAATACAAACTAGCCACAACGTGAAAACTATTATTTCTCTTGCCTTAAAACATAAGCCAATTGCTAAAACTTAGAGTACCTCTCACGAAGAGATAAAATCATTGCAGTTTCTTCTACCTTAGTGTTTCCCTGCAATGAAAGCAAGCAAGGTTTCAAAATTAACAATCAGCAACTCGTGGCACTTTAAACTGGACAACAACTTTTAATCTCACTACCCAATACGATTCAAAAATTCTCAGCATAGTGCATTGTATGACAATAAGTTCAGAAGAAAATTCGAGTTCAGCATCAAACTTACCTTCTTCGAGCTAAAAATATCATCTTCATCATCCTCAAGCTCTCCAAAGCTTCTTTTACTACCTAAATTAGACACAGGAGCGCACATTCACTAAATAAACCAATAATAGAATCACGAACTAAGACTTGAGCTTTTGGTTACTGAGTAAAACAAAAGAGAGAGAACTAGATAAAACCTGAACGCCTGGTGTTATGGCTTCCAGGAAAATCACCACCAAAATCATCATCCTAATATGCGATTTAAAAAATTACATTCAGCGAAACAAAATAGCAAAAAACCTTAACAAAGTTATGAGAACGAAGAAGAAGAACTTACATCTTCAAGATGGTTGTGAGATGCCATAGTAAAGCGAGGCAAGAAACCCTAATTTAATTATTTGTTGCTCCAATTTTAAATTTTATGTGAAGAGAGGGAGGGAGAACCGGAGAAAGTAAGTGATAAACTGAAAACACTGTATTTTCTCTTTCTTTTCTTTTTCCCCCATTCTTTTTTATTTTCCAGAACGAAAAAAAAACAAATACGGAGTACAACTACGTGTGCAGGCGAGTACAAATCAAATTCAAAGAGGATGAGGAAAGTGAGAAATCACATGTAGTCAATCTCACGGTGTTACGTTTAGGATCATGACGTGTTAAGGCTTACACCAATGTAAGCCGCTCCTTTTGTTTTCCACGGGCGAAATGGCCGGTTTCGGTTCTAAATTCTATAACCGGGACCAGCCTGGCTTTGGGACCGGCTTGGTCTTGGGAGACAAATTTTTCCGTCTGGGTTGTTTATTGGGCTTTAATTCTCGTACAGCTAGACCCAAGAACTAGAAAACTATGCCATTAGGGTTTTATCAAACGACAGTCTGCTTTATTCTCGTTGTTTTACAGTAATGAACTTTGTTCACTTTTGGTAAACGCGTCATGTCGTTTCACTGAAGGCCCATATAACATATGCAGCCAGGCGTATCCGCCTATGTATATCCAATGGCCTGACAATGGGCTGGTCCATACAAATTAAACCATTTAAGAAGGCATGATTTGCTTTCCAAATTGCAATACTATCATCAAATGAAACCGAGTTGAGCAGTTCGGTAAAGTTAACGTATTTTGCAGATCATAAGGTTTGGAATTTTTAAACGCGTCATGTCGTTTCACTGAGAATGTATGTTTGATTGAGGACAAGAATGTGAACATATTCCACTTTTTTTTTTTTTTTTTGGTCCTTTTTTATAAAAATATGGAGCTGGCACCTATTCATCATTTCATTTTTGAATTATAATATTTTTGTTTTGATAATGATTTTTGAAATCAAATTGGAAGCTTCATACCACATATATATATAGATAATATTTGTATGGAATTAACATCCACTGACCAAAAATGGCAAACACACATTATATTGTCTTTGAATTTTGTTTTCGTCCCACTACCCTAGTTGTTTGTAACTACTCCAAGCAATCACTACATTGAAGAATCTCTTTTTGTGGGTATAAAGTATAAAATTAATGTTAATTTAGGTTTTTCAATTTTAAAAACTAGTTTTTTATCGGTCGAGAAGAAGAAAAAAAAAATCATTTCAAGCTGGAAACACTTTAATATTTACTTAGTGATATACAAAACTACAAGTCTATTTTCTCAATCAATTCAATTTCCGTGTTACAGTGAATAGCCTGTTGGGAATTTCTCATTCAATCATTTCATTTCCACTGAATTGTTCTATTTAAAATGTATTAAATATAGCTATCCTATTTATGGATAGATTAGATATGGTTAGGATCGAAGATGAAGACAAACAACCTTTTTGCGAAATCTTCTTAAACAAGGGCCAAAGCAAAGAAAAACATGGCAATCAATTCCCATTTAGCAGTTAGCATATAGATCATCATACCAAATATATATATCACTAAGCTATGATAATCTATGATTTATGGGTATAATTAATACCAATCACTAGATCCATGTCCCACCTTCCCTTGATTGGCTCCTACACGGTCGGTCCCACTGCTTTACTGCCACATGTCAACTCTTGATTGGGAAATAGCACGTGGGAATGAGCAAACCATCATAATTATTCATAATAATCTAAGTAAACTTAATCTTTGTTAGTGCGGATGGGAAAAGGTAAATACATTTAGGTTGACATAATGAAGGAAGGAAAATTTTAGGGTTTGTCGGTGATGGTATATATAAGCACATCAATTCATCATTCAGGTGAGAGAATTTTATGCATGGAAGGAGACATTGTAACAACGTTTGGGCCCTCAGCTATATATAGGGGGCAAATAATACTTAGAATATATATATGTCTTTATTTATTTTAAGATTCCAACATTTGGTGCACCGTTAGACACGTTTGATTAAGAAATTTTTATGCTCTGTATGTCTTCTTCTCCTCCACCTAAACAGGCTTATTCTATACTGTACACTGAATATAGGAATCCAAATACGTATTTCATTCTTTATTTTAAAATTTTGATGGTTAAAGCTTTCAATTTGGAAAAGATCATAAATTTTGGATCAATAATTTTTTTTTTTTTAAAAAAAAGTCAGAAAAGGTTGTTGAAATATTGATAGAATAAGATTTAAAGAAAGAGAAAAAAATAGTGTTTGTTTGGTTAGGTAGGTAATGGATTGGCTTAAGGTCTCACGTAAATGATTTACACTGATTTGTTGGAGTTGTTGGCTAATTAATTAGGGCATTAGGACTACAAGTTAAAATGTCAGCTTAAAAAAGGGGGTTGAAACAGTTTTTATAGAGCAAGTCGTTCCAATTAAAGATAAAATGGATATAAATTATAACAATTCAAATGAAATGCTTTTTCAATTCTTGGTATATAAAATTATGGTGTCTTGAGTTTTTTACTATAAAAAAATTTTTAAATGGCTTCGTCTTATACGCTACAAAATCGAGTATCATAAGAGTATTAAAAAAAAAAAAATACTATTTTGACGAAACTTTGTAGAAAACTAATTAAAAGAAAAAAAATCAAATCGTAGAGGAATAAAACATAAAGTATTTTTTGTGATTGAAATGCATGATCATAACCCTAATTTCAGGAACAGGAATGTATTCCTTTTTTCATCTTGGATAATGGGAAATCGCCTTTAATTTGTTCCCTAGCAAGCGTGTCTGGGTAGTAAAAAGGAGCTTCCAATCAAAACTTTAACGCTCTTTTACACTTTTTTTTTCTTTTTCTTTTTACTTTTCTGTGAGCATGCATTGCACGAATGAACGAGAAAAACAGAAAAAAAGAAATGTACATATACGTATGGAAATGGGAGGCAAGATCACATGTGAAACGAGTAGAGAGAAAGTAGTGCTCGAAGAAGCAGTATCAGTAGCAGTATTATTGATGATGACAAGTGTAAGCAAGTTGGGGGACAAATGGGTCCCTAATGCATAGCCCCATTGCTCAAGAGTCAACCTCAGTGCTCTCTTTTAGTCCATCAATTCTCCAACAATGCTATCATTTTTCTCAAAGTGAAGGATTGAAATTTTTGGCCATGGAGACCAAAAGCAGACGTGAAGGACACAGCAAATAACCAACTTTGTCCCCCAAACATTTTCCCTATACCTAGATACCTAGCTAATTAATTAATTAATTAAAATTATAGCTAATATTATTTCATTTATCTCTTTCTTTCTTTCTTTCTTTGCATGTAAATGTAATTATCAGTGGTTTTCTGCAGGATACACACGTGTGACTGCTAAATGCATGCACATCAATATTTTCTTTTTCCTTTTTTTTTTTTTTTTTTTTTAATATAGGTTTGAATTCAAATGCTTATTTTAAAAGCAAAATGATGACAAACAAATTGAGAAGTTGCCATCTATCTGTCTATGAACTATCCATGGCCTTGGTCTCTCATCTGCATGTTGAAGATTCATTAACTGGTTGACCAATCCAATATAATTAAATTAATTAGTGGGTTAGTAATTAATTTGCTTATTCTATATAGATTTGAGAATAGTAATAATATAATGTAAGGTTGTAGTTAAAAAGCTTAATTGTCAATTAGAATTAATTTATTTTAATATTTATATTTTCACATGTTAATTAATAATTCTCATCATATTAATCAATATAAAATTGAAAGTTATTGGATATATTTAACTATTTGATTTTGTAATCTCACAATCTTCAAGATAACATATAATAATAATACCACACTGAGCTAAAATTGACTATATGTTGTGATACAATTTTTCCATATCCACTATAAAATTATCTAATTTTAAAATTTATAATAAAAGATTTTAACCATAGAACTTAAAGAAAAAACAAGTTCTTGCTAATCAAGACAATCAAAGAATTCACAAAAGAAATGACTTTTCATATATATATATATATATATATATTGACTCTTTTCTTTTCTTTTTATTTTTTTATTTTTTTATTTTTTATTTTTTTGCTTAGATATAATTCTTGATTGCCATGTTACTCAGATCAGAAGCAATTTTATGAGCCTCTAACATATATAGGTTTTTCTTTTGGTACACAAGGAGGAAGACAACCTGTGTGAACATAATCTGCATAAAATCAAAATAAAGCATATATTTAGATGACAGAAAATCCCTAAATGTCTTTTCTGCATGCCTAAACTAATACCATTGACTGATGTATATGATTTATAAGACAACTAGATTGAACCTAACTTTTAATCTATGTACTTGGGATTATGTCCTTATAAATGCTTGTTCACAATATTATGGCTATCATTTTCTAATTCTCACAATTTCCTTACATCAATCAAACAAGAACATTGCTTTGTCCCTTAATTTAGAAATTAAGGTACCTTAATGTCTCACTCAAAGATGATTAATTTGCTAAATATAAAGTTAAATTCTATGATAAGCTAATTGTGGCCATGTCAGATCCAACAAGCCAAACTAAAAAGAAGATTAAAAAAATTAATTACACAGTTAAAACACTATCCTTAGCTAAGTGAATTGTCATCTATGATGTCATAGACATTTCCTTTTTGACAAATGAAATTACACTTAAATGAATTAAAATTTTGCTTGGAAATAACAATCTTTTACAAGCTTCAGAGAAATGAAAAGCCACTCAATAAGGACAGACAGTAATAATGAAATGAAAAAAAAAAAAAAAAAAAAAGAAGGGCCAAAGTGATTTATCTTGCTGTCCAAGATTGTAAGCAGCACTCTTCTCATGAAAGAAACACTGAGGTACTTGGCAGGCATTGCAGGCCCAAGTGGTTATGGCTCAAATTCAACTGCTGAACAAGTTACTGAAGCTTGTGCTTTCTTAGTCCCCAACCATTTAACTGCTATAATCACTGGTAAGAACTATTAAACTCATATATATTAATTATCTTTTCACCACCTTCTCTTCATTATGGCCTGAACAACAAAGGGTTTATCTTAAAATGAAATTCTTGGCTTTCAGCTAGAGCTACGTCTGTTTTTCTGATGAATAACTAAATATCTTCCTCTGATATATTCAGCTTTCTCGAGTTTTTCTTTTCTTTCTTTTCATATTGAGGTTTTAGTTTCTCTGCTCACTTTCTCTCTTTCCATCATCAAAGCGATCCTATCTTGTCATATCATATCATATTCCACTTTATTTTGTTCTTCTTTTCATTAATGGATTTGAACGAAAAGAATTATTCTCTTGCATATTTAGCAAAAATCCAGTGGTTATATGTATATATATATAGATATATAATTTTTTTTGAATATGTAAATATGTATATTCATTTTCAGGGTGTTATCTTTTGCTGACAAGATAGGGCATAATTTTTTGTATGTATATAACCAGATGAGTATTATACTAATATTTAATTCTGTGGCTCTTTTTGACTGTAGCAAGATATGGTTTTGTCTCTTTCAACTGGTATTCTCTCATTGATTCATATTCACTATCGCTTCTTTTTGAAGCAAGCAATCTTACCTTTAAATTTTATATATATAATTTTTTTAACCTGGGTATTTTTAGTTTCTTTTATCTTCATAAGATTAAGAAAAAAAGAGTATCACATCCTCAATAACTGGGTCAACCGTTATAACACTGTAAAATGCTAATAAATACAGAATTTTAAAGGAAGCTATATAACCAATTATAGGCTAATATTATGATTTTTGTTTTGGATATTTAAGGAGCCACCTCAGGTATTGGAGTTGAAACAGCAAGAGTATTGGTTAAGAGAGGTGTGAGAGTAGTGATTCCTGCAAGAGACTTGAAAAAGGCAGCAGAAGTAAAGGAAAAAATACAAAAGGAGAGTCCAAAGGCAGAGATAATAATATTTGAGACAGATTTAAGTTGCTTTGCTTCTGTGAAGAGATTTTGTTCTGATTTTCTTGCTTTAGGCCTACCTCTTAATATTCTTATGTGAGTATATATCATTTTTTTTTTTTTTTTTGCTAGTTCTTCACTGTGTTGATATATATATTTCTTTATTTAAAAAAAAACCATATTTTTGCAGAAATAATGCTGGGATATTCTCTCAAAACTTGGAATTCTCTGAAGACAAAATTGAGATGACATTTGCTACAAATTACTTGGGTAAACTTTACCTTTTTTTGTGAATTTCAACCCTTTTTTTTCCCATAAACCCATTTAAAGTTGTGTGACAATAAAGAATTAGAAGAAATCATTATTATTTTGACAAAATGAACGAAAAGAAGAAAAAAGAGGCTAAAATTTTTATCTGCACTTTATTAGTATGATATTGATGGAGAAGTGGACAAAAAGAAGCCCTAGTGATAATGATCGAATTGCTGGTTCAATGATGCTTGGACCTTGCTGTGGGCTCAATAGAGTGGGTTTAAAGAGAAAATTGCAGAGTTAGGCTTGGCCATGATGTTCTGTCAATAATAGCAACATGGTTCCAACTCCCATTTGGATTAGACTGACAAATGCAAGATTCCAGATTGAAAGAAATAGTAACTATATTACAATATTATATTTCGTTAAGACTCACCAAACAGAACCGCCTAAAAAGGAGAAAATTAGAAAATTAATTTTAAAAGTAAAATTTAATGAAATTAACCATAAGGGTATTTTGCAGGACATTTTTTGATGACAGAGTTGCTAATAGAGAAAATGATAGAGACAGCAGCAGAGACAGGCGTCCAGGGGAGAATAATAAATCTTTCTTCTGTAATTCACAGTTGGGTAAAGAGAGATTCTTTTTGTTTCAATCAAATGCTAAGCCCAAAGAAGTAAGATTCTGCTCTCTCTTTCTTAACTGAAAATTGATCATTAAGACTGTTTTTAACTGAGAATCATGATCAAATTGACCAGCCACTTAAATTTCCTTTTGGTAATTATAAAATTCACATGCAATTACAGTGTATTAGCAAGAAAAATCCAAATCATAATTATGTGGGTAAAAACTAAAGAGAGTTTGGTAAATTATTTGCAGTTACAATGGCACACGTGCATATGCTCAATCCAAATTGGCTAACATATTACATGCCAAGGAAATGGCGAGACAATTGAAGGTGAAACTCATAATCTATTTCCTTTTCACTTTTTCTCTTCTCACCATAAATATATTTTCTTCTCATATTCTTTTTTCTTGGCTTCCAAACGGAGCATCTGATTCTGATTTATAACAACAAAGTTCGTGAATGAGTGATACAAACACTTAGGTAGGATGGGAGTGGAGGATTCAATTCCATAACAACTACTTTTCTTTTCTTTTTTTTTCCCCGAAATATAATTCTCTAATGATAAAAAGAAAATATAAGAAAAAAAAAAAAAGATTTGCTCAAGTAAATTCAAAACTTGCAGGCGAGAAATGCCAAAGTAACAATCAATGCAGTACACCCAGGAATTGTGAAGACAGGAATAATTAGAGCTCATAAGGGTTTCATCACAGGTATATATGTAAAAATTTACTTTATTACATGATTTTAATTTTAGTTAAATAAAAATAAATAAATATCCATTTTGTCTGCAGATTCCCTGTTTTTTATTGCCTCCAAGTTACTAAAGTCAACATCTCAGGTTTGTGTCTGGACTTGCTTGTCAAATAGCTTGACCAAAAGATTCAATTGTTTAAGTTTAGAAAAGAAGTGATTTTTATAATACAAAAAAAAATGCAATTGCAGGGTGCATCAACCACGTGTTATGTAGCTTTAAGTCCAGAAATGGAGAGGGTGAGTGGAAAATACTTTGCAGACTGTAATGAGAGCAACTGCTCAGCTTTGGCCAGTGATGAATCTGAGGCACAAAAACTGTGGAGGCAGACCAGAACACTCATCCATAGAAGACTCTACCTCCCAACTTAGACATTTGTAGATAGTAAATTTTTAGATGCCATAAGTATTATATGTGTTGTATATATTCTTAGATGTGCATAATTAAAGCCAATTTACAAGGGGAGGTTCTGGGATAAATCTACATTTTACATAGGAAATAAAAGGGGCTTATCGTATTATTCTATAACTAGGTTGTATAACTCCAGTTTATGTATGTACTAGTGAAATAATAAATATTTCCAGATTCTCCTTCTCTATGTTCTTATCATTCCAAAAAAAGAAAAAAAAAGAAAAGAAACGCCTTGGTTTGGGATTTGGATCATGTGAAATGCAAATGATGGGCAAAAAAGTAGGGAACAGAAAGGGGAAAAAAGGAAACAGGTGAAGGGCATGATTCAAGTTTCCAAGCACCATTAGATTCCTTGCTTTTGTTTTGTGTTGAACATTAGTGCTTCTGTAAATATTTTATTATGAAATGAAATATAGAAATGGTAAAAGATTTGCTCTCAAATTTGAACCTAACAGATTTCACATCATTTCATTTTTACTGTAAATTGGTTAAAATTTACTGGAATTTACAAAGAGTCAACCCCTCAATCTAGTAACTAAACCCGTAAAAGATGTTAGCAAGAGGGTTAAAAGACTGAGCTCCTTCAACAACTCAAATAAGTCAATTGCACAGCAACTTTATTCAAGTTCCAAAATAAATGCAGCCACAACCTTAAACTATGCCTTATTTTGAAAAGAGCAAAACATAAGGGTAACAAGCGGCCAATCACAGTAAACCTTAGTTCATTTACATATAGAGATTATGCAGAAAAAATTGAAATCAATAGATGAGGCCAAGCCTTTAGTTCAAAAAAATTGAAATCAACAGATGATATCAACACAAAGGAACTTCTAGTCTCTACTGTTACAGAAATCTAAAATTGTAATGATCAGTCACTTTTTACATTTAATCTGCCATCAGCTCATTTCAGTACAGGAGTACAATACAAATATACCACCACTATTGTCATATATGAAGAATGACAATGGTTGGGTGCTGGAGCTATCTCTTTCAACCAAATTTTTATATAAATGCAAGTCCACTGTCAAGCAAATGTGTCAGAACCTATTGCCATTTGAGCAAGTAGAAAAATAACACAAATTGCATGCCAGACTACACCTGACAACAGCTGGCTTTACTTCATCTTCATTCCTTGCGCTGCCATAAATTTCAATGTTTATTATCAGAAATTCAATCATAGAACTTTTTATAAATTATATCTAGTTATCATCTGTAGAAATGTTTTTACTTGAGAATAAAATGGAGCAAGAACTTTTTCATCCGTGTGAGGAGAATATGGGATAAACAGCTATAATGCATGAATTTTTATTCACAGAGCCTCTCAGATGCTAGTTGATTTCAAAAGAGAATAGAAAGTCTGTGCAGTATTAGTTAACAGCTCCATATGGAAGTAGGCACTTGCATCCAGAAAATGACAACCCAAATCCACTTAGGTTCTTTTGTTCAATTTAAAGTTTCCTTTTTCCAATTTTTATTCCCTTCTCACAGCCTAGAATTAGCAAACAGTATCTTTCAATTAAAAGAAGAAGAAGAAAACTTGTTATGCAACCAATTATAATCCAGTCTCTAGTGTATTATGCAAGAAGATGTGCTTCTTCACTGCTTTCTGCATATGCATAAACAACATGGATTGCAAGTACATAGCATGAATCAAATATAATACCTTAACAAAACGAGGAGAACGACGAACTGATCCAGGGGACATGTTAGCCATTCTTCCAAGTTTAACTTTCTTAGACTGTCTTTTTACTTGTGAATTCTGGTTTTCCTTTGCTGGGGATTCACTTCCATCAGTTGAAACTGAAAAACCTGGGGCAGAAGCAGATATTGCGGCAGACTCTTGATAGAGAGTTGTTGAATTAGGCAAAATTCCTAGTTTGTCAAGAACAAAACAATTTCTTTTAAGAATACTGAATTACATTTATACAGACAGCTTATCAAACTTATCCATATATCCATGTTTCCCAGAAGGACCAGTTTTTCACACACCTCTTACATTTTGCTAGATTTACAAAATATACATGGAAAAGAATTCCCAAAAGAGGAACCAAAATATACAGGATTAGGGTAAAAACTCTACCGAGTGATGCAGATTCTTGAAATCTCTCTCTCATTGTTCTGACAAATTTGAATAAGCCATTGGTTCTATTCAATTCATGGATCAACTCTTTGGTGCCATCCAATTGGGGATCACATGCCAACACTGAAAATTGGGATAGCAAAACATTGAAGTCAAAAACATGCAACAGAAACAGAGTCAGAAATCAGATATAACTAACAGATAGGCAATACTCACAAGTATACATATCATCTTCATGGCGAATGATGAAAGTGTACTCCTCATATGGATTTCTCATATTAATGTGGTTGAACGTGAATTTTACTCCTAATGAAATCAAGAACTTTTACGTAGGGATTTACATAAAAAAAAGACAGCAAACTCTTTCAAAGTGAAATGGCTATTACTACCTCTTCCGCCTTCAACTCGAAAACCGAGAACCCTGTTATACCATGATATCCCCTCTTGAATATCTCCTCCATGTTCAACATCTTGGTTTTCCTTTCCTTCAGATGTTGCCAAAACCATAAATGACATGAGAATTCAGAAAACAGAAAAGGAAGAGAGCAAGAATATTGACGGATTGTGTTGCATACTTTACACTTTCAAAAGGTTAAGGCATCAAATCAAAGAAAAATATGGATTTGGAACATTTGAAAGAAACAAAGAAATTTGAATCAATTTTTTCAAATATATATGTGTGTGTGCGCGCACGCGCGTGTATAAGTTTAAGATGTTAGATGTTCTAGCATGAAATGACTCAAAATCCAAAATTTTTAATTACTCCTCCTGCCAATCGTTTTTGTATAAATTGCAATGGTGCAAACAATTCATACATCAGAGACAAACCATTAGTTAAGCTGTAGCAACATAGGTAAGAAAGATAAAATTAGCACCGACAGTTGACAAGGGATCTAGAAACTGTTACACAGTACCATGGCCATTTTTAATTACGTGTCCAGACAATTTGATAAATTCCAAGACATCTCAACCTTCCAAAACCTTCTGTACCCAACCCCTACAAACAACTGAAGCTCAATATATACCAGTTTTGTCCACAGCCCACGTTCATCAACCTTGAGATTCATTGACATGGCTATGCTAACAATCGATTTCCATATTCAAGTTGGACGTCAAAACAATAATGGACGACAAATATGCTATTCAAGTTTCACAAGAACATGCATGGGAATAAGGTCGATGCAAAAAATAAGTAATAGTCAAGGAGACGGACAAAAGACATTACCAAGAGATTGTTGGGACATAATTGCATTGCAATCATCCCTCCTAGCCAACTGAACTTGCACGGATCTTTTAAGTTCTTCTATTCTAGCTCTTGTAGCAGAAATGGAGTCCCTGATTGCCAATTGCTTAGCCTCCTTACGAGTCTTCACTATACAAAAAAAGAAGTAACGAAGAATACACTTTATTAAACATTAACAAGTTTAAGTTTAAAGCAAACTAGGATCAGCTTTGGAAACAAATTTCTTTCAGGCGAACATTGATAAAAGTTACAATATATAAAGAATAAAAAGGTGGATCCTTAGAGAATGAAAAAACCTGAAATAGATGCTGATACAAAGCCTCATACACATAGTCAAACTGGGTAAAGATAACACCAGCAGTTTTTTATACCAAAATATGAGAAATGTAGTAATCCATTATTCACATAACTCCCTTAATCTGAACATCAACTTTCTTGGCCTTTTGAGGAACTCAATCTTCTTAGATGAATCATGAAGCTTATAATATATTTTCTGTCATAAATGTCAAAGGAAATGAAGAAGATGCATTTAATTGTTCAGCTACCATGATCAAATATGCGGCTAAAGAAGTTTCTTTGGAAATTCTGCACCCAAAAAATAGATGACAGATATTTTATATGACAACTATGATTTCCAACCGCTGAAGCATCCAGCATTTCAAGACAGGATGAATTAATTATCCTTACCCGCAATTTCCCGAATTTCACGAATACACCAAGACTAAAATTCAAATCTACCCTACTTCTCTCCTCTGTCAACCAACTTCAAGAAATAACAGCATGTGTTATTCTTGCAAAAAGCATATCTTTGACACTCGAATGATTCCTTTCATGTAAGGTTCTAAATAAGTAGATAAAAATCAATTTAAAAAAAAAAAAAAAAAAAAAAAAAAAAAAAAAAAAAAAAAAAACCTGCTAGCAACTTAACAAAGTCATCCTCAGCTCCCGAAGCTATATTTCATCTTCTTAATTTCCCTATAAGAAAACCAAGCAATGAAAACACAAGACAAAACTACACAGCTAGTAAAAAAAAAAAAAAAAAAAAAAAAAAAAAAAAAAAAAAAAAGCTGAACTTCCAGAAATCAGAAATGTAGGCATAAATTACTCAAATATCAAGACATATTTTAAAACTTTAATCGTAGATAACATATACAAACCTGCTAGCACTTTAACAAAGTCATCCTCAGCTTCCCGTAAGCTAGATTTCATCTTCTGTAATTTCCCTATAAAAAGACCAATGCCATGAAAACACAGAGAGCAAATACTTCACAGCTAGTAAAATTCCCCAGTCCCATTTGTCAAATCACTCGCAAGAACCCTAATCGCACACAATATGATAAGTAAACAACACGAAAAGCCCTAACTTTCAGTAAAATTGAAATGCGACTCATCCTGACCTCGATTTTCGAGAGTCTCTTCTACTCTGGCCTTGATCGAATCCAAAGACTGAGCAAACGACGCCGTGAAAGAATCTACTTTCTGAAGTTCGAGAGAGACATCTCTTTCGCAGCTCAATCGCGAAGACTCCATTTTTGTCCGTAAAGATTCCACCGCTTCACTTTGCATTTGCATGTAGATTATTGATTGAGCGAATGCTTGCTTGTCGTGCGTGCGAGAGAGACTGTGAAATTCTTGGATTTGAATGAAAATTTGGTTTCAGCCCGCCATTTTGATTCTGCTTTTACTTGGCAGTGGACAAGGACGAGCGTTTAAAAAGTGCAGTGGAAATGGTCGAGACTTCCGAATTTCAATTTCAACAACTAACTTAAATTTTTTATTAATTAATTAAGGCCCGGTTGAGCCCATATCTTTCGGGTTCATACCGTGAGCCTAGTTTACAAGCCCAATGGCCTATTGTATGATCCATTTCTTGTGAGAATAAGCAAAAATATAAGAAATGTACTTCTTCTTCTTCTTCTTCTTCTTCTTCTGTAAACGGTTGACAAAAGGATTAGTGGATGAAAAAAGAATCTGTAGCAAAAGAAACTCCAATAATTCAATACCCTCATAGTATGGTTGAATTCCCGAGGTCAAACCTGCAACTTATTCGTTTCTTATTTTAAAAGTCAAAATTCCCCAAAATCTTATGCAATCCCTAAAATAAATCATACTACTAAAATTCATTAATTAGGGCATATGTGCCTTCTTGATAGTCTTTTTTTTTTGCGTTATTATAAAAAATATTGATTAAAATTGAAAATACACATGCAAAATTGAGCCTTTGAAAATCAGTTGTTTTGCATCAAAATGAATATAATTACTCCAGTAATTGAGATGTACTTGGCAGAAAAAACCTGCACTGCAAATTGGCCTTTCAAAAGAACTACAAGCTCTGCTATAAAGGAAAAAAAGAAGAATAAAGAGAAATTAATTCATAATATATATATTACTCCATAAAAACTCTTTCGTTGTCCATAAAATTAACTGAGAACTTCTTTAGAGCCGAAAGAGGAAAAGTTAATTAGGTCATTAGCCTCAAAAGAAGGGAAGGAAAAGGAAGGGAAGGGAAGAACATTCCAAGAACATGTACAAGAGACTGAAAGTGCTGTTAGAAATATTTATTTAATCCCATTTGAAGGTAAAATGTTTTTTTTTTTTTTTTTTTTTTTTTTTGGTTTTTTTTGAAAAAAAACACAAAAGGGTTTCCATTTGTCAAACTATTAAAGCCAAGATCGAAACACACCTATTTATATTTTGTGCCATCAAATTGTCGTGGTTATCCGTCTATCTTGGGCATTGGTAGAGAAACCCACCTTCTCTTTTTTTTTTTTTTTTTTTTTTTTTTTTTTTTTTTCATTGTGATAATAATTATTTCTACAAATAGTAAAATCAATCAAATTAACCCATTTCTCTCCATTAAAATTGCAATAAAACCCATTTTGCAATTATTTAAGTAGGTTTGATTTTTTAATCAACTCATAAAAGAACATTTTTCTTATTTATGAATTCTCTTACCTAACATTCATAGCTTATTTTGAATAGAATGTAAAAAATAAAATAAAAATTAATTTGTGTTATCAATTGCCAATAAAAAATGTTTTTCTTTTTTAATATTTTGACCATATACATAAGTTTTCTCTTGACCATACACGTAGAAAGACCAACAAAAATAAAGGAAAAATCCAATTATTATTATTATTATTATTTTAAAGAAGCTTGATCTCTAAAGTTATGGAAGCAAATTAATAGTTAAATCCATGCATGCATGAATCAATTAAACTACAAGATCTTTGAACACTTTTCTCCCTTTTGATTTGTATTTATGTATAGATATTATTTACATATATAATTCAAATTATTTAAATGTAGTGGTTTGATTTTTTTTAAATTAGAACAAATAATTAATAGTAATTAATAACTAATTAATAAATCTTTTTGTCAAATATGGTTTTAAAAATGCGAACTTTATTCTTTTTGGCAAAAATAGTGCGTTCCCATGAAAGATTTGTACACCTTACTTACCCTGAATCTGACTGCTCCCCACCCCACTAGCAACCATAGCAAAATATAAATAAAACAAAAGAAAAAATAAATTATGTACCTTCCATCAAAGAATGTTGGGCAGAATTATTGTAACATAGGCTACACTCACTTGTCTAAAATTATTAATTTGGGGAAAAAAGTAAAGAAAAAAAAAAGTAGGCTTCCAAAAAACCACGAGTGGGAATAATATCCATTTGAAAAAAAAAAATTCAATTATTTAAATTTGGATTTTATATATATATAAAGCAAATTGGATCAATAATTTAAATAAATTCTATGTGCTAGATTTAATCAGTGCGTGCATGGTTGGGATATATTCGGTCAAGATCTTAATCAATATTTTAAAATTCAGACATTGGACTAAATTTCATTTCTTCCAACATAATAAAATTGAGACCATAATAGAATTTATGTATTCCACAGATTATGATCTATTTGTTGTTAATCAAACGGAAGAATTGTAAAATCTGAGTGTCCATTTTCAGATTGGAGGGCCTTATCGTAGACTTTGACAGTAGGTAAATTGATAGAATTAACTTTCTAACACTCACTTGATTGCCTATCCTATTCCTCACCATTAAAAGATCTTCAATGGCATGCCATAAATAAGAATGACAAATGGGTCAACTCATGGAATGAAATTTCGTAGCTTTTGACAAAAATAATGCTTATAATGCTCTTCATAGGACTATTTTCCAATATAATGTCATTTTTAACCTTTTATCAATTTAATGTTTGTTCTGATATGCAGAGAGAGTATTGCATTAAGATCACTAATTGAGTTGTGATTTCAGTGTAATAAAAAAAAATAATCAAATAGTTTTGAAATGACATTAAATTGAGAAATAGTTTTATAGAGAGCGTTATTTTTGTCAATAGCCCAGAATTTCGACACATTGCATATTGATATTTGTCAATGTCTTGTGTTATTTTGGAATAGGGTGATTTGGGCATTACTACTAAAATTATTTTTAAATGAAAATATAAATAACATAAGATGTATTAAAATTATTTTGGAGTTGGAAAGAAAATCCCAAAAAATATTATAGAAATGGAGTCATTTTCTGTTAGTGCTATGGTATATTTGTCTCATAATTGTGAAAGTAATTGAAGGTTTTGGTAACCACTTAAACTGCTCAACTGCTTCGAAAGGTATTTATATATATATATCTTAATTAGTTGGGTGCAAGGCCAAACTCATTTCAATATTTCATGTCAGCTGATAAAAACATGACAATCACTTCATCATGGTAAAATTTGCTTAATTTGAAGGGTAGAGTGTAAAAATTTTTAATTCTCTCAGTAAATTATATTTTCTGAAGATCGAATTTATATTCTCATTTTTACGAGAATTGAAATCGCTCGACACCCTGACCAATACCTAATTTGTTGTAAAAATATATCTGTTTACATAATACTTTATATAAATATTAATAACATTATACGTACATTAGAATTTAGCTTAGCTAGGGTTCGTACATATGGGGTTCTATGAACAGGATTAGAAGTAATGATTAGAGAGATTAGGAAAAGAAAACAAATGGTAGCGTGGGGGCTTGTCTAGTTTTGATAGGGTGTGTTTGTCTCTTTCTTCCATTGCTTTGCTGCCATGGACACACTTGGATTTCACTTAAGGAGCTGTCCTACCCCATGGCTTCTCCCTGCCTTCCCCATGTGCTCTCGTCTCGTGCTTAGATTCCTATCAGACACAGTTGTGAGTTTATTTTACTAAAATAATGTCACTCACGAGGTATACCCAAATTAATATATTTGAATTATTAAACCTTAAACCAAATTATGTTTTGCTTTGTCACCCATCACGTGATGCCTTAATTACTTTTTATTTAGGTTATAAAAAGTTCGATACATATATATATTTTATAATTCAGAAAAGATTATCTGATTTTATAGGTTGTGGACAGACAGATAATATTATTTTTCAATCTTTGAAGAATTTCTATTTGCTTTTTCAAATTAATTCATTTTATACCCTCACAAACTAGGGTGAGCAATAACCGGTCTGACCCAAAAACCGAATCAATCTATTTCAATCCGGCTCGATCATATTTTTTATAATTTCATAACCATTTGATTTTTGGTTCCAATTCAGTTTTATACATAATTAGACGCATTAGTATTTTATATCCAAAATATGTGATTCTGTTTGGAATGATTAACTTAAACTTGAACCATTTTTATGTTATTAGTACAGATTTAATTATATGAAAACGCATTTAATCATACTAAATTGAATCAATTCAGTTACTCAATTCTGCAACAAATGCTTAAATCAACAAAAATGATTGTATTTCTAAACGAGTTTTAGTTATAAAATTTAGGAATGAGACTTAATTAAAATCATTGATCCTCGTTCGAAATAAAACATGTATGCAAATGAAAAAAATTAATTAATTACATATTATTATATGAAATAGTATAAGATTCATATATAGTACAAATTAAATTAATGGACCTGTCATAGATCTCATTTATATTGTATCTATCCATATTTTTCTAGTTCAGGCTTGGATCTGAATCTCAACTATTTTTCTGTTTAAGATCCAAATCCTTCCTAAAACAGCATAAATATACATTTTTTTAATTCAGGTTTTCTGGAAGCATCTTTTGCTTTCAGCTTGTATGCTGTCTCACCATTTTATAAGTAGCAGCTTTAATTTAAAAGTATGGTTTTGGACATAACTCTCTAATTACGCTGAGCAAGTAGCCGTTTTAAATTAACTTGCTCATTGCATGAAATTAACACCACGCCATTTTAACTTCTGTAAATATTTTTATAGTATAAAGTTGAATATCATTACATTTTTCTTTTCACTCTTGCAAATTCTTTTTTATTATTTTGGGTAAATTTAATAAATAAAATGTACACTGATCAATGGACTAAAAGTAATTGAATAAACATAGTTTGTGAACAAAAGCTGGTTCTTTTTTTTTTTTTGCTACAAAAGAATTTAGAAATAATAAATTATTGGTTCAACTACCGTATAGTGCTAGTTGAAGCAATTGCTCTAACCAAACTCATGGAAGTTTATAGACTATGATGAAGGGATATGGACAGTTGGACACACGGTGATTTATATGAATTCAACTTAATTGAACTTTCTAAAAATCTCTACTAATTTGATTTTGTTTTTTAGAACTGATTATATATATATTTTTAAAAATATATATGAATTTTTTTAAAACTTTATAGTATATGTTAAAGATCATTTATTGTAAAATAATTTATAAAAATATTTAAATTGTGTTTGGCACGTATATTATACAACTCTACCCAAGAAGACAAAGCTGAGTCCGAGTCAGACCCCTTAAATCCTACTGGACAAATACGCATTGGTTTCAATTTCATCCATCTGTTTTGATAGGAAAAAGAAAAATATAGAAAAGAAAATGTACAGGAACACAGAAAATGATAAGAAAGCTTACACTGAAAAAGTGTAGACAAAGTCACTCACCCACTCATTCAAATTAAAATACAGTTATCTTCCCTTCCCCCCATCTCTCTTCCACCATAATCAAATGCTTAAAACACCTACCTAAAATTCCATTACTATCTCAAAGGGGAAAAGAAAAAATAAAACCATTACTCTCTGCACAAACATCATGGCCTAGCTGTTTCTTGGATCCGGAGATTCTGGGTTTCTTTCAATTTCTTTATGCCAATTCCTTTTTTTTTTTTTTTTGAATTATATATTAAAAAACATATAGCCCACGAGACATGATTTGGGTTTTATTCCGTTGTCCCTCCCTAGGCTCAAACCTTTCCTTTCTGTTCCTCTCATTGGATTTTGTAGCATAGTTGTAATGCCTGTAAATCCATGGACTCTCTTCTCCTTCTTAGTCCTCTCTTCTTTTGCTCTTCTTCTTTTTTCTTTTCCTTTTACAGCTTTCGCCGTTAACCAGCAAGGCGAAACTCTTCTTTCATGGAAGACAAACTTAAATGGATTGCCTGAAGTTTTAAAAAATTGGGTGGCTAGTGATGAAACTCCCTGTGGTTGGAATGGCATCACTTGCAATTATAACAATGAAGTGGTTGCATTGGATTTAAGGTATGTGGATTTGTTTGGAAAACTTCCCTCCAATTTCACTTTCTTGGTAACCTTAAACAAGCTCATCTTATCCGGAACCAACGTTACGGGTACAATACCTAAAGAAATCGGTTCTCTTCCCCAGTTAACATCTTTAGACTTAAGTGAGAATGCCTTAACGGGTGAAATCCCAACTGAGCTTTGTAACTTGTTCAAGCTTGAAGAACTCTATCTCAACTCAAATCGACTCACAGGCTCAATTCCAATTGAAATTGGAAACCTTACAGGCTTGAAATGGCTAACCCTTTATGATAATCAACTTAGTGGTGGCATACCATCCAGCATAGGCAAATTAAAGAATCTTGAAGTGATTAGAGCAGGTGGCAACAAGGAGCTTGAGGGCCAATTGCCACAGGAAATTGGCAACTGCAGCAATTTGGTGTTGTTAGGCTTAGCTGAAACAAGCATATCAGGTTTTCTCCCTTCAACTCTTGGCCTTCTAAAGAAACTACAAACCATTGCCATTTACACCTCCCTTCTTTCTGGCCAAATCCCACCAGAACTCGGATATTGCACCCTTCTTGAAAATATCTACCTTTATGAAAACTCGCTCACCGGATCCATCCCAAGCACATTAGGGAATCTCAGAAATCTCAAAAACTTATTGCTCTGGCAAAACAACTTAGTTGGTATCATTCCTCCGGAGTTAGGGAACTGCAACCAGATGTTGGTTATTGACATATCCATGAATTCACTCACTGGAGCAATTCCTCAAACATTTGGCAATCTAACTGCTCTTGAGGAACTCCAACTGAGCGTTAATCAAATCTCCGGCGAAATTCCGGCCGAATTGGGCAACTGCAAGAAGATTACTCATATCGAGCTCGATAACAACCAAATTACTGGGGCAATTCCCTCTGAATTGGGTAACTTATCAAATCTGACCCTGCTATTTCTGTGGCAGAACAAGCTTGAAGGCAATATACCGGCTTCCATTTCCAACTGTCAAAATTTGGAGGCTGTAGATTTATCTCAAAACGGCTTGATGGGTCCCATTCCAAAGGGAATATTTCAGCTCAAGCTACTTAACAAACTTTTGCTCCTCTCCAATAATCTTTCTGGCGAAATTCCTTCTGGGATCGGAAATTGCTCTTCTCTGATTCGGTTTCGAGCTAACAACAACAAGCTCAGTGGATCAATTCCACCGCAGATTGGAAACTTGAAGAACTTGAACTTTTTAGATCTCGGATCCAATCGTCTTACTGGGGTTATTCCGGAGGAATTCTCCGGTTGCCAGAATCTAACGTTCTTAGATTTGCATTCAAATTCTATTTCTGGTAACTTGCCACAGAGTTTAAGCCAACTTGTTTCCCTGCAACTAGTTGATTTTTCTGATAATTTGATAGAGGGCACATTGAGTCCAAGTCTTGGCTCGCTTCGCTCCCTCACCAAACTCATTCTATCGAAGAACCGGTTCACAGGCCCGATTCCTAGTCAACTTGGTTCCTGCTCCAAGCTGCAGCTATTGGACCTGAGTGACAATCAGTTCTCAGGGAGAATACCGTCCAATTTGGCCAAGATCCCATCGTTGGAAATCGCATTGAATCTGAGCTGTAACCAACTTAGCAGTCAGATTCCGGCAGAATTCACGGAGTTAGATAAGCTTGGGATCCTGGATCTGTCTTACAACCAGCTCATCGGCGATCTTCGATATCTGGCAAACTTGCAAAATCTCGTCGTGCTCAATGTCTCGCACAACAAATTATCGGGGCGGGTACCAGAAACGCCATTCTTTTCAAAACTTCCTCTCAGCGTCCTCTCCGGCAACCCCGACCTTTGCTTCTCCGGCATCCAGTGCTACGGCCCCAGTGACAGGCGCATGAAACGCGCGACGGCAGCGCGTGTGGCTATGGTGGTACTACTGTGCACAGCGTGTGCACTTCTCTTGGCGGCGCTCTACATTATCTTCGGGAGCAAAAAGCGACGTCAAGGGACCCATGAGTGCGATCTCGAAGGCGATACAGACATTGAGATGGGCCCACCGTGGGAGGTGACGTTATACCAGAAACTCGACTTGTCTATTGAGGACGTGACGCGAGCATTGACAGCTGGCAACGTCGTAGGACGTGGGCGATCCGGCGTTGTATATAGGGTGAGCCTTCCGTCCGGTTCAACAGTAGCAGTTAAAAGATTCAAATCAGCGGACAAACTCTCAGCAGCCGCATTTTCATCCGAGATTGCAACATTAGCGAGAATCCGGCACCGAAATATCGTCCGATTATTGGGATGGGGAGCGAACCGAAAAACGAAGTTACTGTTTTATGATTACATGAGTAATGGAACATTAGGAGAACTGTTACACGAAGGAACTGTTGGATCAATGGAATGGGAGACAAGGTTTAAGATAGCGTTGGGAGTAGCAGAGGGGTTAGCGTATTTACACCATGACTGCGTACCGGCCATTTTACACCGAGACGTGAAAACGCACAATATTTTGCTTGGAGACCGATACGAGGCATGTTTGGCAGATTTCGGGTTGGCTAGACTGGTTGAAGATGACCAGAGCTCGTTCTCAGCCAGCCCACAATTTGCAGGGTCCTACGGTTACATTGCACCTGGTGAGTTTTCATTTTTACAATTTTCCGGTTCTTTTCCACAACTATAGATTTGGATTGTGTTAATTATTTTCATTTTATTTATTCGCAGAGTACGCTTGCATGCTGAAAATAACAGAGAAGAGCGATGTTTATAGCTATGGAGTAGTGCTATTGGAGATAATAACAGGAAAAAAGCCAGTAGATCCATCGTTCCCAGAGGAGCAACATGTGATCCAATGGGTTAGAGAGCACCTGAAGAGCAAGAAGGACCCAGTGGAGATTCTCGACCCGAAATTACAAGGCCATCCCGATACACAAATACAGGAAATGCTTCAAGCGCTTGGAATCTCTCTCCTTTGCACGAGCAATCGCGCAGACGATCGTCCGACAATGAAAGATGTGGCAGCATTATTGAAAGAAATTCGACACGAGCCTACAATAGGAAGTGAGGGCCACAAGCCGACCACCAAACCCTCTAAAACGACAGAAACCCCGTCGTATTCATCATCTTCAGTGACCCCAGCTCAACTGTTAATGCTTCAAGGCTCTTCTAATTGTTCACTTGCTTATTCATCTTCTTCGGCTAATTATGCTCCCAAAAATCAATAGCATGCCATGCGAATTACCTCTGTAGAACAGTGAAGATTTTGTGTACTATATTGTTTACATAGGTAGTAGGCCAGGGTGAGTTTTCATTTTTACAATTTTCCGGTTCTTTTCCACAACTATAGATTTGGATTGTGTTAATTATTTTCATTTTATTTATTCGCAGAGTACGCTTGCATGCTGAAAATAACAGAGAAGAGCGATGTTTATAGCTATGGAGTAGTGCTATTGGAGATAATAACAGGAAAAAAGCCAGTAGATCCATCGTTCCCAGAGGAGCAACATGTGATCCAATGGGTTAGAGAGCACCTGAAGAGCAAGAAGGACCCAGTGGAGATTCTCGACCCGAAATTACAAGGCCATCCCGATACACAAATACAGGAAATGCTTCAAGCGCTTGGAATCTCTCTCCTTTGCACGAGCAATCGCGCAGACGATCGTCCGACAATGAAAGATGTGGCAGCATTATTGAAAGAAATTCGACACGAGCCTACAATAGGAAGTGAGGGCCACAAGCCGACCACCAAACCCTCTAAAACGACAGAAACCCCGTCGTATTCATCATCTTCAGTGACCCCAGCTCAACTGTTAATGCTTCAAGGCTCTTCTAATTGTTCACTTGCTTATTCATCTTCTTCGGCTAATTATGCTCCCAAAAATCAATAGCATGCCATGCGAATTACCTCTGTAGAACAGTGAAGATTTTGTGTACTATATTGTTTACATAGGTAGTAGGCCAGGGTACATAAGGAAAAAAAAAAAAAAGTCAGCAAGTGTTTTTGACTACTGACTGAGATGGTAAATGAGGTACATATACCACGTTGATTATAAATGCTGTCTGGTTATCTAGAATCCAGAATCCCATGACTCTTGAGTTTCATGTCATCAATATAAAAATTTTCATCTTAAAAATAAATTAAAATTGTAAAAAACTAAAATTGAAAATGCACCGAGATATTTTCACTTTGTTCAAACGTGTGGCTACGGGAATTTTACAGAACTTTGTAAAAATCAGTACCAATTACAAAGAATGAAAGAAAGTGGGGTACCAGGTGAAGGAAAGAAAGGCAACAAAGAAGAATTATGGGAAAGTGATAATCAGACACGCAAACGACAAGTAGTAGTAACTAAAATTCCTCTTTCAATGTCAATCAACAATTCTGTACTGTCTGGTTGCCTGCCTCCTAATTTCATTTCTCACTCTTCTTCTTCAATTAATTATTATTTAATTTTGATTTTCGTTTTCCCTTTTTATCCCCCACACACATTATAAGTGCTAGCTTTGTCCCAATTGATAATAAATAGAAATTAATTGTTTTTTTTGTCTTTTCCGAACGCAGAGTTAACTGTTAACCGGGACAAACAAGTGATGAAAGTTGGGCTTTATCGTCCTTTTTATGCAGTGACGATCACGTGATGCACATGCAAAATAACACGAGTACATTTTGCTTAATACCTAATGGGCCCCCACCAAACGTCAGATCAGATCTTTGGGAGGATTCTAATACCTATCCTGACCCTGTTGTTGTTGTTGGGACCTAAAAATGTTTTTGCAGTTTTAACTTTAGTAACTTCTAATTAACGGACTTTAACGTATGAATTATGATACTGTGCTCTGCGCCTCCACACATGCATTTGGAATCGGTTCCTACATCCCACGTTTATCTAATCCAACTCATGCCTTCGACGGACTAAACTTTTATCAAACTATTACTAAAAAGTTGCCTGTGAACATAAAAGATAAGAGTGAGTGAAATAATTGAAAGGCCAACCCTGCAAACAAAATTATACTTGAACTTTAATACTTAACAAATCAAGTCCCAAGAAGTGTCTATGAAGATCAACATCACACCAAACAAGGAGACAGATGAACAATCACATCCTTATAAGATTTGAAAAATCAAAATGCTCGAAGCATCTGCCTTGATTTGGACGACCACAAAGCAAATAGGTAAAGAGAGAAAGAGGTCAGAGGCGAGTGAGTGCATTGGAATATACAAAAGGATGGGAGAAGAGGATAAAGATTGCAATTTAAGCCATCTTTTTTATTTGTTATTTTATCAATTTTAAAAGGATCGACGTGAAACAACTTTTTCATATTGATGTTATGTACAGAGAAAGCAATGCCCCTCGTAGCTTAAAAACTTGAAATACTATGTAGAGAAGGGGAATACAGAAAATTATCATTTATTGAAGAAAGTAACAAGGCAAACATCACTTGTATGTGCGAAATATGCTAAAAAGATCAGACCTTTACTCCTCAAAACATTCTCGTATTACTGATGTCCATCCCACATTCTTGCATTTAGCAGAAACCCAACATATATTTTAAGTTAAAATTCTTCAACGAAACATCTAATATGTTACTGTCTATTTTGTGGCTCAGCGGTGGAAATTACACAGAACTTAAAGAGGCTTAGTTATAGAGATCATCATCGTCTCCAGCAGCTGTTGCTGAAGCAAATGGATCTGAAGCTCCTCCAGCTGCAGCATTCTCAGAGTGATCTGAAAACCTAAACTCACTTCCAATACCACGAGATTGTTGCAGGGTCTGAGCAAAGAGCTGATACTTCCTGATGTCAGCATCACTAACACTTCGGCGGGCATACTTCATTGATTCCTCAAAATGAGCTGCCTTTATCTCAGGGACTTCATCAACATCATCTTCTTCCATGGCCTCAGGGTTCTCTTGCTTCCTTTTCTCTCTCTCAATATCCTGTCATTTTTTAAAATTGTTAATGAAAGCACAATAATACAACATAGGTGACATCAGTAGGTCATTATCCTAACACAAACTAAAAACAAAGCACTTCCAATGAAAACCCATTACCTTCTCAATATTTTCTCTAATTGCATATTTGCAAGCACGCTGGCAAATTTCAGTGATATCTGCGCCACTAAAACCATGAGTATGTCGTGCAAGAGCAGTCAGGTCAACATCCCTGGAGACAGGTGACTTGCGCAAACATGCTTTAAATATCTGAAGACGGGAAGCTTCATCAGGTAGAGGGATATAAATCAACTGGTCCAAGCGACCAGGCCTAAGCAATGCTGGGTCAATAATATCTGGCCTGTTTGTTGCACCAATGATAAACACTGTCTTTTTAGCTGTCATTCCATCCATTTCTGTCAGAAGTTGATTCAAGACTCTATCTGCAGCACCCCCAGCATCTCCAACAGAGCTACCGCGCTGGAAGCAGAGAGAAGCAAATGCAAAATTGTATAAGCAATTGAAAACTAGAATAAACTGTAGTTAACTAATTGAAAGTGCTGAACACAGGAAGGACACCCTCTGATAAATGCAAGTGTGAATACCTGAGTTGCAATTGAATCAAGTTCATCAAAGAAAAGTACACAAGGAGCAGATTGCCGTGCTTTGTCAAATATTTCCCGCACGTTTGCTTCACTTTCTCCAAACCACATAGTCAGAAGCTCAGGACCTTTAACACTTATGAAGTTGGCCTGGCATTCATTTGCAATTGCTTTTGCGAGTAAGGTTTTACCACAACCAGGAGGTCCATAAAAGAGAACACCTTTAGAAGGTGACATGCCAAATTTCTCGAACTTCTCTGGATGTTCAACAGGATATTGGACAGTCTGCCAGTAGCAACAAACTTATTAGTATATGATTCAATCCTATAAAGAATGGAAGAAAGAAGGGGAAATGCCAAAGTCATATTGAACATATTTCAAAGGTGAAAATCATTAAATATCAATAGATCACAAACCTCTTGAAGCTCTCTTTTAACATTTTCCAATCCACCAATGTCTTCCCATGAGACATTAGGAACCTCCACAACCTATAAAACGTAGAAAATATGTTTTATTATTCCCAGTGGAAATAAAGAACACTATCAAACAGGAACACACAAGTGCTCACACAGAAACGTGTTATTCTCAGGAAACACACAAGTATCTTCAAGAACCATTTACAATTAGCATAATTGCAACAATTTATATGTCCATGTGTACTCACTGTTTCACGTAAGGCTGATGGATTTGAAGATCCCAATGCAGTCTGGAAGTGTTCATTGGTCACGGCCATTGAGTTTAACACCTCAGCATCGATTGTCTCATCCTCCAAGTCAATGACATCCATTTTCTCTCTAATACACTGAAGAGCAGCCTCTGTGCAAAGGGCAGCAAGATCAGCACCAACATAACCATGTGTATCTTTTGCAACTCTTTCAAGATCAACCTGAAACAAAATATCAGTTGAACGTCAGTTCATACATTAATTTTTAGAGCAACATCTAATACATGAGAAGAATGTAGTTGTCCAGTCACTCACATCTTCAGCAAGTTTCATGTTTTTAGTATGTATTCTGAGAACTTCCAAACGTCCAATTTCATCTGGCACACCGATGTCAATCTCTCTATCAAATCTCCCATATCTCCTCAGAGCTGGGTCAATACTGTTAGGCCTATTGGTAGCTCCCATAACAATAACATGTGCCCTGCTCTTAAGGCCATCCATTAACGTCAAAAGTTGCGATACTATACGCCTCTCCACCTCACCATGGGTCTTTTCCCTCTTTGGAGCAATAGAATCAATCTCATCAATAAAGATAATGGATGGAGCATTCTTTTCAGCTTCCTCAAATGCCTTCCTCAAGTTGCTCTCACTCTCACCAGCCAACTTTGACATAATCTCAGGACCATTAATTAAAAAGAAGAATGCACCTGTTTCATTTGCTACAGCTCTTGCGATCAGAGTTTTTCCAGAACCAGGTGGCCCATAGAGCAAAATACCTTTGGGAGGCTTCACACCAATTGATTTGAAAAGTTGTGGGTGCCTAAGAGGAAGTTCTACTAGCTCACGAATCTGAGCCATTTGCTTCCTAACACCACCAACATCATCATAGCCCACCTCATTCAATCTCTCCTCATCCTCACGCTTGATAGGCTCTCCTTCACAGAATATTTCAGTGTCTGGTGCAACAACACAATATTCACCAGGGTCTGTCTCAATCACTTTAAATTCAACACTTCGCATACCACCCCTGACCAAGAATAGGTCACCCTTCCTCACAGGCCGGTAAGATTCCAAGAAATATGCTGGTGAGCCCAAAAAAATCATCCTTAGATTATCATAAGAAAACATAATTTAACTGCAAAACGAGAAAATGGGTCACAATGCAAATTCAAAAACAAGAAACTCACGCTTTAAATATGCATCGAAGAGATTGCCTGTAACACCCTCAATAGTGTCGTCAATTGGAAGAATGTGGACCCTCTTCCCATACTTCACATCAGGACATTGATGGACAGAAACCACATCTCCAAGGCGTACTCTAAGATTAGATCTGACGACTTTGTTCATTCTGATTTTGGGTTCTTCGCATTGTTCGTCAGCGAGAACAATGCAAACTGTGTCTCTTCTCTTTTTCCCCTGTGCATTAGAGGGAAAGAAAAGGAATGAACTGAGAATCAAAATTCTTAAAGAGTACAAAAGGTAATACAGTGTTAACCAGAAATATAGTTACCTTAATTAGTACAGTATCTCCCCTAAAAAGTTGAAGCTTTTCCATGGTATCAGGATGCATAGAAACCACAGAATTATCATCATTAATGGCCTCATCAACAACAAGACGGTTGGGAGACTTCTTTCTCTCCAAAATTGCAGTGGAATAATCTCTTTTACCACTTTTTCTGTAATTTATATAGCCAAACAACACAAAAACATATTGAATTAACAGAAGACAACAATGACTAGCTACAAAACAGTTACATTTGATCAGAAGAAGCACATAAAAATAATATAAAACTATTCTTCCAAACAGAAAACCATCAAAACAACATTCTAATTTTCACCAACAAGGTCATGCCTTCGGTTTAAAGAAAGTTCAAAGCTTTGTGAACAAATACCAAAGAACATAAAACTAACACAGGCAGAAATACACTCAAAAAACAACAATCGAACAAAATGAAAATTAAGATGCCACGTACGGGTCAGAGGAAGAAGAGGGCTGGCTAGAGCTTGGATCCGCCATCGATAACAAGAAATTGTGTCCTTTCTAATACAGCTGTGTTAGGGTTTACGAGTTTCAATCGTGTTAGTTACTAACCAATGAAGAGAATGAACCTCTGATAAACTTAATACGAACTTTCTTTCTTCGATATTTATAGGAAATAGAAAAGAGGAATCGTCGCTGATCATGGTTTTTCAACTTTTCAGTAGGACTCGGGATTAGTTTCGGATTGGTATATACCGGAAACCGCCTACCGCTAGTTACGCAGACGGGTCTCTATCCAATGAATTTTTCCCAGCAAGTGTTGTTTCCACTCAAGGCTCGCCACGTCAGAGCATCTGTAAGGAGAACAATCATCCACTTCGTTAAATCATATACAAGTAACTCTACGGCTGGCCGTTTGTATCTTTTTTTGTTTATTTCGCAATAAATAAGTAAATTCCATCGTCGTTCAACGCCAGTTCTTTAACTGATAGTATAAGTTAGACTTTCGAGGGCGTGAGTTTGAAACGACCAGTCGTGCAATTGCTGCAAACTGAGTTGCTCAAGAAGACGAATTAAGAAAATCTGGTGCTTTGGTTCCCCAATCTCCCTGCATGGTCTTCCAAAGCGACGAGAGGGAGAGAGAGATGGGTATAGAGATTGGAGGGCAAATAGAGAAAGTGAATGGTAAAGAACTGAGCTATAATGAGTTCATCGAGAGATATTTAGCAAAGAACCAACCAGTGGTGTTAACGGGTCTCATGGACGACTGGAGAGCTTGCGAAGATTGGGTCACTGCTGATGGCTTCCCGAATCTTCAATTCTTTTCTACCCTTTTTGGTAAATCCAAAGTTCAGGTATCCACTTGATCATTTTCACCTTTTTTATAATTTTAGGACAATGGTTCTATGAATTTCTTTTCTTTTCCTTTTGAAACTATAGCTTTTTTTTTTTTTTTTTTCTTTTCAAGGTCGCAGATTGTGGGACTAGAGAATTTACGGATCAGAAGAGAGTAGAAATGACAGTTTCAGAATTCATTGACAATTGGGTTGAGGGTAATGCTTCTCATGATGTGGACAATGAAAAATCCTTGCTATATTTGAAGGATTGGCACTTTGTAAAGGTACAGTTTTTAGGTTATTTTGCATTTGCAGTTTCAGTTTTTCTTTCGGTCCACAGTTTAATTTCCATGTCTTCCACATCACTTAACTGAAACAAAGTGATTCTTGGAATGATCAAGTCTCCGTTCGATTAAATGGTACAACATGTAATCAAATGTTGAATTTCTTTATTTTTTTTTAAAATTATGTAATCATCTTGAACATGGTTTTTGATGGGAAAGAGCGAGCTGCAACCTTTTAGGGGTGGTTGCAAATAAGAGTTGCTCTTAATAATGTCTTTTTGTGGATGTTACATTAGTTAATAGGAGTCTAAGGAAGGTTTTAGAAAATAAAGATACTTTGATGCCAGGTTGACACCTGAGAAGAACTCTGCAATCACCTTGTATGCATGGAAACTTTACATGGTGCTAAGAAGCAGGCAATTTTGGCATCCATCACAGTGGTCACTGTCTAATTTAGAATAAAACATTCTTTCTAGTTCATCATTGGGCCTCCACGTCTTTGATTCTCATTGAAATTGTGCATTGATCAAATTTGTAGTCAGCCAATTATGTAAAAGAGAAAAGGAGGAACTGAGGAAGTATAAGCTATAGATTTTGATTATATCAGTCTTTTTTTTTTTTTTTTTTTTACTTAATCTATGAGGATGTGCTTCTGGATGTCCCTATGATAACTCGCAGTACGCTTTTCTCAAGTGCGCAGATTGGTTACTGGTGTGGTTCTAGAGGATCTACGTACCGGGTTGACTCAGCAAGAACGTAGAAGTTAAACACGAAGTCAGAATTCATACGAATAAATGCGATATGAGTTGAGGATCTCAAGATTGCGTCGTTGGGGAGTGGATGTAGGCGAGTTAAGTGCCGAACCACTATAAATCTCTGTGTTAATCTTTTTATTTCTTGGAAGTTTGCTTTGGATACTATCTTTCACACACCTTCTGTTTAATTTTTTAGAAACGCTAAAATGTTAATTGATTCAGCATGTTCTAAAATGGTAATAAGTCTTATCTTTCTGAACCATTAGAAACCTGTAATGCTGTGGTTAACTCACTACTACGATGTAATGGGATCAAATAACAAAATCCTGTTCTATAATTATGGAAGGATGTCATACCGTCTATGGTAAATACGTAGTACTTGACAGGTTTGTTTCACTATGTCTACACTATGTAAATTATGGGTTCACAGCTGGTATTTTGCAAGTGTTTTCGCCTAGTCACACTCTAGTAAATTATCTCATAGGACATCTCTCCTAATCGAGAGTATACAAGTTCTATAAATCATCTATAGAACTCACAAAGAGTTCTAGATTCTCTGAATGATCCAAGGTCTCCGTTACGATGTAATGCTATCAAATGTAAATCAAATGTGAATTCCATTCTGTTACTGAATTTAAGAATTTAATATAAGCATCTCTGGAAACTGATGTAATGAAGTTGATGAGACGTTGAAGAGGCTTTGGTGGAAGAGCGTGTAAAGAGCTGATCACCTTCTCATCAGAGTAGGGTCTTGGTCTAAAATTATGGTGTGAGTTTGCTTAATAATGTCCTGTGATAACTTTATGTAGTAAACAAGTATGTCTTAATAAAGTGATTGTCATAAGGGAAGGTTATAGAACAATATTACACAGTATTCCATTATATGATCCAAAGTCTCGTATCACCTAGCTGAAATGGTAAATCTGACTTAAGTGGCAAGTCACGTACGCGTGGAAGCGTTAGTGTGCTCAATCAAAGATAGGAAGACTTCTATCGCATACTTTGTACAGACGGTGGCTTAAGGTACTAATGGGCCTCTATTAGTGAGACACATAGAAACAAATTTGTGTTGGCAATCAGGATCTAATCAGATGTGGCTCAAACTGTCCATATCTACTAATTCTCATCAAGAATATAAACAAGTTTCCTTTCTAGGGTGTGTCATTTTTTCATCGGCGCGCCGTCGCACCTTGCACTCGTTTAGCAATTTTTCTTATATTGGTATATTCTGATTTTGGTTAAATGGAGAATTTCTAATAAGCATTTTGATTCTAATATATTCATGGTTTAGTCATGTAGCGACAAAATTTATAACTTCCAAAAAGGTTAGACAACAACCGCCACCTGACATCTGAAAGGTATTTTAAGCTAGTGAGTTAGTTTTTGATTCTATATCAGCTATCTTATTTTATTTCATTTTTATTTTTTTCATTCTGAGGATAAAAGGCGCCACAAAATAAGCAACCTATCTGTACATCCAGCAACTTTAGTTTGATATCTGTGTTTGAATGGTTAACCAAAAGGCCAGTAAGTAAGGTTAGGAGGAGACCGTATCTTTGTGTGCTTTGGCCATAAATACATCTTTAATATTATTCACCTATCAGTCCTTCGACAAGGACGATTGCCACCATTCGTTACAATATGCATTGCGCACATCCTCATTACGTGTGTAAACCCACACTTCCATTTCTTCTGAATTATGTCGGACATTTATTGGTATTATGCATCCTTTCCTGTTTTTTTTTTTTTTTTTTTAATAAAGGAAGCACTTGAGCAACTTAGAAATCATTTTGAAATGTAACTCAAAAGCCAATGTGGACGTACTTGCTTTTGCATAATTCATTTTTACTCAGCTGCAAGCATGCCACCATTTATTCCATCGTCATCGTGAACTGTGAATATGTCGATTTGAAGTATCCTTCTGTGGTAATTAATTCACTCTTGGTATAAGATTTGATGGGATTGGTTTTGCCGAAAACTTAATGTAATTACTTTTCCTTCAGGTGCAGATTCTAATTTTGCAGTTTTGTTAATAAAAGAGTCTTAACAACCAAGAGGTTATTTCCACTACCTGTCGCACCATTGTGTCTATCGTGCATAAGTTAGAGCCTTGGTCGTTCGACTGTCTCACCTGTTTTCTTATCTTCTTTTATCTTAATTCTCAGGAATACCCTGAATATGTAGCATACAGAACCCCAATATATTTTTCTGATGACTGGCTCAACCTATATCTCGACCATCATTGCATCCATAAAGATCCTGTCACTTACCAGGACAATAATGAAATATGCTGCTCGGACTATCGTTTTGTTTATATGGGAGCAAAAGGTGAGCATAGTTGTTGAGAACTTATTATGTTTCTTGTAAGATATAAGATGTGGGTCAAGTTTGTATTGCCTATTAGTTTGTTTTTGTGTAGTTAAACTTCATCCTGAAGGAAACTTATAAAACTTTTAATATTATGGGCAGGATCTTGGACTCCTCTTCATGCTGATGTTTTCAGGTCATACAGTTGGTCAGCAAATGTTTGTGGGAAGAAGAAGTGGCTTTTTCTGTCTCCTCCCCAGTGTCATCTTATATTTGACAGGTATGTCTATAACTACTTTTCTATATATATATTTATAAAGATATATGGAAGGTCCCAGACTTTCCTGAATGGCTGCCTCTTTTAATGGGCTAATGGGGCCATTTTTCAGTCGGATACACCAGCTTGTCACAAATGTTAAGAAAAATGAAATGATGGAGAGAGAAAATAACAAAGTGGCATTTACTAGTTCTTCCTCTCTTGCCCTCCTCGTAAAGGGTGGTCCATTTATAATATTAATCGAGGACAAGGTAATTGATCGGTTACGTGGACTCATAATCGAGATTCTCGTATGTGCCATATTAACCATGTCTATCTTAAACTAGGATATAAAGTAGAAATATATAACAAATATAGCTTATAAATTTACTTAATCTTAGCAAAAAAAGAGGGATAATTGAGTATCACTACACGACGGGCACTCATGATATCTAGTGCTGCAAATCGGAAAACTACAAGAAGCATGCTTTAGAAGTCCACCAAGCTTCCAAATATTGCCTCCTTAAAACACTCTAGTGGATCCAAATCCTTACAGTAAGGTTTATGTGCTCACTTTCTCTCATTTCAAATCGGTGGATAATGACTACCAAAGAGGAACACATTCATGACCCCCCCTTCAATTATGGGAATATCGTTACTCTTAAGAGATTCTTTATTTATTCCAAAGCATAATATCGATATAGTAACCTACACATAGGAGAATATATTACACCCATTAACTTCGCGGCAAAATATCAAATACTTTTTCTTTTCAAGGGTACAAACATTTTAGACTTTTGACCTTGGTGATTGCTTCTCTTCAAACAAATTTTTGCTTTCTGCGCATTAAAATCTCCATGTGATTATATCATTTGTCATGGTGTTACCTAGTCATCAGTCCACACAGTCAGAAATACAGAAGCACAACCTATTATTGTCACTTCATAAAATCTCCTCATGCCACAAAATAGCACAATTTTTTTTTACATGCAAAATTTCTAACTGTATGATTATCTATACAATACTAAGTTAAAGACATGGTCTTATTAATTATAGGCTTATAGGACCAATCTCTCAAATTTCCTGTTCACGCCCATCACTACATAGATACCCCGAACGACGCAACTTGAAGAAAGTCCACTGGTTATTTATTTAACACTATTATGTGAATTGGGAGTCTGTTGTAACGGAAAACAGTGACTGATTTTCAACAGAGTAAATGTGTGTTAGAAGGCTACACACCTTAATCTCTTAGTCACATCAACATAAATAAAAATAAAAAATATAGTCACCCTGCTCCATCTAATAACATGTCGGTGATGTAGTCAGGATGCTCTGCGTCAGGTGCGACCAGGTGTAGGCGTTAGGATCCGTCTAGGGTGTAATGACAATCTCACGGCGCATACTCGTCGCATACGGAAAAAAACCTCTGATGAGCCTTCCATAAAGGCCCTGGGTGGATGGATAGCCATACTAACCTCATCTAATGTCCCTCGCGGGTCACTCATCGGCACCCTCTTGTTATATATCACTCCGAATGAAACCGTCGTAACAGGCAAGCAAGTCAGTGAGACGCTACAGGATATTGCTACGTAGGTGTTGTGTGGCTAGACACCTCCCTCTATATTAATTAAAGATCCTGTTCAATGCACCAAGTCTTAATAAAGAAGGGCGAATTTGATCTGTGCACCCATTTCCTTGCGATCTGCGAATATATAAAAGGCTCAGAGAAGTTAGACTTAGGGATAATAGTTAAGAAGGCACCAATTCTGAAGCCCACTATTAAAATTTTCAAGACTGTCCAATATCGTTCCAACTAATCATCATAACACAACAACATTTATATAGATAGCGATAGTCACTATATATGATGATGAATCTTGTGATATAAACTATTGACTCTAGCGGTGCCAATCATAATTGGAGGACCAAAAGGTCTTAAATATGGTTCCAACAGCGTATGAGGAAATCTAGTATAATTATACTATTATTGCTTTCGCATTCATCGATTCTCTTTGCAAGTCTGTTCAACACCTGAATGACCGCTTATAAATGTCCAATAGGGAAGGAAACTCAAAACTAATGGATGGATATGCAGAATAAAACCAAAACAAGGGTTATCCAATTTCGATCATATATTTACAAATGACTTCATGGTTCTGGCTCCAAATTACTTACCACCATAATAATACATGCGGTGTGCAGGTGGTAAAGAATTAAATATCGTAATGGTTCTAATCTTCAATTAATCGGAGGACAATATTACATAATAGCTTGCTAAAACTAAATAAATGAGTAGGCCATAATAACATACCATGCCACATAAAGATCTACTTGTAAATATAACATGACTGTCAGTATTAGTCCCTCTCTGTGAGAGATGTTATATCTAACTTTATCGGATACAAAGACTATTAAACTGAGAGTGCAAAACTGGGAAAGTAACATAAAGAGGTAAACGACCGTGCACTTCAGGGATCTGTTTATCTTTTGGTTGAGATGATGGTAGTAATGCGTGTTTCTAGCCGTCGAACTTATATATATTACTAATTCAATAGATATTGTATAAACAGGCTCATATCATGCTGCAAGTGGAACTAACTCTAAGTCCCTTATCTTCCAAATATTTTGCCCCTTAAAACAGTGAAAATCCTTTACAGTGCTATATGAAATTGAAACACAAGGAAACATCAACTCATTGGAATTCTCTTGTTTATCCAAAAATCAATTATACCAAGAATTTCCTATGCAATCAAACTGGCAACAATTGACTTTCTGTTCTCTGTCAAAATTTGCTTTGGATAAATTTGTGTTCTTTATGTGTACCTAGTCACCAGCCATTAAACAAGCAACCTTATATCCTAATCCTATTGCCAAAATTTACATCAATTTTTCTGTGTCAACAACAATAAGAATGGTTTTATTGTTTTTGAAATTTCATCTCCATCTTGATCCAGGAACTTGAAGAACACTGTTTATAACATATTTGATGATGTTAGCGAAACGATATTTCCAGGTTTTAAGAAGGTAACCTAATCTATATCATCATATTATAGTTTCTATTTCCCGCACTATTTTAAATGTGTTTGTGCGTTTGTATTGCTCATGTTGCGAGTGTAGGCTATCTGGTTGGAATGCATTCAGGACTGCAACGAAATTATCTTTGTGCCTAGTGGATGGTATCATCAAGTTCATAATCTGGTATCTTGCACTCTGTTTCATTTTTTATCTTACACATGCAAATATGGTACTATTTGTGCTTGATCACCCCTCATTATGAAAGTATTCAACATTTAAAAGGGAATCTCGTTACTTTTACTATAAATGCAAGTTAGATCTAGGAAATGGGCCATTTGAAGCTCATTTATCATTATTTTTGAAAACTTGACTTTAGGGTGCCAATTCTATGGGACAAAGCATTTTCACATAGGAATCTAGTTATTTACTTATTTTGCTTCAAACCTTGAACTGTTATATTTTCAGGAAGATACAGTATCGATAAACCACAATTGGTTCAATGCATATAATCTTTGTTGGGTGGTAAGTAAAGTTTAGTAATTCATAATGGAAAGTCATATATCTGAATAAAATTAGGGAAGGCAAGAACTCTTAATTAATTTTCTTGTTCCTTCAGTGGGATTTGCTATGGAAAGACTACAAGGAGGCAAAAGAGTACATAGAAGACATCAGGGATATCTGTGATGATTTTGAAGGTGTCTGCCAACGCAATCTTGCAGCTAACACAGGTGAATTATTAGATAGTGGAATAATAATTTATTATAGCATATTTCATTGTTAATCTTTCTTTCTTTCTTTCTTTCTTTCTTTCTTTTTTTTTTCCCCCCAGATATGTGCTGATGCAGTTAAATAGGCTGAAGCCAAAATTTTTGTTACGGTCATCTCCTAACCAGACAGTCTTCTATTTACAAAATTGGCACCAATAAAAGCTCCCTTGCATTTTCTTAACTGCTAGAGTCTAAAAATCATTGGTTTGTCTGCACAAGGCTCCATCATGTAGTATTTTACTTGGTGCAAGTCATAAAATTTTCTATATGCAATGAATGAATTTCTTTAGGCATCTTTAACTCAAAATACATCAGCCGAAATTTGGTGGCTGTTGAAAGTGTTTATCCACTAAATTTGAGCATGAAGCTGCATGTATTTAGCTCTTTCTTAAGCTAGCATAATGTACTGACTAAAGTTGCTTAGTTAAGTTAACCTTCCAGCCATGGGATTATAATGAAGATTTGAATTGGTTCGCTGTCTATTCTTTTAGTCAATTGAACATTTGTTGGTTTCAGGTTGTGTTGACAATTCGTAGCGTTCCCATTACATGTGCCCTTAAAATGATGATGCTTATGAGATTATACAAAACCGATGCTGTGTACTGATTAGTTGTTTTTTAGCAGGCATGAATTTTATAGATTTCTTTATCTTCCTGGCACGTTTCTTCTTGGCCAATGCTGTTCAACTCTACTGTCGATGCAGAGACAATAAAATCTTATTCAGCAGATCATACAAAGTGAATCAGCAATTAGCTATCAATTTAACTTCAATACAGAAAATTGCACTTAAAATGAAATCCAGTGAAGGGGTGGCTGCAAATGGAGGCTTCTTCTTGGATTTGAAAGAAACTTTGGATGATCCTGAGTTTCTTAAGCTGTGTTCTGACATGGGCAGAACATATGGTGTGATACATGAACAACAGGAATGGAATAGCAATACCAAGAAAGCTTTGGTAATTGATCTTTTAGAGTATAGTTCTTCAATCTGTAGTTTTGAAGATTTTGTTAACTTCATAGACTATGTTATAACAAAACTTGGAAACACTTGCTGTGAGGAAAATATTTTGCAGCCTACATTAGATTGCTAGCGAATCGTCAAAGATTTAATGCTGTAATTTTCATATTCCACTGTTAATTTTTATGTATTCCAAATTAGGACATTCAACTCTTTCTAATTTATTCAATTGGGATACTGATGATTATATACATATCCTAAACCTAAATCATACACTATGCCCAATTTAATAGGCCCAAGCCCAAAATGCTTAGCGTTTGTCGTCATTCGTAAACGGCGTCGTAATTGGCCGAGCACAAAAATCTGGTGCTTTCGAGTTTGGTCGTCTCCGCCAAAACGGAAGAGATTGGTTTTGCCAACTAAACAGGTGATAGTTCTATGACGGAAGATTGCAAAATCAAGGGTTTCAAAGGGCACTGGTGATAATTTTCTCACGCTAGAATTGTGAATCTCTCTCCATTTTTATGATGATTGAGTTGTTCATCGGAAGATGACAATGCTTCTTTCATGGCGACTCCATATATGTCAAACGACGAAATCTCTGTCCTGTTTGCAAATGCGAAGATTTCGAAGAAATGGTGTCTGCTAATAGAGTGATTAACTTGGAAAAGGGGAATCCAGTGTAATTATGCAAAGAAGGTTATGTCTCTTAGGACAGGAGTTAGCACTAGTCGTTTTTAGCGTTTATCAAACGTGTACTGGCGTGAACGACGTAACGGACTCATTGCGCAAAGTTGTCGTTTTCTTTTGATAGAAACCGTTGATTTGGGTTAATTAATTGTTTTGAGCACGTGCATTGCCGTTTTACTGAACTACATTAGCGCCTGGGTTCAATGTTAACCAGAGGAAAATAATTTCCCTTCCCATTCGTCTATCAAACTCATCTTCGGCTCTACAGAGATTAAGGAAACAGTGGTTGAAGGACAAGTCATTCAATTAAATAGCCAGTCATTAACTCAAACGACCCGAGCCGGCACAACGGCCTGCTGCCATAACCTCCACCGCCACACCGACACTACAACCGTGACATCTGGTAATTCTTTCATAAACGGCATATCTCATGATTTTCCCAAACCATATTGTTCATTTTACTTCTCTTTCTCACAGAGTTACAGTCTTGTAAATTTTCTATTTTTATGTTGTCCGTGTAGCATATCCATGAAATTATATCTTCTTGTTTCTCTATTCCGATTTTTCATTGGTATGGATGATGATCCTCCCATCACAAAAGAATTCAATACTTTGACAAACTAATATAATTGCTTCTAGTTAGACCCAAGTATCAACTTCATCAAATGGGTAACTCCAAGCCCATTTCAAAGGGCAATATGATTGGGCTTGCGTGATAAAAATTGTGACTTTAATGTTCCAATTTTATGTGACAAAGCATTTTTAGAGTACAGGTATTTCTATATTCATTTTGTTTGTGTATTCATATATTTGTTTCTTCAAGGTGGTTCTCAACCACAACACTCGAGGAAAATCTATCTTTCTTTATATTTATTTGAATAAGAATAGGATTTAGGAAGCTAACCATGACTCAGTAATTATCCAATTCACTATATATGGATTGGTAGTTCTTTTAGGACTTAGGAGGCAAGAACTTTAGATGAACCTGGGTAATTTCTTTAACTGTGGATTGATGTGGGCAGAACTTATGTGCTGGTATAATAGCAACAGAACTGAAAGAATGGTACAAATCAGTAGTTGACGTTTTGGACTCTAATTCTTCTATTTTTACCCTTGGAAGTTACTGTATTGTAGCAAAATTCGATCGCATTTTCTAAGTAAATGATTTTGCTGCCTGTATTACTCTGATGGCTAGTCACACCCCTTTTTAGGTTGAATGTTTGCATGTGCTTACTAGAAAGATACTCGTGTGGAGGTGAGATTCAAATGGCATAATATTTTGCATACAGAGCAATTAATTGGGTTGCATGTGCTTCTGAACTATATTATCTTAAGGAAACAGTGTATAACTGAGATGTAAACAAGAAACTGAAGCTGGTTTCAGGTTTTCATTATTATTATTATTATTAAAAAAGAGGAACATTATGCTTTCATTTGTGTTTAGAATTATAATAATAACAGTCAATGTGGAAAAGATAAAGTAAAAGAACAAAATATTTCTCATTATTTTGTATTTTAAATATATGGCACATTTTTTCTTGTAATGGAAGACTAATAATATGCATTTTTCCTTTACTTGAACTCGTTCCTTAAAGGTGCTTGTTTCTTTGCTTTTCATGCTTAAAGTATCTTTTCCATGCCTTTCCAGTTCAACTCATCAGCACTGACACAGAAATCCTAACAATCTAACATTCTTTCCATCAAACAAATCAATTTAACTCTGCTGCAAAATTCTTCTGCAGTTATCAGTAAATTAAATTAAAATGTTATTACAGTATGTATAAATTTACTTTTGATCTAAATCTGCCATTTTTTTTATCTATACATGAACAGGGAAGGATCTGGCCCAAGAGAGATATGGTGGTGTGGTTGGTTACATCAATATATTGACTTTTTGAAAGACAGGACACTGTTTTAGCAGATGGACCTAGGGTCTTTAGAAAAAATAAAGTACATCAATTATGAATTTTATATCTAATGCATTTCTTAGTTTAGTTTTTAAGCAAGAGTTGAGATGAAATCCATTTTGGAAAAAGGACAAAGCTTGGTTGGAGAAGAAAGGTTGTTGCAGTTATTGATTATGAATTTTCATAAAATTATATAATTATATGATATTAATTAGTCCTTCTGTTTGGCTATTTTAAATATTATTTCTTAAAAAATTGTTATGGTGGCCACTGAGATACATTTATTTTATTTTTCAGGAACAGGGTTGCAGCTTTGGCATAGTATACTACTGAAGAGAAGGTTCATTTAAGTATGCAAAATACAAGATAAAAATAATAAAATTTTACATTTCTTGATGCTTCCCACATGCAAATGCCATATAGTAAGGGTGAGTGCTTCCAATAAAAAAATTGTTGTTGTATGTGGGTTTTCTAAATTGCATATACTAAAGCAGAGTTAGTGGGTCAGCTCCTCTTTACAAAGAGGGTTTCTCTTTCCTCTAAATAGTTTGAAAGGTCACTAAAGATAAGAAAGAAGAAAGACAAAAGACACACAATTCACTGTTTTTAACAAACCTGTATTTCCCCAAATTTACATAATCCAGAAGTGGGAAGATTATATTCAAAAAAAAAAAAAAATCTACAAATAGCCCAAGCCATACTAAGGCATAGGTTGAAAAACTAATAGCTCAAAAAAAATAATAATAATAATGGTAAATAAAACAAAAATGCACAAAATCCATATCTTACTCTCTATTCTATGCAAAATATATCTTCATGGACACCTTACATTTCTTCCGGGGCCACCATAATAAAAATAAGTACCCCAAACATTGTTTTTTCCTTGCCTTATATCATAACAATTTGGATGATCAGCCAAGAGGTGAAGATTTGTTAAAGGCAGCAAATTATTATCCCAATCCACAACTTGTAAATTTCTAAAATAGGATGCTTTTCCAAATCCTTCTTCTGCAAAATGACCACTGCCCATTTGGGTAGCTGTGTGGTACCCTGAAGATCTGGAATTCACAATTTCTCCTCCAAACTGAACCATACTCGCATGGCTTCTTAAATGACTGAACAAAAATGCCGGCCAATATCCTACCAGTAGTCCTGACCCAAATTCCAACCACCAGTTTCCATGTTTTGGGTCCTACGTGAATATGTATTAGCATGTTAGTACTATTTGGGGGAAAATTATTGATCTGATAGCTTCAGATTTTGTGTCTCATATAGTGCTTGCTTGACTGTATGATATTATTAAGAATGATAAGGAAAATAAGAGAAAATGCAAATAAAGTAGAAGAAAGATTTAAATTGTTTGGTTACCCTTTTAATACCCCAGAGCAGAGCCAGTTAAGTCAAACTAATAAAGAATACATCTCACAGAAGTTGACGACATCAAGGCACCCTTTGACAAGGAAAACGAAGAGAATCTTACATTTTAAAATGATGATTAGGGAAAAGAACCAAGAAAAAGTTAATATATGCGTTTTTGTCAAATTGATTAATCAATATGCACTGTACTATGACATAATCAACCCATGAATGATAGTAACAGATTGGATGGTGATGTTTTTTTCTTTGTCCAAGCTCTTCTTTTTTTTTTTCTATCTAAATGAAGGAAATTATGAAGTTTGCCCAGGTAACTGTAAAAGCTACTCTAAAAGTCTTGAGTTTTAACAAGTAAAAGCTTCTTAATGCAGAATTGATTGAAATAATGCACTGCATTCTTCTCCAATTTTCCAGTTAATGGTAAAATAATAACAATAATAAAGTGGTTTACCTTCCAAACCATTAGACCGATATCAAATTGTCTACCACTGTAAATAGACCTTGGAGATATTGCAGCTCCAATGGCAATCTTGTTATTGGTTTGGACAAACCCAGAACACAGTAAGTTGTAGCATCCAGTAGCTTGGTAAGCATCAGTCTGCAAATCAATAAGAATTAGTTCCACTTGTCAAGTATTTAAAATCTTTCGGTAGATATTCAAGAATCAGAGCCAGGAAACAAGACTCACTGTCCAGTAAGTGAAGAATCTAGGATAATTATCTCCATACAACTCAGGGCTAACCTGTTAAGACAAATGAATAAATCAACACGTGTATTATACATATTTTACTTCAAATTTGAACATAATTTAATTTAGCAACAGTACTAGTACTAGAAAAAAGAAGTCTTGCCTGCCAACCAGCTTCAATGGTATTTAGATCGTTGCCAAAAGAACCAGAAATGACCCAAATTTGTGACAAGCTGAACTCGTATTGATCGGTAACACGAGGAGCCCACACATTTATATTGGCCTTTGCTCCATAATATTGTTCTCCGTTAACAAACACAACTGCATGCTGTGATACAATAAGTTATATCAAAAATTAGGTATTGCTATTAGCATATGCGCAAGTGTTTCTCTCTCCCTCTCTCTCTCTTCCCCTATCGCTCTCTGTATTTTTCCCTCTTCCTGCAGTAAATAAATGCTTATGACATATGGCAGAGTACTGTCATTAAAACTGATTTTTTACAATTATGTCTGCCCATGGCCTGCTCTTTCTTTTCCTTTTTCTTATGTTTCTTGTTTACCAACTGACGCTGAATTGTTAAATTTTCTATGAAAATGCAATATGGAAATTGGCCTTTCTGATGAAAACTAGTCATTTTAGACTAGGGTTCTTGGAATAACCGAATGAATGAAACTATAGTTCAATAAACCCACCAAAGAGAAAAAAAAAGGAAAAAAAGAAAAAAGAAAAGCGCGTGAAAGATTATGCTTGAATAGTGATGTAAAAAGCAAGTTCTCAATTCTGAAATGATCGGTTCCATTGTGGAGTAATTTGCAAAAATTAGTTTCTAATGCTAACCTCATGGCCGGTGCCTGTTGAGTCTCTTCTTACATGTCTTCTTAATTTTCTGCCAAATCTTCTAATTTTACTTGCTCTTAGAACATCCTTTTGTGTGGTTCTTCTTATTGGAACAGTTCCTTCTGGACATGATTCACCTGAATCTGTCCATAGCTGATAGCTCTCTGTCATTTTCACTGTAGTCTCATTGCCTTTTGGCTTCTCTGGAGGATCCTGTAATATAGTCCAAATGACCAACCAAAGAAAGACTGCCCAAATCAGAAATGTTTCTAACACCAATTAGAAGTAAAAAGAAAAAAGGATTCTTGCATATATATTTTGAATGGAAACAAACAGAAAAAAGTTACCAATGGTTTTTGTCCTTTAAGCTCTGGATGGTCAAATGCTGGTTGAAGATGAGATAAAACACAATCTATTACATCTCCATCGGGGCTCTGCAACCAACGGGAACCCAGATCACTAAAGCCTATAAAAATTAACAACACACAAAAATAATAATAATAACAGTAATAAAAAACAATAAATTGTAAACAAATAGAGAAGTACCTGAATTGTCTTAACTGCAGGCTTGTTGATCTTCTTAAGATAAGCATTGACTCTTTTTAGTTTCAGTATCTCGTTTCCTGGCCTGAAAGTTTGGTTGGCCAGTAACCGGTTACCGGAATCTGAGTTAAGTTTTAGACACAAGACAGGAGTAATGGAAGAAGTAAAAAATAGAAGGAAAACAACAAAAAGAGGTAGTATCACTGAGTGTTTGTTACGAAAAATAGAAGCAGCAGCCATTTGTGTGGAATATAGCTGTTTTTTCTGTGATGTTCGTTTTACTGAAACAACTCGTTGTGTTTGTATACATTGGTGTTGTCTTGTTGTGTAAAGAATACAAAATGGTTCATTCCAAAGTTTTGTCCATGGAAATGAATCTCTCTTCATATCCATACAAAACAGAAGCCCCATACAAGAAAAAACCAGAGCTGATTTGTTCACTAGCTTACCATTTCCAAATTATAAATAAACTCTCTTTCTCTCTGTCTCTCTCCTCTCTTCGAAGAGAGATTCTATTGTCTTGGTTTTGTGGTCTGACACACATGAAACTTGAAGCATGAGCATATTAAAATAGACCTTGGTGGGTAGAGTTGTACTTTTCGAAGTTTTAACCATTACAAGTTGTGGTCAAAAAAGGAATTCTCTTCTTTTCTTTTCTTTTTTTCACCAGAATATTTTTATGTCTAAATAGATGAGAGAGAGAGAGCATGTCAAACTTTAACACTTAAATTTGTACCAGTAGGTTTCTTTCTTTCTTCTTCTTCTTTTCTTCTTTTTTTCCTTTTGAAAGAGTGGTTCAATCATTTATTCTCTGGTTTTGAATGTCAAGAAAGAAGGGAATCCCAAATCATCATATTTGTATCCAGTTATTATTTTTATATATTTCTTGTTTTTCCTTTTAGGCTAAGTTAATCAAAAGTTTCCAATTCTTGATTTCTTGCTCTGTTTGCCTTTAACTGTTTCTCCCATTATTCTGCAATTCTTTTTTCAAAAAATTGTAATTATTATTCTTTGTAGTACAGTAAATAAAGAGGAGGCCACCATATGATGCTGCGCTGTTACCACTATGAATGAAGTGGGAAAATATGTACATCCCATATAGCAATTTGGTAGGTCCAAATATAATGATGGTGTTAAAGAACTCATGATGATAAATTTTGTAATATGCATTTCTTATGGATACAATTTCTTTTGACTTAACATGAATATTAATCATTATTAATAACAATCAATAGTTCTTTAATAATGATTTTCTGGTAGTCCACCAACTAATTTCACTAAATCAGCAAACCATGTGACTCTTTGTTTTAAACTTTTCTTATGTTCTCACTTATTTCTTTATTAACTTTGGCACAATTATGTCAATTAAAATGGAAAAACTATTTAAAGGTACTTAAAATAATAAGGATACCACATATATATTAGACTTTAGTCCCTCTACCTATTTCAGTACCAAAAAAATATATTTTCTTTCCCCCAAAACCCAAATTAAATTAATTATCACCAATATATAAATAATCAAGCAAAGTTAATGCATTGGGACCTATCTTCTTTAATCACCAGCCCAGTCTGTTCTACACCATTAAAGACACCCTCTGCGGTATGTGATGTCATGGTCAATTGCTTCCAGCGTATATATACCACAGCTAGCCAAGGCTCCAATCATGTACTGCTACTGAAAATGACTTGCATGTTTTAGGAATTTAAAGAGAGACTAGGGATTTCATTGACAGGGGAACAACATTTCTGGGTTTAATTCAAAATTCTCCAAATCAATGACCTCCAACATGTGAGAGCAGATTGATCCATTTCGGTTCAATTCGGTCAAGTGTTCAAAAATGAGCTTAAAACTAAACTGAAATGGTAAAAACCGAGTAAAATCGATCGTCGTGACTGGTTCGATTCAAGTCGATTTAGTTCAAATGACAATTTCAGTTGGATCTGTTGTCAAAAAGTTCAATGTGCACTTTATAGCTTTGATTGAATTCCGTTTGAACCGAACTGACCATTTGGACCCTGTGTGTGTATATTGCCTGTAATGCTAGTAATTCGCAGTTTTTGTCTTCATTAGAGGTACATGATGATGAGCATTAATCCTAGAGGCTATAAGTTAATAAAAAGAAATTAGAGGGATAATGGTGAAATTAATTAAATAATGTAAAGAAATGAAAAAAAAAACCTTATTAGAAATATTTTAGTTATTATGTAGCAGAAAGAGTAAAGTAAGTGGTGTTGAGGTTAGTTACTTTATACCATTAAAGTGTGCTTATAAACTTGACACAGCAGAATGTAGGTACATTAAAGGATGGGCCCTTAAGCTTTGGTTCTCTTTTTAGGGTTATGGGGTATGATGCTTCCCACTTTCAAATACTTCTTTGTATTATTATTCTTTATTTATATTTTTTTTTTTTTCTCTCTTCTTTTCACAAACACCTTCTCTTCTCACAGTCAGTCTCTCTCTCTCTCTCTCTCTCTCTCTCTCTCTCTCTCTCTCTCTCTTTTCTCTCTTCTTTTCACAAAACACCTCTCTTACTGCACAGTCAGGTCTCTCTCTCTCTCTCTCTCTCTTCTCTCTCTCTCTCTCTTCTTCTCTCTTTCCACCGACTTAAAATCGCAAACATTTTTAAATCTCTCTCTCTCTCTCTCTCTCTCTCTCTCTCTCTCTCTCTCTCTCTTTCACCGACTTCATCTGCAACATTTAAAGAAATATTTCTGAAGAATATTGGTCCACTGAGAGTCACTCTCATCAAAAACAACTGGCAACTGGCAATGAGATTATTAAGGTATGTGAGTGGAAGCATGCTCCTTTGTAAAGTTATTTTAGAGAGAATAGATTCCAACCCCACAATCTTGAAAGAATATACATATATATATATATATGTATATGTATATATACACATAACATAAAAAGAGTTTTCAAAAATTTTTTATAACCTGTGTTAGATTTGATGACATTGGTTAATGATTATACTATATTGAAAAAATAAAAAAAATTGGTGTGCTTATGGTTCTTGTAGTAAGGCTGCCACCGCCATGCTTTTTGAAAGGAGAAAGAACAGTGTATGATAATTAAAATTAAAGATTATTCAAAGTTAAAGTGGAATTATTACAAATCAAAAAAAATTTAAAGCATCGGTGATGTTATTTTATGTCATTCTTTATAGTACTGTGATGAAATTAGGTTAAGATTTAATATGTTAATTGGGTTTTACTACCAGTAGAACAAGAAGACAACAAAGATGATGATGTCTTTATTTAAGTTTCTAAACATGCATGCATGCATGCATACATAATTAGGTAATTAACAGGATAATGAATGTAGCTTTTTCTTTCAAATATTTAGTTATGAATATGCAAAATCAAAGCCAAACACATAGTGAATTAATTATAAATCAAAGGTATAATTAGAGTTGTCTGTGTAATAATAAATTTTGCCAGTTCGAACCCAATTGAAATCTATTAACTAATTTTCAAAAGCTAGTGATGAATTGCAAGAATGGTCCATAGCGCAGAAGCATGGTGAAGGCAATTGGAGAAACAAAGCAGATGTGATCATTCTCACTGCACACAAAAGGGCACATTGTGCTTAAAAAATTGAAGACGACCACCACATTTTTTTAGTGGCTACTTTAAATCATCTTCTGCTTTGGATATGTGGAGACCATGTGCTTTTATCTTGTGCAATATAAACTATTTATATAAATGTCTCGCTTTTCACTATCTTTTTCATTTTTTTCCTCTCTTTATGGGGCAAAATGAAAAAAAAAAAAAAAAAAAGCTGATCTAAAAGCTACAACCATGCAAATAATTAAATTATTACAGCAAATGTGTGTATTAAGAAGAGATTGTTAGCCTCCCTAGCTACTGTAATGTGTATATTTTGTTTATTTGATTTATACATTTTTTTTATGATTATGATTATGATTATGATTATGACGTGGTTTGTGGAGGTCAAAAAGCTCTTATAGAAATATATCTCTGCTTGTCGACATATTTGACAATTTTTGAAATTTAAAGGACGCAATAATGATGGAGATTAGGAAAATTCAAAGTTGCATTCCTTTTGGAAGCTTATTTAGCTCCCTATTCAACGACTTTAACTAACAAAAAGGCAGTTTAGGACATTTATATGTTGATGGGAAATCTTTTCATTTGTATTTTCAATCGTAATTTTGTTTGAATCCAAGGAAAATACTTTTGAAATATATTTTTCAAAATTTCAATCATACAAATAATATTTTTCAATCAATAAAATTAAAATCTCTAAAAATATTTTTGTCCGTCCCTAAATTTACTAAAAGTATTTTTATTAATTTCAATGTTTTCCGCTTTTATAGATACTATAAATATAAATAAATTATAATTCTTAAAATGGGGACAAATGTAGTGGATAAATTAACATTCTAGCAAGGTAAAATGCTCAAGAGAGAGTAGTTAGAGGCCACATAACCAGCTAACCACCGACAATTAACCCATCATTTGATAAGAGTTAAAGACGATTATCTTCTTGACAATAAGGATCATAAGCAAAAGCTGCATGGTCGAGCCCATACAACCACCTCTCCACCGACAATTACCCTTGCTAAAACAACTCGACTCATACAACAAAATTAATCACTAGTACCTGAAAATTGTGCATTCAATTTAAAAGTTCATCCATTCATCTATTACTTCAATACTTTAAGTGTTAGTCTTGTAATATAAAGTTCATAAGTGTGGATCTTTTCTTTTCATTTTATTTTCTATCCGTATTTTCACTTTTTTTTTTTTTTTTGATCATTTTATTTTTCTATTCCCCTATTTTGCACTTTTTTTTTTTTTTTGGATATTGATACTAATTTCATTCCGGAATTTATATAATCATTTTTTATTAAGTTGATTTTTCTACGGACTTTGCAGTTGAATTCAAGCATGTTATCTATAAAGTTTGAACTTGTTAAAAGTACTTTTGCAATAGGTAATTGTTACCATTTTATTTTATCTAATTTAGTAATTCATTCAACTTTTTTTTTTTTTTTTGGATATTATACTAATTTCATTTCCGGAATTATATAATCATTTTTTATAAGTTGATTTTTCTACGGACTTGCAGTTGAATTCAAGCATGTTTTATCTATAAATTTGAACTGTAAAAGTACTTTTGCAATAGGTAATTGTTACCATTTTATTTTATCTAATTTAGTAATTCATTCAAAGCACATAAAATATGCAGAAAATTAAATTTTATTTCTGATGGTATCCAAAAGCAGTAAGTCTAGATATATGGATGGAAACAGAATTTCTGAATTTTGAAAAATATGGAAAGAAAGTAAGCAAGATGGGAAGAACAAGAATTAGATACTCTATATCAAGCATAGTCTCTAAACTTTTCTCAGATGAGGTGAAAAATAGCATGAACCAAACTGCGGATTCTAGCTCAAGCAAAGTATCCTCTTTGAATTTTGTAGAACTAAAAGAGGCATCTTGCCAATTCTGTCGATTCTTTATGCTACTTTAGTTAAAGATAAATGAAAGAAAGAATATGATGCTTCAAAACGTTAGTGTCTTTGTCTCCACTTGGTTGCTTCTCTTTTATTGCTTGTTTAAGCTTATTCACTTCTTCAACAATGGCTTCTTGCAATGGATTTGTGCGGCGGATGGTGAGTCTGCCTAGAAGTATTGTAGGCGGATTTTCAAGAGTAATGGGTCATAATATAGGTCGAATAGGAAGCGGAAGAAGAGATCAAAATAATAATCTACCATTAAATTTTCAATTTCAATCTTCACTACAAGGACAAGACCCTTCTCTACTTGCACCAGAAGAGTGGGCTTTTCTATCCACTTTTGAGCAACAATTTGGCTCTATACATCCTTTCTTTTATCCTTGTCGTTTTACGGAGGCTTTAAAGATTGCAGAGAATGAACAAAAGTTCATGTTCATGTATCTTCACTCACCTCAACACCCTTTTACTCCCTCTTTCTGTAGGGAGACTCTTTGTTCTGATTTGGTTGTTCAGTTTCTCGATGCAAATTTTGTTTGCTGGGGAGCAATTGCTGATAGAGGAGAAGGTTTGCAAATTACTGCAACCCTGCAGCCTGCAAGCTTTCCTTTTTGTGCAGTGGTAGCTCCTGCTGCTGATAATAGCTTAGCAGTGCTTCAACAGGTAATTTTTTTTTTCTTTTAATTTATTATTCTCATCAGAGCCAATATTTGAAACAAATGATTTACACAGCCGACCTCAACTAGTTTGGAACTAAGGCTTGGTTGTTCTTTGTTGTAATTCATTATTCTCATCAATGTATTTTAGCATCATTTGATATTTAATGTTAAAGTACAATAATTTACAGCAAATGAATCTTAATAGCAGCACATAGACCTTGCTGTTAAATGGGGTTATTTGTTGAGTTGTTGGAGTTGAATATGTCTAGATGGAAGGGCCAGTTTCCCCAGCAGAATTGGTGGGGATTCTACAGAGGACAATGGAGGAGCAAGGATCAGCCTTTGGCCATGCAAGAGCAAAGCCAGATGAAGAGAAGATTAGAGCAAAAGCCAAAGAAGAGGAGAAGATAAAAGCAGATCGTCGCTTAAGAGAAGAGCAAGATGCAGCTTATCTTGCAGCTTTAAAGATAGATAAGGTCCGTGCTATATCACATTCCATGCTTATTTCTTGGTCTAATTCAAGATTTTATAATAATTCTTTAAAAAATGAAAAATATTTTCCTTTCTAGGAGAAGGAAAATCCCAAGAAACCGGTTCATCATCGTGAAAGCCCTAAGCAATATGCAACAGCAGCAACACAGAAACTGAAAGAAACTCAATTTAAAGAATCTACAAGTAGGTCTAAGGATCCTTCTCAAGTAACACAGGTATAATAAAAATAACATTACTATGATTAATCATGCAAAAGTTTCTGTTTTGATTAATAATTATCAAGATTATATACATATAATTGAAATCCTTAATTAATTTCAGATTTTGATACGGTTTCCGAATGGAGAAAGAAGAGAGCAGAGCTTCCTCTGCTCAAATAAGGTCCAATCAATCTACAATTACATTGATTCACTAGGGCTACCTGGGATTTTGAACTACAGATTGATTTCAAGCTTCCCTAGAAAAGTTTATGGCTTTGATCAGATAGGAATGACTCTTAAAGAAGCTGGACTCCACCCTAAAGCAACTCTTTTCCTTGAGCTTCTGTAACCATATAATTGCTGTTATATATACATGTACAAGATAAACGTCTTTCATATTTTAATAATACCATTATATCAAAATGAATTATACGATCTTGACTTACAATATTTTGCATTTACTGTTTGATGTTGTGATGAAAGTGATGATCTATTGGCTTCACTAAAACTTAATTATCATCAGCTTGAAGAGAACAGTTCCATCATGTACATAGTTTTCCCAAGAAATGATTTCGCTGGTGGAAAAATAACACAGCAAAGAATGAAATCCTTCTTGAACCCACTAGAAAAATGAAGGCATATATAATCATTGGAAAGTGAAATAGTTTAGTGGGTAGCTAAGTGCAGGTCTCTTCATTGCCAATGAGCTATTACTATTGCAAATGTGGATTGGGTTAATTGAGGCCCAACTTAACCCATACAACAAATATCTCTGGCCCAATATTAAAACGGCGACGTTGCTACCTCCTCCACGGCTCCACGAAAGAGTAAAGCTGTTTTCTTCTACCAACGATTTCCCGGGAAACAAGCAAGCACGAAAGAATCATCGGCTTTCGCATTCTCAAATTCCAATCTTAACATCTAGAAAAAGCGGTATTCCTTGCGAAAATGGCGCTTAGGACTTGCCACGGGATAGGCGGACCATTAATTGCTCCCATCAATTTAACTAAAACTACCTCTCGAATTCGAAACCGCCAATTATCAGTTCGGAATTGTAGTTTAGACCAAAGTCAGTCTCATAAGGTAACTACTTCTAGTTCCTTTTCACGATAAACGTTTTTCTTGTTTTTCACCTTTCCAGCTCCGTTTGGTTGCTGAGAAACGCTAAGCATAAGTACAGAAAATTTTGAATTTTGCAGCAGAGAACTAGGGTTCGTAATTTTTATTTTCATCAAGAAACTAACTGGTCTTATATAAATTGATTATAAATGTAGCGTTCTATATATATACATATTATTGATGCTTTGGAAAGCAAAAATAGATGAAAGGAAATAAAGAAGCTGCTTTGAAATTGAAATCATTTTTTGTTTTTCTTGTTGATTTTTCATGAACTTACACTATGTGAGATTCTTCTCCCCGCCGCACCCCTTTTCTCTCTATCCATAGCAATTAGTTTCAGAAGTGAAGAGTAAGCTTGAAAAAGAATACAGTAGTCTCCCAGCTGGCAAAAATGGAAGAGATGATGAAGACATGATCCTCTGGTTCTTAAAGGACCGGAAATTTTCAGTTGAAGCAGCTATTGCAAAATTGACCAGAGCAATCGTATCCTCCTCCAACTTATTCTTGCTTTTCACGATGTTGGTATCTTAATATAGGTTTGCTAGTATCAATTTGCTGCACTTTCAATTATCCAAGTGAAACTGAAGGCATCAATTTTATGAATTAAATGAAGAATCTTGCTGAGTTTTGATTAAATCATTCTTTAGCGAATTTATCAGATTTGGGTCAGTTTTCCTTCTACTATGACTAGAAATGGCGTCAAGAATTTGGAGTGTCTAAATTGACTGAAGAGTCGGTGAAAAATGTAGCAGACACTGGAAAAGCCTATGTGCATGACTTTCTCGATATTTATGGTAGGCCTGTGCTTGTAGTGGTGCCGTCCAAGCACCTTCCTGATGTAAGTTCTGTAGTTGGGTGCCCTTTTTTCTCATTTTACAAGTCTCTTGGCTTTCTAAAAAACTGATATTACTTTCATCAATTTTCAAATAAATGCAAAATGAAGTTAATCATCAGAAAAGGTGATTTTGTGTGTATATTAAATCAATATGAATCCATTTAATCAAAAGGTTAACTTTATGAAAGGAGAGTTAAGTTTGTATGTCACCTCCTCTTGCGAATCATCAATCTGTTCAACTCTAGTATGCCTCATTGCAAACTAGCTGGATTCACAAATGAAGTTAATTATCTTAAGTTTTTTTGCATTTTCTTGAAAGAAGTTAGCAGCTTGTTTTCCTCTCATCATTAGTATACTCTGGTTACTTGCAGTCCATCTTCTTATAATTTGTTTGCTTTTGGCATGGGTTCTGATAATATAAGATATTAACTGAGCAATACCAGGTGGATGATCCTGTTGAGAATGAGAAGCTGTGTGTCTTTCTAGTTGAGAAGGCACTAGCAAAGCTCCCAGATGGAAAAGAAGAAATACTTGGAGTATTTGATCTCAGGGGCTTTGGTATTGAAAATGCTGATCTCAAGTTCTTGACATTTGTGGTAATTTTCAAAAATTAGGTGCTGATTTTGGATAAACAATGATATGCAAGTCTGTTTCTTTTTGCTGTTGTGGGCATTACAATTTTTCTTGTGCTATAGTGGCGACAAGTTTACATGGAAGTGATGGTTCAGAAAATTTTCACTTCATCAAACCCATAGATCAAAATCTCTTATCTTATCATCCAAATGGAAGCACGAAATTTTTGCACTTAGGCATTTGAATTGCATCAGACTGATAGTCAGTGTTAGGTTTTACCTTACTCTACATGAACATTATTACTGCTCGAAAGGTGCTGAATCTGTTGATGCTGCCTGCAAAAGCCAAATGTAGCTAGAATAAAAATTTATCAAAACCTTCTATCAAAAAAAAACAATTCATCAAAACCTCTCGCATTCTCTCTTTTTGTGTTACCTAAAAGTCATATTTACTTAATTTGTCTTGTGTTATTACCTTGTGAAATACTGTAATACAGCATAATTACCTGACAATTATATAAAGTAGAATTGGGGTTGATTTAATTCAATTTTTTGACAGTTCGACGTATTCTACTATTATTATCCAAGTCGGTTAGGTGAAGTCCTCTTTGTGGATGCTCCCTTTGTATTCAAGCCATTTTGGCAGTTAGCCAAGCCCTTGTTAAAATCGTATGCTTCTCTGGTATGATATATTGTCATTTGCCATATTGGCATGTCTCAGTAAATTACACTCAAGGGATGTTTTTTATCTCATGTGCACTTCTACATGTAGCTTCTGATATTTTTTTTAATATGTTCCAGCTCATCTTTCATATGCTCAGTCATATGTTTCCAATGATTATTGCTTAGAAAACATGCAAATGGATTTGCACCAGTGATAAGTTGTTTCACTCTCATGATTAACCAACCCTGTGGGTATTGGTTAAAGATTTCCAGATTCAAATTCTCACAGATAATACGAGAACTTCCTGAATCCTAGAATAACATCTACCACCTCCTCCTCAATTATAGTTTTTGGGCATATGCCATACGGTTTTCTGTTTTCAGCACATGAGGAGAGCTAGACATTGTCAGCCTATGATCTCTACCTTAACCAGTTAAGTTAAAGCGGGTGGAGCCTTTGCTTCATCCTGGAAGATGAGAGAATGATTCATCATAGCAAGATCTGCATATTTGGTTGATACTTAAAAGTTTAGTTTGAAATAAATCATTCTGCAGCTGTTTGATGCTATGTTAGTCTACTTTTGTAGCCTTCGTTCATTTCCTTATTTTTCAACTATCCATTTGTTTCTGAAGGTGAGGTTTTGCTCAGTAGATGCCGTCCGGAAGGGATATTTCACAGAAGAAACAATTCCAGCAAACTTTAGGAATTGACAAATGAATGATGAATAATGATTCATCTATCACAGTTTTAGTCGGCAGTAAATACAAAAAGAGACTGCTCAAAGCTTACACAACAGCTTCTAGCCAGAATTTCTCCTCTGGCAAAACCAGGATTGTCTTTTTTTAACTGTATATGTCCATTGAGTGGTGAAAATATTTTCATTTTCCTGCTCCTGATAGAAGAATCTTGTGATTGTACACTTATTCATCAATCTTTAAATGATGTAGAGAAAATATGTTGGAATATAGTTTTTGTATCAACTGTCAATATGAAAGGGTTATTAAGAATTGAACAAGTTATACTGGATCCTGAAATGTGTGCTTCTTTTCATAATAAAGCAGGGAGAAAGGAATAGTCTTTGACATACCAGAAAGTTTCAGAGGGACTTGGAATGGCAAGAGACAAACTGAGTGTGGTCCAAATTATTATCCATGGAGCCAATGGAAGGTGAGGATTGAATTTAGTTATCGCTTAATTATGTTGTTATTCAAAGCATCAGTCCATTTCAAGCATGGGGTGAAAGTCGACCTCAAATATTGAGAGGGTCAAAACATAAGTAAAAATAAAATTTGTGGAAAATAAAATAATATTTCAATATAAAAGGGACTAAATTATAATATAATTAATATGCTTTTTTGTTTTTTTTGAAGAGAAATAATTAATTTTGCTATTTCATTACAAAAGATCCTACAGGATTGGAGATTGCATCATCGTATGCGTATGCATCTATTCACAAAACAACAACAGCGATGTCATTATCGTGGGTCTCATTGTAGAATCACACAGCAATTGTTGTTTTCATTTTCAATGAAAGCCAAATGATTTTGAGATACCATTTCTCACTTTTTTTTTTTTTTTTTTTTTTTTTAAATGAATTTTGAGATACATTTCTCACTTTTTTTTTTTTTTTTTTTTTTTTTGAAAAAAGGTACCATTTTTCACAATTTTAAGATTTATCATCAGCATTTGGAAAATCAAATGTATTTTTGTCTGGTAATAAACACGACCAAATATTATTGTAGTAAATATTATTCAGTAATCTTTTTTTTTTTTTTTTTTTTTTTTGAAAGGTACCATTTCTCACATTTTAAGATTTATCATCAGCATTTGAAAATCAAAATGTAATTTTGTCTGTAATAAACACACCATAATTTATTGTAGTAAATATTATCTCAGTATCATTTAGATTCAAATGCCCGAAAACCCGTATGGAGTACTTGGATCGAATGACGTAAAAAAACCGGAAGATAAGACGTGACATATTATTATTATATTAATAAAAGAGAACAGGAGAATTACTCCGTGTCCGAAGACTAACAACAATCCTATGACCAAAATTAAGTATATTCCGGAAGCCAATGCTCTTCTTCTCATTGTGTACTGTAGAGTGTAGACAAACAACAGAACAGAAAACTGTTGGTTTCTGGCGAAAGAGGAACGCATATAGAAAGAGAGTGAAGGATGGAGAAGCTCAAGCGCTTGATTGCGGTGTTGACTTTGATGTATTTGGTTGTGATAGGAAACGCAATCGAGAGCCCCCGGTATGAAGTAGTACACGAAGAGTCAGATTTTGAAGTCCGATTATATGGCGAATCCACTTGGATGTCTGCTCCGGCAACCCAAATCTCCTTTGAAAAAGCTACTTTTAATGGCTTTCACAGGTCCACTTCTGTAAACCCTAACATGTTGTCTTAAATTCTTAATTTGATATTCGATTGAAGCAAAAATTCTTTTGGTTTCTTAGAATTTTGATTAGTTTGGTTCTTTTGTTAACATAAAATAAAAAATGTGTGTTTTTTCTTGAACTCTCTCAGTTTGGATGATGAGTTCTTACTGGTCAAGTTTGTAACTTTTCAATTCAATATTTAATCAGAAAATTATTTTGTTTGATCCTTATCATCTGCTGTAATTGTTATATTTTTGTTTGATATACTTCATCCGTGGCTTTTCTTTATCCACTTTTACATAAACGATTCATTATGTTTTTTCTCTTTTTCTTTTTCCAATTTAGACGTCTTATATTTATATTATTTTTGTTTCCTCCTCTCAGATTGTTCCAATACATTCAAGGTGCCAACCTAAACTGGACTAGGATTCCGATGACAGCTCCTGTTGTGACTAGCATAGTCTCGGGAGCTGGACCCTTTCAGTCATCAGCCTACTCTGTTCTATTATACTTGCCCGTGAACTTCCAAGCCGACCCACCAGTCCCTCTCCCTGAACTGCACCTGAAACCTTATGTGTGGGCAAGTCATTGCGTTGCTGTCAGGACGTTTTCAGGTTTTGCAAATGATGATAACATTATCAAAGAAGCTGAGAAACTTGCTGTCAGCTTGAACAGGTCTCTTTTGGCCAATGTAACTATTGCAGAAAGTGATTTTGCCTACTCCATTGCTCAATATGATGCTCCATTCATTTTCATTGGTCGTCTCAATGAAGTATGGGTGGATATCGATGCCTGTAATTACAATGAGACAGCAACTTACTGAAATATTGTTCAGTCACCGGATATTACAGTTCGACTGCTGTATCCATGTGCCTGATGAAGCCAGTTAAAGGATAGTTTTCAGAAAATTAAGTTTCCCATGTGTGTGTGTGTCTGTGTGGGTATATGTATATTGAAGAGCATGTCTATTTAAAACCTGAAATTATGTTATCTTATGTATTTCAGTTCAGCTTGATTATGTTTAATCTACTTTTGGTCCTGGAGTTGGACTTGGTCTGATACAATATTATATACAGAATGAGTGAATGTTGTAGCTCTAAAAGTTGATGTAGAAATAGTAGAAGTATTTCTACTGTGGTCCCTAGTTCCAACAATAGCTACTCAAAGCTGAAAATGAAGTATTTACATGTGGCTAATTTGCTTTTGGGTACTTCCATTTCATTAAGAAATAGTAGCAAGTATTGCATCAATTTCTCTAGAGTACTCAATAACACATAAATGCTTTCAACAAGGTTATGCTGTTATTTGACAAGAAGATGCAAAAGAGGAGGATTTAATTTTCACTCATGATCCTTGTGCTGTATTAAGGCAGAGATTAGCATTATCAAACACAAATCAAGAAAATGAAACTAATTATAATTCTCAAAATATCTAAACATTCATGATCCATTTTCATTGATATTTATAATCTAAAAGAATGAATATTATTGTTCATTGTACAAGAAAGCTTTGATAATACATACCCTCACAATTTCTTTACTTCGTACATCTAAAGACCAAACATTAGTTTGGTCGGTGTTTGGGATAAAGGTAAGATGGTAAAGATGTAATGGCAGGACCCTTTTTTCCTATCATAGGCAGCTTGATTTGACTATGGTAAGCAATAAATAAAAGAAAGAGAAGTAAAAGGGAAACAAAAATGGGAGAATATATGACCTCCATGCTTGTTAGGGATGAAATGCTTGTTTTAGAAGTGCTCAGCCAGAGGTATTCCCCTTCAACCAGTGCAGCTCCTAATGTCCAAGAAAGATCTCCAGGACCAAAAATTATTTCCTTATTGCCAAGACACAAAGCATCTTCAATGAGGGATGCCATATAAGGCAGCCGGAAACAGTACTGTCTAAAGTAATTTTGTTTTTCAGAAATCTTGCTCAACTCACCACTTGATTTTGAACACAGCTGCTCACCTTTCTCCCAAATCTTGGTCAAATTTGCTCTTGGACCCAGATCTAATATGTTGGTAACAGCGAAAAAACCAGAGAGAGCATGAAAGCGTCTGGTTGGGTAGGCACCAGCTGTCAAATTAAGAAAGCCACTGCCTGCAGAACATGAATTAGAGTTGCTAGTAAGAATTTTAAGACGAAAGTCCAACATTTTTCTTCACTGTGAAAAAAAAAAAAAACCAACAGATATCAAAGAGAAAGTGCATAATGAATAAATATATTAGATATTCAAACTGGAAGGCATAAGTTAAATGAGCAGATGCTAATTGAGTGTAAAACATAAAATTGAATGTAAAAGCTGAATGCTGACAAAATTTCACAGAAATCCTCAGGTTTTCATACTTCATTTTTAACCATTTCCCAAATGCTGGACAAGGTTGGCCCATATTAAGCATGTGTACACCTCATAAAAAGAGAAGAGAAGACCTCATTCGAATACTGTCATAGAAAAATTCAGTTCCAAAGAATCATGCAGATTCATAGACATGAAGCATCAAGGATACATTCTTGACCAGAAGTTTGAATACTACTATAAAACTTTCAGACATACCGCTGTTAAAGGAGAGGCTTGCTTTGCAATTATTGCTAACTGTTGGATGTGACGTATCTGAACTGCTCGAGTTAATAGCCGCAGCCCTGGCAATTCTTATGCATTGCTCCCAATCTGGGTCTCCAACCAAAGAAGTATATTCACTCTTGTGCATTTGACCACTCATATTCTTCCGGTGACTAATATTATGCCCATTACAAGCATTGCAAGTGTAATTTTGCATGAAATCAGAACCTAGACAAGGATGCCTGACTTTAGATATTTCATCATTGCTTCCTATAATCAGCTGCAACTGACTGAGCTTGGCAACTGTCCCATCAAATGCCTCATTCAAGCCAAATGATTGCAACGAGTGTGCTAAAATCTGACGTTCGACTGAACCAATCTTTGTTCTTATCAAATGGATATTATCTCTTTCCTCACCATGAACTTCCATAACAACCTGCAACGATGAACCTCCCAGATCTAGTAGACCTAATGTGGATCCTTGCGATGAATTCCCTAACTTCCCCATCTTATAGTTCAAAGCCACCCAACCATAATAAGCCTCTTCTTTCCCACTCAAAACTCTTATCCAACTTCTCCTATAAACAAACGAGCGTTCCTTCAGAATACTCTCCACATCATCCAAAACCAGCCTAACATCCTCAACTGGCAACTTCCTGAGTCCAGCAGTAGCTAGGACAAAAATGGGAGTGTCTCCATGTCTGTCACGAGGCACCCACTGTTCCGCCCACAAGATCAATGGTTCCAATGATACTCTCACTCCTGTAGAATTACCAGCAAACTTATCTAAACCTGGCTCTGTCTGCATACAATGATATTTACAAGAACTTCCAGAAAACAAACTCTCAGTTGAATTATCAGGGTAAGTATGCTCCAAAATAGGCAAATCCCAGTTACATGATGAACTTCTAATTTTCCACTTATAGACATTCACTCGCGTTCCAGTGCTTCCACAATCCACAACAACAGTGAAATAATCTCTTTTTGCTAAATCACGAGGTCTCCTATACTCAAATGCAAAATAACCAGCAACCAATAACAGCAAAATCACTACAATAGCTGCACATATTCTCAAAACCCGTTTATACCTAGCGAAACCCATAATTGGCAGCTTAACTTTTGAAGGTGATTTGGATTCCATGCTGAAATTTCAACATTAACGAATTCCAGATCCTAACTACATTTTTTTTTATTTCTTTCTAATGCCTCTCCATTGCTTACAAGTCCAATCTTGATAATAAAATTGAATTGCTGCGGCTGCGAAATCATGTTGGAAATGAAATCTAAACGCTTCAAAAAGCAACTGTCAATTTAAATTTAAATTAACGTACCTTTGGGTCTTCGGTTTAGCTTGTTTTTGCTCCTCTGTTTCTTCAAACCCATAATTGATTTCTCATACTCTCTCTGTCGTTGTTTCTCGGTCACGAATCAGTAGAAACGTCAAAACATCCAGGGCTTAAATTGATAAAAAAAAATTAATTTTTTTTGCTTTTGCCAAAAATAATATGAATCAATTTTCACACAAGATATTAAACTCGTTAATTCTTTTTTTTTTTTTTTTTTTTTTTGTCGTTGTTTCTCGGTCAGAATCAGTAGAAACGTCAAAAACATCCAGGGCTTAAATTGATAAAAAAAAAATTAATTTTTTTTTGCGCTTTTTGGCCAAAAAATAATAGAATCAATTTCACCACCAAGCATTATTAAACTCGTTTAATTCTTTTTTTTTTTTTTTTTTTTTTTGGTAAAAAGTTTTTTTTTTTTTTTTTTTTTTTTTTGTAAAGTTGGTATTTGAACTTGATTCAAACAGAAATTTTTTCAGAAATACTAGTAGATGGTGGGGGGAGGAATATTGAGATGTTTTGTAACTAGTAAATAAAGATATGATGAACCCACCAATTTATTACACCAATCTGTTTCATTTAGCAATTGGCAACCTTTCCCGTGTTTGAAACAAATGAATTCCACAAAAATCCGTATCTTTGTGTTTAGAATGAAAAAATTATAGATGAATTCAATTTTATGAAATTAAATATAATTACACCAAATTCCATAGAAAAAATATATGAAATTTTCAAAAGAATTTCATAAAACTAAGCGATCCAACTACTTGCGATAAAATTACCATTCTCCTTTATAAAGTCAATGTTTAATTTTTTACTTATTTAACTTATTTATTTTATCAAAATTGATTAAAACCATTCAAAATGTAATTTTTTTTAAGAACATAAATACACTCGTCGTCTATTATTGAAAAAAAAAATGAAAATACTTTAAAAACAATATTTCTTTAAGACAATATATTTTTTTAATAAATAATCGTTCGTTACAGGTGAAAGTTGTAAAAACTGAATGGAAAATATACGACCTAGACTAGAAAAGATACAAGATTGTAGGAACCTATCAATGAATTAATATATATGCACCATGATTAAACCTTTAACTATAATCTTAAGCATTAATGTAGATCGTAGCTAATCAAAGGATTTTATTATCATTGACACTTAATTTTTATCACGAAATATGATGATACTTAAAAACAGTGTTATTAAGTACTAATTATATACGTATCTTTTTTTCTTTTTTTTTTTTTTTTTTTTTTGTTTTTTGCAACACGATGAACTGCGTCTTCAGATGTTAGAATCATCTAGTGTATGGGAGAGCCTTTAAGCCACTTGAAAAAATAAAGTAGGTTTAGACTCTCTCTTTCTTATGTGGGGGAAGGTAGGAGGATAATGCTCTTCTTTCTCTTCAAGAGAGAGCCAAACTTTTTTATTTTTTTTTTTTTTTTTTTTTTTTTTTTTTTTAGTAGTGGTATATCAACGGGCAAATTGGTGAAGAAAACTTGAGCAAATGATCCCTTCATCCTAAAGCTCGGGACATTGTCAAAGAAACTGAAAGAAAGAGGGCATTATAATAGGGCACGAGTACCCCTTTTGTGGGTCAAAGAATGATTTATCGGTGCTTCTAGAAGTGAAACAAAATTTTATGAATCAATACAGAGCAAACAGAATTATCATGTATAACACCACTGAAATGATGATGAAAAATATTAAATTTATGTATAAACTTCTAAATATAAGTGGACCATTTATAGGCAAGTATGTTGTTACCACCTTGCATATAAGGGAGCGAATTGACATGTACAGGGGAGAAGGCAAGGTACTGAAAAGGCTTAATGAGAATATCAGAGAATTGGAACTTCTAGATCACATGGTCTCAATAATTAGGAGGGGAAACATCGGAGAAGATGGATTTTGGGTTGTTCTTGACAGTGATGGCCAAAACTCTGGAGATAGGGCATTGCAACAAAAAAAAAAGAATTACCATCAAAAAATTATGTCGCTAATTCTTTTTTTTATTGCTAATTTAGTATTACCGACAAAACTGTGACAAGAAGAATGAGGAAATTAGAATTTAAAAACAAAATGTTTGTTGCTAAATTTTGATAGTAAAATTTATACCATATAAAGTTTTAATTTTTTTCAAATTTTGCAGTTATTATGTCGCTAAATACCAATAAATTAGCGATAAAAATATTTGGAGGAGGAGGAAGAAGAAGAAGAAGAAGCAGGAGGAGGAGGAAATTGGTACTTAAATTTTTTTTTAAAAATTTGACCCTAATTTATAAATAATTTGACGGTAAATTTTTGAAATATGCACATATCTATTGCGCGATTTGTTATTGATAAAATTCACATTTGTCGCTAAATTTTATTACTAATTTCTCGGAAAATTAGGCATCCTTATTAGTGAAAAAGTTAAATTTTATCGGTAATTTATTGCTAAATATTGACAAAAACTTTTATCAGTAAATACTAATGTTCTTGTACTGGAGGAAGTTTTAAAATCTCAGGAGGACTTTTAATAAGTGGTTATGTGCTTTGCCCCATGGACTACATATGCATTTTTTGCAAGAAAAAGAAAAAGTGAAGAGGTGAGTATATTTCCGTTTGAATGGTGGCATGTGTATCATTTTAGTTTTTTGATTGTTTGGTCTGTGTAAATATATAATTTTTAAGGGTTAAATACTTATGTATGCAATATATTAAAATATAAAACTGATGATGTGATATTTTATTTTTTTCATTATAATGAATATTTTTTTATATTTAATAAAAATTGTAAATGAAATAATGGTTTACAAACTAATAAATTTAATAAATGATTTCATTATAAATAAATATTGAGTTTTTTATTATATAATTTTTATCTATAAAAAAACTAAAATAGTTATAATAGAGTCATAATTAATAAAAATGAATTAAATAATATAGGTACATTAACAAATATAATTAAAATATTAATTTTAGTTCACTAAAATTTTATTTCATTAAAATTAAATACTCTTATACATCATCTAATTTGAATATATGAGAATCTTAAAGAGAAAAATTAATTAATATTAATTTACAATTAATTGTACTAATTAATATTTCAGTTCAAATTAATTAATATTAATTTACAATTATTGTACCTATTAATATTTTTGTTTCTTTTCAGTTCATTACTTGAGAATTTCAAAAAAAAAAAAAGCTTATAATTTTACTTTTTATTTTTTAACCTAAAAATAAAGTAATAAATTATTTAAATTTAAAGCAACACATTGATAAATTTTAACGAATAATTTTCTTAAAAAATCACGTTCCATTACTTGAGAATTTCAAAAAAAAAAAAAGCTTATAATTTTACTTTTTATTTTTAACTAAAAATAAATAATCAAATTATTTAAATTAAAGCAACACATGTATAAATTACAATAATTTTCTTAAAAATCACGTTCAATTGAATTTAAAAAATATAAAATACATCCCATATATTGTGCGAGTACATAACTAGTATATTCAAATTACTTTATTGGCCAACAATCTGTATCCAGAATTGGCTTTTTCTAGTATGATTGTTCAAATGAATCATAACAATATCTTGGATTCTTATTTTTATTTTCGTATTGTTTGTGCAGGGCTTTACCTTGTAGCAGTGTCCTCCATTTGTATTTGACAAATGCATATATATGAGATTTTAGAGTTATTAGGCAGGCTTGCATTCACACTTCTTACGCCTGACCAAACCCGACAATTGCCTTCGGGTATTTTCGGGTAGTTTATTGTGGATTCAAGTTTATCCCGACCCAAATCCAGCTGGCACTGTCAACCCAAGTTCATGCCAAACAATTCAAGCCCATAATTCGCAATATATATATTCAGTACTATTGCTAATGCCCAAAAATACAAAATACATAGGAGCATATGAACCCATTTTTTAAATAGAAATTACAAGCTAAGTTGTAGGGAAAGAATTAAATCCGAAATTCATATATTTCCCCGTATATATATATTTTAATATTGAAAAAGAGAGATTCGAATTCAGATTTATTATCAGATCATACATGCACTTACTACTGAATTATGTATTGTGTGCCCATTTATATATTCACTTAAATTATATTCTTTTATTCAATGCCCTCTTTTACCTTTAGCTCATTAAGATATTAATAAAATTTTTTTTATTTAATAAATAATTATAAAAAAGTAATTATTTACGTATTTAAAATTAGAAATATTGTAAATATTTTGAACATTTAAATAAGGGATAAAAAGTAAATAAAATGAAACGGTGGGTATTAAATTTATATATTCTCATTTTTTAAAATTTTATTATTTTATATAATATTTTATTATTTATTTTATAAATGCTCTTAGATTTTTAGGAATATGAAATTTCTATTAAAAATTTTAAATAATTATATATTTTTTAAATTTTGGGGTTGGAAAGTAGAAAGTCCATATTAATATTAGGAGAAGCTCGATTCGTCTTTAGGTTTCTCCCTCTCCCTCTCCTTCTTCTCTCTGCGATCTGAGGAAGCATCACTCTTAATTGTTGCTTTCACCAGCACGGATCTCTCTTCTCACGATCTCTTAAAACCTGCCACCGATAGAGCTTTCTGTGCTGTGGATTTGCTTTTTATCTATTTTAACACTAATAAACATTTTCTCCTTCAAATTTTTCCATCTCTAGGGTTTCCAAATACCAACGCGTTCCCTTCCCCCTAAAAACAAAAGAAAACAAAAAAAGAAACTCAGGCAAGTAATTCTCTTCAAATTTCATCACCTTCTTCATTAATCTATGGCTCTGTTTGTTTCCCGATAAAACATGGAAAAACGAAAAGAGAAAGATGATATCTTTTGGGATTTTGCATAACTGCTACTTAGCCGCTACGGTTGTTGTGGTTTTGTTGTTTGTTAATAATATAATTGCGCGATTCATTTGGTTCCTGTTTTGTTGGGCGAGATTCGTGGATTTTATGTAGAGCACGATTTGATCGTCTAGGGGAACCGGAAAGCTTGCTTCCATGGATTTGTTGGCTTTATTTTGTATTTGTCACTACTATGTGTATTGTATTGGATTATAATCATTTTGTGTATATACGTAGTTATATTTTAAGGTGGTAGCAGTTTTTAACAAAATTGTATCCTGACTTAGGTAGTTGATTCTTTTAGGAAGAATTAGGAACAAGTGTCTGTTGGAAGAGAAGTACTTGAGGGAAGTTTGTTAGGTGGATATTTTGGTTACTCGGTCTAGATTGCTGATAGCAGGAGACATGGGGGTTCATTGCTTGTCAGAAACATCAAATAAAGATAAATTTTGTAGATTTTATGCATATTATATACTTATTATCAGATTGTGAGTGAATATTAAATCTAAGTGCTTTTGTTTTTAAAATGTAATATTATTCAGAAAGCATTTTAATTTCGTAACTGTTGGACATCGACATTGCTTGGAGTACAAATGTACTTGGTGGACATGAGCACAAACACAAAGCATACGTACCTTAAGAAGTTATAAGTTTTCTGCAAGTTCTTACACTTTTTCTCAAGTCTGATGTTGCATGCCCCTTTTGTCTTATTGCCCCTATAGCACAATAAAAGTGATTTGCTGGATATATTTCCCATCCCCAGTTATTCAATATACGACCAAGTTTGTCCTCTGTTTCTTCTGTATTATTCTGATCCCAGAATTTGACTTCCTTGATTGTGCATTATCTGCAGCTGATTGCTTATTGAAATTCAGGAACAGCAAAAATTTTTTATTTACGATATTTCTGCTTTTTCCTTATACCATGCTTTTCACTGTATTACATCTTTCTGATGAAATTTTATTGTCCATATTCCCAGGTTTGTCAAATTCTTTTGATTGACCATTGCTATGAGAAGTGAAATATGACATCAAGTATGTTGACTGGAGAGAGAAGGTATCGTGTTTTTTTTTAGTAAACTTTGAGCCCTATACTAGCGTCAGTAAGTGTTTTCCCAGTTGAGCAGTGAATCTGGAAGCAAAACCCTCCCTCTTTCTGGGTGGGAAGGGGTGGGGCAGATTCAATTGTATCTCTTCCTTTCTGTACATGCAATGCAGAATTGCAAATTTTTTGCAGTGTCAAAATTATATTATATTTCGGGATACCAGGAAAAATTACTTGCTGAGAGTTTGCTAATACTAATTGTAAAGCTACTTATAAATGCTTCTAAATAAAATTTAGGGGATATGAAAAAGTAATGGCATTATATTATCAAGTATCTATGGGTATCTAACGTGATTGGTTGCAGATGGGCTTCTGCAAGAAGAAGTGGTATGACTGTGTTGGGGAAAGTGGCTGTTCCCAAACCTATAAATTTACCAAGCCAAAGGTATAGTTTTGGGTTTAAGGTTCTGTACAGTAGAGAAAGATAAGGCACCTGGTTCATCCCCTAATCAAGTTTCACATTTTTTCTTTGCTGTTTCAAGGTTAGAAAACCATGGTTTGGACCCAAATGTTGAAATTGTTCCCAAGTGAGTTTCTCATGTAGTAGTCTCTTCTAATAGTTTTTCGTGAATATGTTCTGTTATAATCTTTACATGTCTTCATTTGCTGCTAATTTAGTGATGCTAAATGCTTTTTTGCTTGCATTGTTTTTTAATTGCATCTCACACGAAAGGGGCACCCATAGTTGGGGCAGCAAATCTCCTTCTTCCACATCAAATGCGTGGGGTTCTTCGTCTCTGTCTCCAAATGCTGATGGTGGCACTGGTTCGCCAAGCCATCTCAACGGTCGCCCTTCATCAGGTGGAAGTGGCACTCGACCATCAACTGCAGGCAGTGACAGAGCCCGTGATCCTATTAGTAATGCATGGGGTCCAAATTCCAGGCCGTCATCATCTTCTGGTGCATTGACATCAAATCAGACGTCACATGCAGCATTACGTCCCCGCAGTGCAGAAACAAGACCTGGTAGCTCACACTTATCCCGGTTTGCTGAAACTTTGTCTGATAATTCAGTGGCATGGGGTGCACCAGGAACAACAGAAAAGTTGGTATGTTTTCTTGACTTGGTGAGAAAGCACATGAATTATAGTTTGTAATTGTAAAGAAACCTTGAAAGAAGATAATATGGATGAAAAAGGTGGAAAAGGTCCTAGAAGTAAAATTCCTGAAAGAAAGACATAAATTTTGGCAATAAATATAACCTGTACTTTCTTATTTATATGTTTGTATGAGTTGATGCATTAATTTTCAATTGCTTTGCGATACATTAACTCTGATATTTCAAATGCATTTTGCAATGCTCAAATAGAATCCCCCCTCCTTCAATTATAGAACCCAAATTTTTTTGCAGTCTTGTCCTTAGCACCATTCTTCACTATAACTATTTTTTCTGATGGTGAAGGATATGATTTCTCTATTTTATCATTTGCTTTTATTCAGTGGATTAATGCATTTCAATTCAATCATAGAAAGTAATATTTTGATGAATAAGTATAGTTTTGGCTTATGATATCAACAATGTCATTCTTATTTTGGAATAATTGGAATAAGCTTGATCAAATCTGTAAAATTGCCTCTAGCTAAATTTCTTTTCAATTTATTTATTTTTAGATTGGATTGTCTAATCATACATCCAATTTTGATCTTGGATTTTATGTTACTTTATAAGCATTTAAGCTGCACATTTTTTTATTGAAGATCGATTATATGTCTAAATTCATTATTGTTTTTAGTTTTCCTTGTTTGTGAGAATGATAATGAAGGTTTTGTAATTGCTGTTCAAATATGTTGTAAAGCTGTAACTGTGTATGGATTTCTAAAATTTTTAATGCGAAAGATTCAGGGCAATTTCATTAAGAAAGATTTGTTAATTGATATTTTTTTTTGTAATGGCCATATAAGAAAGAAGAATGCCTTTGCAATGCTAGGTTTGGATCATTTGGGATGTGTAGACTTATTCATGACTGTTTACTATATGTGTTTTTCTACAGTTATACATATAATCTTTCCTGTTTGCTGATGCTTCTAACTGCAACCTAACACAATAGCCTATTTCTCCTTTCTCTCCTTCTGGTGCGTTTTTAGGCATGGCCTGTTTTTTCTTAGATTGCCGGACTTAGCATGTTCAAACTGTTGCATGCAGGGAGTTACGTCGTCCAAGAATGATGGGTTTTCTTTGACCTCTGGAGATTTTCCAACACTTGGTTCAGAAAAAGACAATTCTTTAAAGAAAGCAGAATCTCAAGGTTTTATGCTTAAAATTGCCTTATAAGATAACAATTCTGCATTGTTCTTTGACTTTGCTCTTGTTTTCTATTGTTTGTGTTATGATTTTAGGATAGATTAGTCTGTGCTCCGCACTGCTTTAAGAAAATTTGCAATTTGTCTCCTTGGTATTCATACAGTTGAAGTTTTATGTGCTGTTATCTTTGCGTTGGTATTTCCTGAATATTTTATTTCTTTTGGTGCAATAACATCTCAGTTGGTGACATGAGGGAGTTCTTGATTCAGATGATTATTTTTGCAGTTTGGTGTTGGTGGCAAAATTTGTCATATCAGTTGAACATTTTGAAGCTTTGAAGAATTAATTAAAACAATTTTACCATCAACAATATCTCACTTGGAGTTTAGTTTATTGTCATGTTTAGTTTTTAGCCGGTTCTATTTCTGTTTATGCATAACCTGTTAGGTATATGAAAATCTATTAATCGGATAAGATGATTAATGCATTTTTCTTTTCAATTTCTTAATCTAATATTTATGGTAGATCATGGTTTGAGTGGTCGTCCAGGCTCCTCCTCTGCTAGACTAGCATCAGTTGAAGAGCGGGTTGAAGATTGTGCAGGTATTTATTCTTGCACTTGATTTTGGTACTGCTGTCTTTTTCACAGAGACAGTCTATATCATATGTGCTTATATCCATAACTTGAAATGAATGATATAAGTCATATGGTTGTTTTGGTCAACGTCAGTGACATAATGGCCTGTCACATGGTTTTTTTTTTTTGGGTTCTGAAGGTGATACTTCTTTGCATGCAAATGTGAAAAGTGGACCTGGAGGTCCCTGGAGAAGAGAGGATTCTGTATATGGTGAAGATGGAGGTAGGTCCAATGTGGAGAAGTGGCATGTTGATCCCCAACCATATCCTAATTCTAGTGTTCCTCCTCAGCATTATGATTCTTGGCATGGTCCTCCCGTGAATAATCACCCAGGTGGTGTTTGGTATAGGGGACCTCCAGGAGGTCCACCATTTGGGTCCCCAGTTACACCCGGTGGCTTTCCCATGGAACCATTTCCTTATTACCGTCCACAGATTCCCCCTCCTGCTCTTGCGAATCCGCAGCCAGTTCCTCCACCAGGAGCTGGACCCAGAGGCCCCCACCCCAAAAATGGTGATATGTACAGACCACATATGCATGATGCTTATATTCGCCCAAGCATGCCAATGAGGCCTGGGTTTTATCCTGGACCAGTGCCTTATGAAAACTATTATGGTCCTCCAATGGGATACTGCAATTCCGGTGAACGAGATGTTCCATTTATGGGAATGGCAATGGGGCCTTCTGCTTTTAACAGGTATCCTGGTCAAAATGTTCCTGATCCTGGCAATTCCCATGGCAGAACTGGTGGATATGGTCCAAGCAGTAAGGCACTGGTTTTGGAACAAGTGGAAGTGCTTCACACTCAAGATACTCGAGGACCATACAAAGTTCTTATGAAGCAACATGATTCTTGGGAGGGAAAAGATGAAGAGAAGAAGTGGGATGACACAATAAAAACCAATGCGCCATATCCTCTGAAGGGGGAGGATCCAAGAAAGTCATTGCGGGAAAATAACTTGAGAGCAGATAGCAAGAAGGATGATGAGTCAGATGCAAGAAGGATGACACTCGGTGAAGAAGCTTCTTCTGTGGTTATTGACAATCGGGTAGTTCCTGTTGGAAAAGTGAAGTCACCTGAAATTGGGGGAAGGAATTTAAGTGCATCTGATGACAGTTCAGTTAAAAAGTTAGAGCTCGTAACTTCTACTTCTGCAGAAGCCTTAGCTGCTCCAAAAGATTCCACTCTAATTCAGAAAATAGAAGGTTTAAATGCAAAAGCTAGGGCTTCTGATGGACGGCAAGATGCTAAATCTGTCTTTGGTAGGGAAGAGCAGAAGAATAAATTGCAAGTTGGTAGCCATTCTACAAATGAAACTGATATTGTCTCTTTATCACATGAGAAGACCAACCCTAGTGGAATTGTGTATAGTGTACCACTTGAAGATCACTTTTCAGCTGGAGACAAGAGCCTTGGATCAACAGTATTGACTGGATCAACCGCTATCTCCAGGTCAGTTTGTACCTTTCAGGCTTTCATGGACAATGTGTCTCTTATTCCAGTATTGGAAAAATACTAATATACAGGTCCACAGGAGATCAACGCATGGCACACATGTTAGAGCTGATCATCGTGGAAAAGGAAGATTTAATACCCCAGAGGCTGATGGGTGGCGGAAAAAATCTCAAGTCGTAGATCCACATAGTGCCGTGTCAAGTGGACATTATGAAATATCTTCTGTTCATGGGCAAGACCATAAATCTGCAGAGGACACTCAGAATTCTGTGCCACATCCTTCAGGCAAGGATGATGCAGAGTCCATACTACCTGTCTCTGATCCAAGTGACAGCCAGGCACGAGTGTTCTATTTTTCATCCTTCGAAATTTTTTCTAATGGACCATGTTTCTGTATTTTTAACTCATGATTGTACTTTGTAATCAGCGTGCTAAAATGAGAGAGCTAGCTAAGCGACTTAAACAGCGAGAAAAGGAAGAGGAAGAACGAACAAGAGAGCAGAGAGCCAAGGCTCTTGCAAAACTTGAGGAGTTGAACAGGCGTACACAAGCTGGGGATGGTGCAACTCAGAAGTTTGAAAGTGTTCCTACCGGCACTATCCAGAACAGGCTAGAAGAATCCTTGGATCTTCCCCAACAAACTATGGTTACAAGCAAATCTGGAGTACCAAATTCGTTGTCAGGCTTCAACCAAAATACAGTTGCACAGAGTAGGGAGAAGCTGGAAGCTATTCCTAGTGGTGCTATGCAGAATAGGCGTGAAGAATCCATGTCTGCAGGGCCACCAACTGTGGTTGCTAGCAAATCTGGAGCATTAAGCTCAGTTTTGGGTTCCAGCCCAAGTATGGTTGCACAGAGTAGGGAAAGTAGTGTGAATGGATTTGAAAAATTCAGCAGTATGGCTAGCAATGTACCTGCGGAAACACCAAAGATTGCGTGCAACGAGACTGTTGTGGTTCATGAGCAATCAAAACCATTCCAACAGGATGTTAATAATGCTATTGCTGTACAGCGCAGCAGTACTCCACGGGTGCATGATAGTAGTGTTTCCAAGCAGAAGCGTATGAACTACAGACAAAAGCAAAATAGTTCCTTGGAAAAGAATTCCAATGAGAAGTTGGCGGCTTCATCTGCAGCTGAGGCTTCAAAAAGTCATACCGATATGGCATCTGATGCTACTATATCTCCTGAGCATGTTGCTGATGAGATTGCTTCAAACTCTGAGTCAAATTTGCCTTCCGATCCAAGTGTAACTGTTGACTCTTCAGTGCATCATAGAAGGAAGAACAGGAATGGGAAGAACAAGTATAAAGATGAGCTGTCTGCTGCAGAAACTTTACCATCAGTGATACCAAATGATACAACTACTTTAGACACCTCAGTTGAAAGCGTCAAGCCAAAGAGTTCTGAATCTATGTCAGATCGTAGTTCAGTTCGGTCTCCAACTGAACTAAATGCTGCAAATCAGTCCTCAGAGCTGCGCTCTTCATTGGCAAATGAAGAAACCCACATCAGAGTAAATAATCAGTGGAGATCTCAGCATTCTCGCAGGATAATGAGAAATACACAAAGTAATAAATCTTTTGAGAAAAGCCAAAGTGGCGATGCTGTTGTTTGGGCACCTGTTCGTTCACAAAATAAAACTGATGTTTCTGATGAAGCCAGTCAGAATACTTCTGTTGAGGCTGTGGTTTCCTCCTCAAAGAGCGATCAGCAGGTGCAGAATAATCCTAGAAACAAGAGAGCAGAAATGGAGAGATATATTCCAAAGCCTGTCGCCAAAGAACTGTCTCAGCAAGTTAACAGTCATCAGGTAGTTGTTTCCCTAAGCAATCAGATTACCTCAGATGTGACTGCTGAAAGGCCAGAGACTGGTTCTCTGAATGCTGAAATTTCCCAGACCTCAGGCACAGCTTCTGTGAAGGTAAGTTCTTCCATGGAGGCCAGGACTGGGGATGTTAGGCAGAGCAGGTCAGGAAAAGTGCATGGATCATGGCGCCAAAGGGGTGCAGCTGAGTCAAATACAAATATGAGTAGGAGTTATCAAAAATCAATTGAGGATCATCAACAACAGAAACCTGATTTAAGTTCCGTGAAAGAACAATCAAGGCATTCTAGCGAGTGGGATGCTTCTGATGGTTGGAACGTGCCTGAAAATACTGATGCAGTAACTGCTGTTCCTGTTTTAAAAGATCAGGGTGTGACTGCCAGAGGGAAGCGCCAACCACATAAGAGTCACAAAGGCACAGGGCACAATCACAATAGTGATGAGAAGAAAACTAGTATTGGGGATGCTGAAAAGCTACACATTCAATCTGCAGCCTCTGAGGTGCATCAAACAGACTCACCTGCATCTTCAAAAGAAACCCATGCTGTTGGGGAACGATCAACATCTCATTGGCAGCCTAAATCACAGCCAATATCAGCCACCAATCAGCGAGGAAGCCGGCCCAATAGCAGTGGAAATTTAGGCCCTGAAACTGGAAGGCCTAAGAAGGAGTCTGCTCCTCAGTGTGCGGAGCCTCTTTTACCTCAACCTGGTAAGGACGCTGCTGCAACAAGGCCTCAGTCTTACCATGATGAAACTCTGTCTGAAAAGTGCAAAGTGGGAGAAGTTCAGGCTGATGGGTATCAAGATCTTAAGAGGGAAAGAAAGTTGGCTGCACAAAGAGGACGTCCTGGTAGCCCCTCTGAATCACAGTCTCCCTCCAACATGGATGTTCGACATGACCAACGCATATCTTCAGGATTCCGCAAAAATGGGAATCATAATAGCCGTTTTGGTAGAGAGAATGATTCTCGTGGAGATTGGAGTGGATCTGGGAAAGATAACAAGCAGCATAACAACGCCCCTGCAATGCGGGAAAGACAGAGACACAATTCACATTATGAGTACCAGCCAGTTGGGCCCCACAACAATAACAAAGTGGGCAACTTTGAACCTCCAAAAGATGGTTCTCATAATCCGGGTTCAAGGTATAGAGAAAGGGGCCAGAGCCACTCAAGGCGTGGTGGGGGAAATGTTTGTGGATGACAAACTGGTAGTGTTCAAGTAGATGCTGGTTATGACTAAGGTGAAACCCAGAGATGGTATTTTTGCAATGCCAACGCCAGCCTCCTTAGATGTGGCTCGATCCCCCACTTATTCAGGTATTCCGGTTTCGGCAGTAATTTTTTCAGTTGTAAATATTATTTAATCATAGGAGACTGATAAAATGTGCATTGAGCAGGGCTTGGAGCGGAGAGACGGTGTCAGGGCTAAAAAAAGAAATATTGAGATGATGGGGAGTTACTAGATATGGTTGATTTCTTTTCATATTTTTCTTTTAAATGTATCTTATCTGAAAAGGTTTAATTTGGTTACAGTATATTTGCTGTAGAACCCTTGATATGTTTGGAGCAGGGTGTATTTAGTGATCTGTTGTTCCTATGCTCTCAAGTATGGAACACCGGAAAGAATGAAGTAGAGGAGCTTTTCTTGTTCTCCCACTTAACGTTTGCCTTGCTGTCAATTTTCTTGTGATATTTCAGTCTCTAATTGTTAACCGTGGCTAGGAGCCTGCTGATTAACCCTTTTTTTTCTCTCAGATTTTGCCTCTTTTCTTACTTTTTGGTCCTTGTGATTTCTGTTGATAATGTACAATGAGAATTCCATGGTTGGACCTTGTTTCTATGTAACTCAAATTTGGAAGTCGGCCAGGTTGATACTTTATAGTTGTTGGCAGGCATGCCAGGGATCGGAGTGACTTGGTTTCAGGGATCAAATTTTAGTTTCAACTGTGTATTTGTATCTTTTTCGTATAATGATTGCGACAATTATCAAAAAAATGGGTCGGGGATTTGCCCATTACTGACTTTTGCAAAACCAATCGAATAGCTCCCACGCTGATGTTTCATATTTATGTATCGGAAAAATATGAATACAAACAAATATTTAATCGCATTCCTCATAGCGGTGCTGGGTACTAATCATTTTATGTAAAATTAAATTAATAATTTCTTTTTTAAATGGATTTTACTAAGTTTAATACTTTATTGAATGAATTGTGTTATAAGTAAAATGTGACTATGAGAATTGATTTCTAAAACTTTTTTTAATAAAATAAATATTTTCTAAAAGAAATGAATTATAGATTTACTGGCTCAAACATTTGTTAATTTAATCAGAGAAACGTAAAACATTTTTTTCAATCTTCTTATTGGAGGCTTGAGCCTTCAGTAAATTATACTACCAAACAGCGAAAGCGCAAAATAAAACTTCCTCCTGTTCCTGCGAGTAGCTCACTGAAGCAAGAACCCCTACTCAATCCACAAGTTAGCATCTGCGTGGGTGTTTCTTCCTTCTTCCACCTCTGGCTTCAACAACTCTCCTTTCTTAATTGCTTGAAGGTATGTGTTGTTTCTGCCGATTTCTTTGAATTATGGTATGCTTATTTGTAAGTGTTTGACGTTTTTTCAATGAGACATGGGTATTCATTTTTCTGTATATAAAAGAATTTGCTGTATTTATGTTTCTGGGGCTTTGTTACGGATGTCTGAATCCATGACTTATTCAGAAGTTATTATTAAAAAATCAATTTGGAATAAATATGCATAGTTTGTAACTGGTCATTCAAGATTTGCGGTTTATATCTTGCGTTGGTAACCAATTGATAGAAGAGCCTGCAATGGCACTTTCTCATGGAGGCAGTTTTATGTTCTATGACACGTGTGGGACAATGCTATCTATATTTACAATGGAGTTAGCTGAATTCCCTTTGTGCAAATTTAAGAAAACGGCAACAGGTATGGCTAGTGGATCTCTATGTATTTTAAATTTTACATGCATACTTAATTCTCCCATAGAGTTTGAAATCTTGTATGTACTGTATCTTTATTGTTTAGCCTTTCTTTTCTATGCTAGTCTTTTTTTTTTTTTTTTTTTTTTTTAGCTGTGTAATTCCCTTTGCAAAATTTAGAAAACGGGCAGACACGGTTTTATAATGCTTTTGTGGATCTCTATGGTTTTTTAAATTTTTACTAGTGGTCATAACTTTTTAATTCTCCCATTGAGTTTTTAAAATCTTTATTTCATCTGTATGCTTTTCGATGTGTGTTTGAGGCGCTTTCCTTTTCATGGTTAGTCTTTTTTTTTTTTTTTTTCCTCTAATGTACTGTCCAGACTAGTACTATTTGGTATCAAGGAACAACTAACTGTAGTTTTTGAAAAGAGAGGGCTTATTTCTCTATATATGTGTGTATTGATTGCCACATCCTCTATTCTACTAATATACATACAATCAAAAGTATTGGTTTTTCCCTTCTCTTAATCTTAATATAGGGACAGTACATCTAAATCAGGAATAAACCTTAAACTAGAAAAAGACAAGTAATTTACACTAAATTTACAAATATTTCTCAATACTCTACACTAATAATGTTGACCGCATAGATATTACACATGCCCAACTGTGACAAACTAACAGGATGAAAACCAAACTTGCTATTCCAAAATCCCTTTTTGTTGAAAACATCAGGCCTTGAAGCTTACTATAGGAGACCACTTATGAAAACTTTCAACTTGGATCGCTTATCTTTCTTATTAATGTTGCGATTCAGCTCTCTATCTGTGCTTGATTTGATCATGTTATATTGATTATTCATAATACTTGATGACTGCTTTACTATCACAAAGACAATTAGTCACATTTATTGTTCCAGCCAACTCTTTAACTCCTCCATTAATCTACACAACATAGGAGTTCATCAGATTACACGTGCCATAGACATTTCATCTTCGTTATTCATGCGCTTCTGAAACTAGGATCTGATGCAACAACAAACCTTTAGCTCGACTGCTTCTTGCTTCTTCATGTGACCAGATTTCCTCCCAACAAAAGAACAAGACCAGAATAAGACCTGAAGGGTTCGATCGCCTAGTTCATCAAGGAACCAGGCCCAATCCACATTTAGTGTACAGCGCTGTATTGTCAGAAGAATCAATGGCCATTTTTGCGATAAATAAAAATCTTCTACCTGGAGCCTCGATTTTAAATTTATCTAGAATATCCAATTTGCATAGGCTTTCGAGTGGAGACTACTCCCGGAGGTCTTTGCAGAGTACATTAGACTCTTATGACTCCAACTCCAAATTATAAATGTTATAGCAATTCTTGGTCTAGGTACTGGGCGGCTCTCACGATATCAAATTCAAACGTCTTCTCCAGTCTGCCTCATGAACAGGAACAAATCTGCCATCCGAAACGAACCAATCTTTTTCGATAACCTACGAGCCAACATCAACGTTGACTTTCCACGTCCAGCTTGAAGTCCTTATGATTGACTTCAATAGGTGGACTTCTATAGTTTTACTATTCTTCCAACATACCAGTTCTCCTTTAAGGTTGTGAGGATTGTCAATGTGTGCGATGTACTTTCTTTTGAGAAATAAAAATTCCTTTTCTGGATCTAGCATACTTCTACCTCAAGGAAATATCTTCCAACTTCCAAAATCCTTAATCTCCAACATTCCCTCTAAGCATGCAAACAAAATCTTCTCAAGTTATAGTGAGCCATTTCTTTTTCTGATTACTTTCAGTTCGTCACCTATACATCATCAACATAAACAATAAGCAATGTGATCTTACACTTTATGATGATATTAAATGAATCATAAAGTCCATGATCAGCATCGCTCTGAATTTACCCGAAAGAAATTCATTAGTTACTTAAAGTGCTTTGCAAACCCTGCTCTTGTGTGACTTTGTCTACAGGTAGGCCTCCAAACATAATATATTATTCTAGTGGAGCAGCTTCTCTCACAGATGCAGTTTGCTCAAAAATTGACGCTATTCCCTCTAGTCTTGCTCATAGAATTATCACCTAGATTGCGTACAAGACATATACAAGGCAAGATTGGGAACTTGTGAAAACAACTCTCCAAGTATTCTTATAATAAGCTCGTGTTCTTTTCAAATGCAAATCTGTTCAGACACCTTTGTGCGATGGGGATATTGTTGACTTCACTTCGTACTGTGCTTGCCATCTCCAGTCTAGACAAGAGTTCGAATAATAGTTTTGAACATCAAATTTGGTGCGAAAATTAGTTGATCTTCGCCATAGGTCACTCCCAAGATGGATGATACCACTTTTCGCAATGCAACCTGGAAATAGACGTCATTCCACCAGCCAATTCCTGATTGTGGTTCATCACGTGGCCTACAGGGCAGTGTTTCGCCTGTAATCCAATCCATAAGGTCGTTCTAACTTGAACTTCTGGACCAATCTACGCCTCTGTACTCTCAAGTCGAACCATATTTCTGATCTATATTTAACTGTGAAACACCCCATTATACATTTGACTGGTGCTTCTTTCTGTGGAGGCAATTACAAAGATCTCATGTCTCGTTTTTTGCCAAAGTTTCTCATCTCCTCCAACCATTGCAGCCTTCCATTTTTGAGTCCTGTAATTGCCTTCTTTGCCAATCCTGCTGGATTGCGTTATAGAAACGGGCATAAGAAACAGACAAAACAAAGATTTTATAGGACAGGGTGACAGCATGTATAGGATGAGATAATGGGAGATGGTAGAACGATAATGATTTAGTGCGACCTTTCTCTTATACTCCTTCTAAGAGCACATAGGAATACTCTAAGGTACTCCATGTACAGTAATAATCGCTGCTAGGAAATCTAAGATTGAGCATCGAATCAGATCTCGCGATCTTAAGACACGCAAACCCACAGTTCCTATCTCTTCCTGTTAACTTGGTTAGTGGCTTGAAATTTCGAGAGGACGGTTTAACTTGTAATTCTGTATTTTCTTGCAAGTAAGCCTCTGTTGAAGGCTCGGCTATCCCATATCTTTCTTAGCTGGTATCAAGAAGTAAATATCCTGCGTGAAATTTGGGTTGGCTGCTGCATGAATTGATTGCCAATGACCATAATTAAGGAGTTCTCTGATTTCCACTTTATAACTCGGATCCTGTCGAAACTGTTGTTGGGTTGCTGCGTCCGCACCGTTCAAGATTTATGCCCATGCTCAAAGCTCGTCTTAGGCCTCACATGATATAGCATAACAAGGTACGAGACTGAAGCAGAAAGTAAAATTGGTTACTCAGTCTACATATTCACCAATGGACTAATCTGGATGTGAAGGGAATTCTCCGTGAGATAGTGGAACAACAATTAACAGTCTTACCTTTTTTTTCGTCAACTATTGACTGTCAGATCTACCCAGCTAACAAATATTCTGATAGCTTAATCTCAATGAGGATTGGGAACCAGGAGATCCATTTACTACAGCTATAGGTCTATGTAGTACAGTATAGATGAAATTCAAAAAAAACAAAAAAAAAAAAACAAAGGAACCAAACAAAGTCAAAATGGACTGATGTGACCAGTGGGTCTGAGGTACAGCAGCATCAAAACAATGAACCACCGGTGAACAAGAACTTACGTCAGCAAAGGGTGCACTCTCGAAATACGACGCGCACGCACCTGTGTGCGTGAAGAT